ATTGATTAAAAAAAATAAATAAATAAAACAAGCTAAAAAAAAAAAGACAGAAAAAAAAAACCACTATAAAACATTTCAGAAAGAAATTAAAGATACAGAATAGAGAGCCCAGAACTAAAGCCTTGCACATGTGGTCAAATTATTATTTTATTTTTTTGTTGGTCAAATTATTATTTAAAAATTTTTTATTTATTGATTTTAGGGAGAAGAAAAGGAGGGAGAAAGAGAGAGAGAGAGAGAGAGAGAGAGAGAGAGAGAGAGAGAGAGAGAAAGAAACATCAATTTGTTGTTCCACTTATGCATTCATTGGTTGATCCTTGTATGTGCCCTGGCTGGGGATCAAAGCCACAATCTTGGCATATGGGGACGATGCTCTAACCACTGAGTATGTGACCAGGACTGCTCAGATGATTTTTGACCAGAGTTCTAAGACTATTCAATGGATAAAGAACAGTCTTTTCACAAATGGTGCTGGGAAAACAGGAGACACTTAGCAACACAATTAAGCGGGACCCTTGTCTAACACTGAATACAAAAATTAACTCAAAAATGGATCTAAAACCTAAAAAAATAAAACTCAGACAAAAACATCGGACACAAGACAAAAGCTTCATAACACTGAACTTGGCAATGATTTCTTGGATAAGACAACAAGGCACAGGTAACAAAAGAAAAAGACAAATTAGACTTCATGAAAAAGTTTTTTTTACATCAAAAGGCACTATCCAGCCTGGCTAGTGTGACTCAGTGGACTAAGCATCTTCCAATGCTCCAAGAGATTGCTGGTTGATTTTTGCCCAGTGAGGGAACATGCCTGGGTTGCAGGCTCCATCCCCAGTAGAGAACATCATCAACTGATGTTTTTCTCTCTCTTTGATGTTTCTATTTCTCTTTCCCTTTCCCTTCCTCTCTCTCCATAAAAAATCAATAAAGACATTAAAAAAAAAAAAGGCACTATCCATAGAATAAAAAGGCAACTGACACAATGAAAGAAAATACTTGCAAAACCATTTTTCTGGTAAGAGATTGATATCCAGAATACATAGAGAACTCCTAAAACTACTAGTAAACAACAACAAAACCAACAACCTGATTGAAAAATGGTCAAAGAACCTGAAACAGATAATCCCCAAAGAAGATATACGAATGGCCAAAAAACACATGAAAAGATGCTCAATATCATTAATCATTAGGAAAATGCAAAACAAAATCACAATGAGCTAACACTTCACACTCATTAGGATGGCTTATCAAAACAGGAAAGTAAGTGTTGACAAGGATGCAGAAGAACTGGAACTGTGTGCACTAGAGATGGGAATGGAAAATGGTACAGCCACTGAAAAACAGTATGATGGTTCCTCAAAAAATTAAATGTAGAATTCCAATATGATCTAGCAATTCTACTTCTAGGTATACACCCAAAAGAATAAAACAGGGTCTTAAAGAGATATTTTGCACTGGGAACCTCCGAGAGAGCAAACATTTTGAGGAAGACAGAGTCAGCAGATGGCGACCACAGATCCAGTTGGAGCTTAGGCAGGCCTTGAGACCAAGCCGGGCACCTTCTCTCCCTCCCACTCTTCCCAATGCCGCTGGAATCCTGCATCCTCCCCTCCACTCCAGTCAGCGCCCAGCCTCCTACCCTAAGGAATGCAGCAGAAGCTCAAACAGGCTCTTATTCTCCCTACGGCCTGTCCCCTAGCTCTTCACCCCTCCCCAGGCCCTGGAGCCCAGCCCAGCACTGCCTCAGGGCCCAGCATGCTCCTCCTTGGCCTCTTCATCCTGACCCACACTCCCCTCAGCAAAGACACCTGCTGGCTTGTCTTCACACATAAAACCCCACTGAAGCCATGCTCCCTTTTGGCAGCTATCCACTTTTGCAACTCCCATTCATGGCTAGACCTCTTAAAATGCCTTATTGCTGCCCCTCACTCCCATCCAGCTCCATTCTCGCCACTCCAAGGAGACTGTGGTCACCAGTGACCCCATGTGGCTGAGTTCAGACATCTTTCCTCCATTCTAATCAGAGCTGTATCCAACCCAGCCAAGCACCCCCACTGTCTGAATGCCCTTACCTTCTCTGGCTAGCATGACTTCGAGCACCCATGGCCCCATGCTCCTCCCTTTTCATCTCCCTTCCTGGATCCTCTGCAGCCGCACCTCTATAAACATAGCCTGCTCCTGGGCTAGACCTGAGCCCCTTCTCTAGCTACAGTTTCTCCAGGTAACATCATTCAATTCCATGGCTTTAAACTCCTCTGACCTCATTCAACACAGCAGACACACACATACACTGTGGACTCACATACAAAACTGGCACCAGCACCTAATACCTCATACTCAATCATACTCATACTAAGTATCTCATATTCAATTCCTCTCAAAAATTTACTGTCATGAGTTCAAAAAATATCATAAAATATCTCCAAAAAGAACAAACAAATCTGGATATAATAAACAGTGGTAAATAAAATAACCAAAAAAATGTATAGTTACAACTAAATATGGTTGTTTGGAGGGGAAAATGAGAATATAGAACCAAGACCACAGAGGGTCTGGCCCTGGGGAGCAGAAAGTTAAGGAGCTGGGAGAGTAGAACACAGGGACTGATCAATTCAAAGCAGTTACTGAAAGATAGGCTTCAATGGTTGTTTTTAAAAGCTGAAAGACATCCACCAGAACAGGGAAGAAAACAAGAAAGCTTACCAAATTAAAAAATAAAACAGAACATCAGGCCCAAATTTCAACTTGCCAACAATCCCAATTGTAAATGGGTTAAATTCTCCATAAAAAGACAAAAGCTCTCAGACTGAGTTAAATGTAACTGTAAAATAAAGGGAGCCCTGGCCAGTGTGCTCAGTGGTTGGAACATTGTCCTGTGCTTCAAAAGATGTCAAGTTTGATTCCCAGTCAGGACACATGCCAGGCTGCGGTTCCGTCTCTGGTTAGGACGCATGCAAGAGGCAATTGATCAATGTTTTTCTCTCTCTCTAAATCAACCTTTCTTTCTCTCTCTAAAACATTTCTCTTTAATTAAAAAGAAAGAGGATATAAAAGGGTTGAAAATGAGGAGATAAAGACGACTTTAAATGGAACAAAAGGGAGTTTCCTGTAAGAATCAGAGACACATATCTCTAACAACATTATCTCCAAATAAAAAGCAAAATTAGGCAGAGAAGGAAACAGACCTGCTGACTGTTACAAATAAGCTAGATCCAGCAGGAGAACAAAGTAACTGACTGGTGGAGAGGATACATTCTTCTCAAACCACAATGAAACGCAAAAACAGACTGGACTAAGCCACACTGAAATCTCAAGATTCCAAAAAGCAGATCTCATTAAGTGACTATATAACTGGAACTTAAAGCAATAAAATTTAAGCATAATTACAAATAAATTAGCTCCCCTCCTCCAATCTATCCACTTGAAAAACTGTAAACTTCCTTCTACATAACCTGGATTAAAAAGGGTATCAAGAATGAAGTTAGAAACAATTTAGAAATGAGTAGCAATGAGAGCAACATGAGGCAAATCCACAGAGAGGCCCAAGGGGCCAAAGAAGGGCTGAGCCTCAGCTGGATGTATCAGGAAATATACAAGAATAAGCTCAGTCCTCAGTCCAGGAACCAGAACCACCACAAAGTGAAACTGAAGACAAAATGAAACTGAAGAAAGTAGAAAAAGTGAGGATTAATGAGGCAGAAACAACAAGGCAGACTTGATCAATGGAGTTGAGGGCTGGCTGTTTGGAAAGACCTACTGGACAAACTTTGGGACATTTGACCAAGATCAACAGAAAAAGTAACCAAAAAGCAACATCAAGAAACAATAAAAAAAAAAAAACAGCTTAAAAATGACAAGAGAATACAATGTCACTCTGAGCAACACATCATGGTCCTCACATGAGCTGCTCCTCCCCCAGGTGCCTTTGGAAACACAAAGGAAAGGTTTTAGTTTTTGCTTGTTTTTTGTTTTGATAGTGGCTGATGTCCTGGGGGTCCAGGAAGTTCTGAACAGCCTGTCACACAAGAATCTCCTGAAGTGTTAATTACATCTCTGAAGATAAACTCTGATCCAAATTAAATGAACAATGTAGCAGGATATTTTCATGTATCTATAACAGGCAAAATATCCTATCTCCAATATGTAAAAAAAAATCTACAAACCAACTTTTATATATACTAAACAGTAAAATAGAGGGGAAAGCAGAAACATAGCCAATAGACATATAAAAAATATACTCAACCTATTTGTATAGGTACCAAGATATGTAGGATAAAGCATAGAAAGTAATCTAAAAGATCACACAACAAATTTAACAGCAACAGGGATAAAAGCTGGGAGGTGGGGAAGGAATTTTCACCATTTCTTAACCTGTATTTTTCTGTAGTGTCTTAATTTCTACAGAAGACAATGTATTCTACTTGAAGAGATGTTTAAAATCTTATTATTTTTTAAAATCTATTTTATTGACTTTTACAGAGAGGAAGGGAGAGGGATAGTTAGAAACATCGATGAGAGAGAAACATCGATTAGCTGCCTCCAGCATATGCCCTACTGGGGATGTGCCTGCAACCAAGGTACATGCCCTTGACCGGAATCAAACCTGGGACCCTTCAGTCTGCAGGCCGATGCTCTATCCACTGAGCCAAACCGGATAGGGCCTTATTGTTATTATTAATGTTCAAAACTATTTAACCTTAAGGATATTCATGGAAACGTGAATGGAAAGAACCCCTCTAATAAATTTTCTACATCTATTTGATTTTACATTTAGATCCTAACCCATTTGCAATTTGTGTGAGGTATGCTGCAGATGTTCACATTACCCCAGGTAAGGTGAAAACCAGGTGTTGGGACCCCATTCCCTGAGTAGCTGACTCACAACTAGAGGCCTCCCGGAGGCTGGAGATGAGCTTTCCCACCTGAGCCCCTGGCTACCAGGTCCAACTACTACCACCGCCTCATCGGAGCAGTGGGAGCCTGAGGTGGGTACTGACCGCGGCCGGGTGCTGGCAGGCTGCTCAGGCTCAGCATGCTTCCTCTCTGCAGTTTGTCCAGCTTCTCTTGCAGTTTGCGCACCTGGCTGTCGGAGCGGCTGACACGCTGGCGTAGGCTCCTGAGCTCACCGTTCTTCTTTTCCACCTGCTTCCAAAGGCAGCAAGCCCGGCTCCGGTTCTGCCGTGCAGAGAAGCAGTAGGAGTGCAGCGAGTCGATGAGCTTGCAGGCACCCGAAGCCGACAGAATAACCTCGTTGATGGACATGGGGCTGGCGTCACTGTGCTCGCTCTGCACAGCCTCAGTGGCTGGCTTTGGGGTGACGTCTGTCGGAGGGGCAGAGGGACTCTGGGAGGACTTCTGTGGTGTCGCAGTCAGAGATGAACTTGGGGGGCTCTGCCCCAGGCTGGTCCCACTGCAGCCAGGCTCCGTGTCTCTCTTCGGCCTCTTCCGGTCCACGGGCTCCCGGGGGCCATATGGCCTCTCTCGGGTGTGCCTTGAGGAGAAACTGTAAGAGTGAAGTGAGCCAATGAATTTGCAGGCCCCAGATCCTGGGGGGGTAAAGTCATCCATGGAGATGCCACTCTTATCCACCAGGTCCTTGTCGGGGGTGATGCTGCTCTCATCAACAGCATCGCACGCAGGCCCATCTGCTTCAGCCTGGCTGCCTGAGGCTTTTGTGGCCAGAGCATCAGCTGGGGGGCCCTGTGTAGCCTGCTCCTCACGGGTGGCTTCACTTTTCAGGGAAATCCGCTTCAATTTGAGGGACTCTGGCTTAACTATCAGGTTCTCACTTGAGGGTGATGGTGCACCGGCATCTCCTTTCCCATCAGCTTCACTTGCCCGTCCCCTCAGGCCCCCTGAGGCCTTCTTGGTGTCCTTTCTCCTGCTGCGGCCACGGCCTCCAGACGCCCTCTTCTTCTCCGGCAGGTGGAAGATGGAGGGCACGGCTGTGGGCTTGAGCAGGCGGTGCTGATCCTCCAGCCTTTTAGAGAAGCTGTCTTTGGTGAAATGCTCACTACAGAGGAAAGAATACTTAGTAGGGGTCCAGTTGTCCCTCTGAACAGCTTTTAACCACTGGATCAGACGCTTTGAATCCTTCAGGGGGAACCTACAGGACAAATGGCAAAGGAATTAGAAAGAATTACATGTCTCCACCTAAAATGATCAACTATAAAAGCAAAACAAGTATTTTTTGAAAACACCCAAACCTATATGAACTATACTTAAGGAACACATTCTACTTACACATTACTACTGGAATGGGAAGATGGAAGATCCGTTGTTTACTCTGAAGGAGCTTATAGTTGCAGGGCAGATAGGAATGAAAGCAGGTAACTCCTACCAGAATGTTAGGAAAAGCTTAGGATAGCATACAGACAACAGGAAAAGCTCCAGGAAGCCCTGGAAATAATTCCTAGAAAGTCATGGCTCAGCAACCCAGCCAGAGTGCCTAGGATGCAGAACTTTGGGTGCTAAAAGTGGGATGGTTGGTCACCCACTTAGAAGCCAGACCAGCTGTGGGCCAGCGGAGATGGGAGCCAGAGTCCAGCAGAGCATCCCAGAAGCCCAGGGCTGATTCAAGCAGCTGAGGATGGGAGATAGCTCTCAGAGAACGTCAGACTCAAAGGTGTAGTTCTGTGTTCCTACTACACTCCCATCCCTGGAAGATGCTGAATAAGACACTGAATGACCACTTCTCATCAAGACAAGATCTACTTAGAAAACTCTGGCCAAAATGTGCACATGAGGCCATTTGCTCCCTCTAAGGTCATGCAACACACCTGAGGCCACTGTGGACAAGGGCAGGGTAGAATCTCAAACTTAAAGAAATTTTCCTCGACATGACCTCCTAAACTTCCCAAAGTCCCTCAATTCTCATGCCCCATGCCCCCACACCACGTTAGACCATCATGAATGCCAAGGGCAGCCTTCTCTGCAAGGACTTTTTTTTCAAAATGGTAACAAAACTTTTGGGACTAGAGGCTACTACGAAGGAAACTGAGGAAAGCGTGGTGGCTGCTCTAAAAAAAATCCAACATTACTTTTGATAAATTGTAATCACTTATAAAATTTAGTATATCACAGCAGCTTTCAGTAAGAGTTTAAGTAACAAGTGTCACTTCGGCTTTAAAAATTAAATACTAATGTCCTGCAGCATACAACAAGTATACCCCTTCAGCTCACTGGGTGGGGCCCACTATGCCTACGTGGGCTTCAGAGGCCTCCTGAAGGGAAGACGGTGAGACCCTCGCCCGCAGGGCCCACAGCAGGGGCCCAGGGCCCACAGCCCCTTTGCAGCCCCTGGGGGGAAGCCGGCAGGGAAGTGCCACCCACTTCAGGGCAGGAGGCTATCGGGCGCCTCCAGGGACTCACCTTACCGCTGGGGCACAGCTACCTTCCTGTACCCAGGACTGGGGACCCTTCCAGCGACAGAGCGCCTGGAGCGCGTGTTAATACACGGCGTATGAGACGCATCTGTTTCGCCACACTCCCGATGGCAGAGATCAAGGCAGCCTCCGCCGCGATAAAACAGGGACAAGTCACAGCCAATGGAGAGGACAACTGACCTAAGGAAGAGGTTGCCAGAATACACGGCTTCTGGAAACCGGCGGCGCCAACTCGAATCAATGGGGCGCGGCGGCCGCAGGGGTGGGGGCGAGGGAGGTGAGGCCACGAGGGGGGTCGCCAGGTGGTCGTGGGATGGCCTTCAAGTGGCCTTAGGGTGCGCGAGGGATGGGCGCCGCTGGCCGCGGGGTGGTTCCCGGAGGGCGCCGCTGGCCGTGGGATGGGCGCCGCTGGCCGCGGTGCCCGGCCCAGAGACGGCGGCCCCGGCCAAGGTCACACAGCGCCCGGCGCTGACTCACTCGCAGGAGCGGCCCCAAGGCCTGGCGCGGAAAGTGCCCCTAGCTCGCGCCGGGCCGCACGGCCTCAGTTTCCCCGGTGTCGAGCCGGGCCCGGCGGGGGCGTGGTCAAGCCGAGCGGGTGGTGGGCCGGGCGCGGTTACCTGTGGAAAGAGACGGAGCGCTTCTCCCCTTTGCCCTGCCGGTTGGAGCAGTTCGCGGCCGCGCAGCAGATCACCATCTCGGGCCTCGGGCCGCCGCGCCGCCACCAGGCTCCGGCCCTCGCCTCGTCGCGCCGAGCCCGGAGCGGGACCGCCCCGAGGGGAGGCGCGCGGCGACACGGCTGCGGGACGTGGGAGCCAGCCCCCGCGGCGCCGTACGGCAAGATGGCGGCGCCCACCTCCCCGCCGCCGGTCGCCGGCCGTCGGCACGCCCAGGGTCTCAGGCACCCAGAGTCTCAAGCACCCAGAGTGGCTCTGCCCGCGTTTCGAGGCTTTGGGGGTGAGCATGGGCACCCGGGCCGGCGGTCCGTACAGCGACATGGCACGCCGACCCGTCCGTACGGCAAGATGGCCGCGCCTGCGGGTGCGGGCGCACGGCGGGCAGTCAAGCTCGCTCCGAGGACTTTTTGCCTACCTGCGCCAGCTTCCACCGCCCCGGTGGGTCGTTGCTGGGCTCCACGGAGAGCACGCTGAAGGCCGTCGGGGTGCGGAGCGCACGAGTAGGAACCTCCGTGCCTGACTCCTCCGTACGTCAAGATGGCAACCAGTGCACATCCGCCCGCACTTCCGGCTCCGCCCGCGCCCCGGATTGGCCCTGGCGGCGGCCCGTCGCGTCGCGCTGCGGACCCGTAGGACGGACGCGGTGTTCAGTCGGCGGCCGGAGAAGGAAGATGGACGCAGGTGAGAACCTGCTGGGGCGTTGGGGACCCGCGGACGGCGCTCTCCTGGCCCCTCGGCTGCTGGGGAGTCTCCCGGCGCGGCCTGGGCGCGCGGAGGCGGGTGGGCGGGGTGCGGCCCCGGGAGGAGCGGGCGGGGCGTCGTCTGTGGGAAGGCCGGCTGGGATCTGACAGTCCCGTGTTTGTGGTCTCGGCGCTTCTCCAGTCTGCCTGCTGCACCCGGTGACCGGCCTGGCAGGCCCTGGGCCGGCTCGGACGAGAAGGGGCAGTGCGGCGCCCGGGGCAGGAGGGAGGGGTCGGGCATCGGTAGGGGCCCGGGCGGTGTTTGGTCCTGAAGCGGCGGTCGTGGGAAGCTCTTGCCTCTGCCCCGCTAGGAGTTACGAAGTGGAAACTGTTTAACTTCTGTAAAGTTAGGTTGGTGGGCTGGAGGCAAGAAACATGCTCAACACTCACAGCACGGGCACCTTGTTTGGGTTTTTAATTTTTAAAGTAACCAATAGATTACTTTTTCTGTGATTTAAAATAGAAACTGAAGTCATCTTTTATAGCATAACTTCTTGGGGGCCTAGGACAAAGTGGGGTGGAAGGGTGTAGGTACACACGCCTAGCCCACAGTGCTTCTGCAGCTTAAATTTTACTGGCAAGGCATTTTTTTTTTTTGTATCATTGTCCAGTAGCCTTGAAAGCATTTTTACCTGGACGCTCTTTTTCATTCCACAGTTTTAATTCTTTCACTTCTGTAGGGAATGCTACCCCTCGCCCCCAATAAAGGAAGACTTTCATCTGGGTTGATTCCTCCTATCCCATTGTCTCTGCTTCTTTTTCTTTTCCTGGCAGCTATAACATATATTTACTGAAGTCTCCGTTTGGAAACTGCCAGTATTTCAATGATTTGTGGCATTTCCTCACTTAAATGGTGGGTGGCTGGAGGAAACAGTAGCCCTGACTCCCAAAGGAGCCTGTTAGCCACACATTTTTTGTCAAGTTCATTACAAACAAAAGGGTACCGGACACTGTTGTGCTATTAGCTGGGGCAAGGGGTAGAGAAGGAATAGAATTACTTGTCTACTTTAAGTTATTATAGTACTGCTCCATATGTAAAGTCAGTCATATGAGAGAGTTGGTTTAGGTGGAAAACAGTTAATGGTCATATTACCTAAAATGTGAAAACCATCATGTTAAAGTTGGGAATAGCCATCCTGGCCCGGGTATTTCAATTGCTTGGAGCATTGTCCCATATACAAAAAAAAAAAAAAAAAAAAAAAAAAAAAATTGATCCCCCATTAAGGCAAGTGCAGGGGAGGGAGGGCAAGTGGTCAGTGTTTCTCTCTCATCAATGTTTCTCTCCCTCCCTTCCTATCTCTCTGAAATCAATAAACATATCCTCTAGTGAGGATTTTTTTTTTTTAATTATAAAGTTAGGAGTAGGCACGTGATGATACCCTAATGAAAAACTCAAGGCTGCTTCAAAGCAGGCAAAGTGTTTGCCTTTGAAGGCCTGTGTTGATGCTGATAAAAACGTATGTGATGGTTGTAGGGTGTGGTGGGGAGTTTTCTTCTGACCTGACGCTTACATCCTTTTAGGGGTGATTAATGGCCCACCTTCCCCTGATCCCTTTGTCCTTACAGAGTCTGCCTTCCTTGATTAAGTGTTCTGGGATTCCTACTTGTTTTCAGTCATAACATTCAGTAAACCACATTTATTATTGTGCAGAAGGTTTGTGTTGGGCATTGTTCTAGACCCTGGGATTAGAGAAGTGAATAAAATAGATGATAACCATGCTCTCCTCACATTCCAGACGTGACACCAGTGGCATGGGTCATGTGGAAGAGTGATGTGGGCCAAGCAGGGGGGTTGGAGTTGGAGCCAGGATGGCCAGGGAAGGTCTCACTGCAGAGGTAAGTTTGACCAAGACCCAAAAGCAGTGGAGAAGGAAGGGCAGGTGGCATGCAAGGAGCAGCACGTAGGCCAGTGTGTCCAGGTACAGTGAGTTGGCTAAGAGAACCAGAAGCTGGAGGCAGAGAGGTGACGAGTTCAAGCATGGGGCCTCGCTGGGTCATGGTGAGGACTTGGGCACATGCTTATCCTGACGGATATGGTGACACTCTGAAGGGTTTGAGAGGAATAACCAGACTGGAGCAATCTCACTCTGGCTGCTCTGTTGAGACTATGCTGCAGAGGGACAGAGCTACAACAGGAGACCAGTTAGAAGGCTCTCTCAGTAAGCCAGGCGAGAGACCTGGGAGTCTGGGTCAGGGTCAGGAGAGGAGGCTAAATTTTGGTGTATTAAAGGTTGAAATGGTAAGGGCTGTGTACAGATAGGCAGTAGTAGGGGGTGGAGATGGAGAGGAAGGAGTTAAGATGGTGACGCAGTATATATGGCCTGAGCTCAGAAACTAGATGGGGAACACTTGGGGATATCCTGCCTGGTAGGGAACACTTGAGAGTCAGTGTTGTACATGTTGACATGAGATACCATCAGACATTTATATTATTATGTCTGGGGAACATTGGATCCATGGGTCTAGAGCTGAGGGAGTAGACCTGGTCTAGAGGCACACGTGTGTGGAAGACCCCTCTGAGTCACTGAGGGTTTGAGTGTGGGAGAAAAGAGGAGGAGCCATGGAGGGTACGGCCCAGGATGGCGGGTGCTTAGAGGTCCAGAAGGTACCGGGCTGACTGTCTTCTTCACTGACCTCCAGCACTGACCATCGAAACACTCCTGGTTCAGGGAACTGCCAAGCCCAGCATTTAAATGGCCACACTGGCCTGGCTGGTGTGGCTCAGTAGTTGAGTGTCAATCCATGAATTAGGAGGTCACAATTCGATTCCTGGTCAGGGCACATGCCAGGATTGCAGGCTCCATCCCCAATAGGGGGTTTGCAGGAGAAAGCTGATCATTGATTCTTATCTTTGATGTTTCTGTCTCTCTCTCCCTTCCTCTCTCTGAAATCAGTTTAAAAAAAAACAAAAACATACTAAATGGCTGCACTGTCTATTCTATGAAGACAGAGCAGTTTTATACTTGCATCTCCAGGGCTTTATATTGTGTCTGGCATGTACATGACTGGTAATTGAAGAACAACTTGAATTAATAATGTGCACATTCCTGTGCTTTAAGAATTTCATTTGTAGCCAAAACTGGTTTGGCTCAGCGGATAGAGCATCGGCATGCAGACTGAAGGGTTGCAGGCACATCCCCAGTAGGGGGTGTACAAGGGGCAGCTGATTGATGTTTCTCTCTCATCGATGTTTCTAACTCTTTATCCCTCTCTCCTCCTCTCTGTAAAAAAATCAATAAAATATATATTTTTAAAAATCCCACACTCAGTTTTAAAGGACAAAAAAAGTAAGCTGCATTTAAAAAAAAAAAAAAAAGAATTGTAGAGCTTGTGTATAGTACAGATCCAGTCTGTTGGTGTAAGGTGTCTGTGAGTGAGAGGGCTGCTCACGGCAGGACAATGAGGTTAATGTGGACATTCTGTCCCCTGTGTTCACTGAAGCAGTGCTTTCCAGTTTTCTGGTGGTGATAAGTTCCCAGTTCTGTCCCATCCCTTCCCTTCCATTCCTTCTCTTCCTTCCCTCCCTTCTAAGCCCTCCCTCCCTTCATCATTTCATTCCGAACTGAACCACCAGCATCTTCATATAAAGTATTTGGGATTAAAAAAAAAAAATACTGTCGAGATCATTTTGGCTTAATGGATAGAACGTCAGCCTGCGGACTCAAGGGTCCCGGGTTCGATTCCGATCAAGGGCATGTACCTGGGTTGCGAGCACATCCCCAGTGGGGGGTGTGCAGGAGGCAGCTGATCGATGTTACTCTCTCATCGATGTTTCTAAGTTTCTATCCCTCTCTCTTCCTCTCTGTAAAAAATCAATAAAATATATATTTTTAAAAATACTTGCAAACATATTTTTTTAATTTTTAAAAGTAAAGGGAGACCACTTCACTTGATTTTATTTATAAAGGAGAATCTTTCAGAATACATCAGTATTTTGGGGAAATATTGAAACCTGATAAGCTGTCAAAGAAATCTAATGGTGAAATGTTTTGTGGTTTTCCCTGATTGAATCTGAATATGATTGGTGCTAAGTGCAGAAGTTAGTTATATTCCTTGAGCACAATTTCCTATTTTTCTATAAGATTAATAATATTAAATTGAAACTTTTTTCTCATGGAATTACCATGCTATTAAAGGGCTTTCTGCATGCTGTTCCGGGTGTACTCAGGGATATCCCAGGGAAGATGTGGAAAATCAGGCGTCTGGGACCCAGGTGACCACCTGGGGAAAGTCCTTCTCAAAGGGCCTCTTTCATAGGTGGACGATGCCTCTTCATCTGGCTTCTCCTATAAGCCATCTTACTTCACATTAAAGTCAAAACGGGGAAGTCTGGAGACTGGCTTTTCTTCTCTTTTCGAGGTGGGAGTCCTTTTAACTTGGGAGGTATGGGACTGTTTCATAAATAATATAACATTGTGTAGAAAGACAGGTGACATAATGCCGCTGAGAACTGAGATGAGGGGGCCATCTCAGGGAGGCAGGTGGCTGCTGGCCTGTCTGAAAGCAGAGTCATCATGAGTCCTGAAATAATACAATAGAAATGGAGGTGTTCAAAACCATTGCTGAGGGCTGTGCACCCGTCTGTGCTGTCCCCACTGAGTTAACGGCTTTGTCTCATTTCATGGCCAAGGAGACGGAGGCTTAGAGAAGTTATGTGTCCCGTAGCTAGCAAGTTGTCCGGTTCTCTTCAAAAACAAATCTTTAGCCCTCGCGGGTTTGACTCAGTGGAGAGAGTGTCAGCTTGTGGACTAAGGAATCATGAATTGGCTTCAGGTCAAGGGCATGTGCCTGGGTTCCAGGTTCAAACCCCAGTAGGGGGCATGCAAGAGGCAGCCAATCAATGATTCTCTTTCATCATTGATGTTTCTATCTCTCCCTTCCTCTCTGAAATCAATAAAAATGTATTAAGTAACAAAAACAAAGCAAATGTTCATATAAATTAGGAAGTTGAGCATTAGAAGTAAATGTTACTTAGAAAATTTCTCCTTTCTCCATTAGAAAGTCTGATTCAGACGGTCCAGGAGCTTGGGGGGCTAGGTGCCTCTTCTGTGCAGTGTGCCCGACCTGTGGCATTCCAGGTGTCAGGCAGAACAGGCTAGTCCTATCTTCCAGTGCAAGTGAGACCATCAGAGCCACCATCCAGTTAAGACTTTCTGGTGGCTGCTCAAGGATGAGAAGTGCTTCACTTGCTTTTCTGGGTGAAATTGCTGCTGGTCCTGGGGCTCTTCACACTCATTTTCCAGAGTGAAAGCTTGCAGATATTGGAACGAGCTTGTGCAGTGGCACAGACAGCTGGCTTCTGCTCCTGTCCTTCTGTGTGAGGATTGTGTATTATCTAGATTCCGTGGTAGTGAAGTAATTCACTTGTTTGGTGGGTTTCCTGCTTACATTGTATGAGGTGTTGCAGCTCAGTTTGGTCACAGGCTGTCATCTCTGTCTCATCCATTTCAGGGGAGTCCCAGAGGGCCCACGTGTTTACTGTTTCCCAGCACAGGTCACAGCTTTTCATTCTTACTAACTTGTTTTTCCTCACATGAGCCTTAAGGAAAACTCAGCTGTTCCCATTTTGCCAGGGAGAAAAACAGTTGAGGCACAGGAAGGTCACTGACTTATGGGGGTGACAAGACTGGTTAAGGTGTCCATGCTTCTGTCTGCACTGGGAGACCATCTTCCACAGGTTTTGTCCTGATGGTCTCTGTCGTGAGGAAAGTACATGCAACGAGATACATGAATGTCTAACTCTAGAGGCAGACGTTGACACACATGTTCAGTTGTGGGGGCGGGCAGAGACCTTAGTGTTTGCATAGTCAGGAAGAGCAGTGAAGAGCAAGGGGACCCCACAGATATGGGTACTGTTGCTGAGTGGCTCCTGCTTAGCTGGCGGGAGCTGGGATTGCCTCCTGGTAGTTTATTGCCTGAAAGGTCTTGGCTCTTCACTGGCATTTGGCAGTAAAGAATGTGAGGCTGCACAACCCATAATTATCTTAGTTATGGTAGGAAACTTGGTGGGTGTGTTTTAATAAAGCACCTCCCAGTACTCTCCCTCTGAAGTTGGCTTCGTTGCCTATAAAGTTGCTCATAAACCTAAGAAATGTGCCTGCTTTGCATTTTGCTACTACAGTGATGAGACCCCTCAACTTTAGAGCTGCCCCAGGCCTTGTCACCCCCCTTTCAAAATGAGCCTTTCCCTTCCTTATCACTTTCTTCATATGGGAAGCTAGGTGTCTGAGGAGTGTCTCAGTGTCAAGAGTGAAACTACAGACTTAGCGATAGTTACCATGGTCCTTGCACGGGTGCCACCATCACAGTAGAGCTACTTGCCTGAAGTTTAGAGTTCTCCAGCGTTTTAGGAGGTGCAAGCATCTTTAGTTCACTGCTGCTGCTCTGGGAGGCCTCACACATCAGTAGAATGCCCCAGCTCCAATAGGATGAGAATTTCAGTCTATGGAAATCAGACAGGTGTCTTGACATCCTTTTTTTTTTTTTGAGAGTGAACTGGCTTTGAGTGTACATACCGGTAATGGCCTGGAGGTCACAGAGGACGGTGGTTGGTAAAGATTCAGAGGTGGGTTAGAGAGCAGAGACATGATGTTTCCAATTCCTTGAAAAGATAGACTTTTCATTAATCCCAACTCAGTTTTTATAATTACATACAGAAACAAGTAATCTTATGCAAAAAAAGGAGAAATAAACTTGACATTACATTATACATTTCCATTACTATGCAGCCTGATTGATATTGACGGGGTGCATGGACACAGGAGGTATGTGAGAGCAAAGGAATGAGGCCCCAGCACCTGCCTTCGCACTGTGGCACTCTAGGCAGCAGGTTTGGCTCTGAAAACACAGGATTCCTCGGACTCTGAAAAGACAGAACTGGGTCTGGGTTTGTGACAGCCTGAGAACTCTTTTTTTTTTTTTTTTTTTAATTCTCACCCACAGATATTTTTCCATTGATTTTTAGAGAATGGAAGAGAGAAGGAAAGACAGAGAGAAATGTCACTGTGAGAGAAAAACATCAGTTGGTTGCCTCCTGCACAAGCCCCGACCAGGGCCAGAGCTAGGGAGGAGCCTGCAGCCTAAATACCTGCCCTTGACTGGAATCGAACCCAGGACCCTTCCATCTGCAGACCAGCGCTCTATCCACTGAGCCAAACTGGCTAGGGCCAGAGAACTCTTTATGTCACGCACACTAGCCTTCTGTGGCTATGGATCTGATGGCTCAGTGTGCTGCTTTCCTGGCCCTGTGGTGAGGACTTAGCTGCTCATTGGTTTAGGTCTGGTGTAGCAAAGTGCTTGCCTTTGAGCCTATAGTTCTTTTTATTATTATTATTATTGATTTCAGAGAGAGGAAGGGAGAGGAACATCAGTAATGAGAGAGAATCATCCTATATGCCCCCTTCTGGGGATCGAGCCCGCAACCTGGGCATGTGCTCTGACTGGGAATCGAATCGTGACCTCCTGGTTCATAGGTCAGTGCTCAACCACTGAGCCACACCAGCTGGGCAAGCTTGCAGTTCTTGTTCCTGTTGACACTGCTGACCTTGGAGCCTCCTGAGCACTTTCTGGGAAAGGTCCCTTCCTCATTTTATGGTGAGGAAATTTCCACCCTGAGAGGTCACATAAATGCCCTCAGAACCTGCAGCCTGTGGTTGTCTGGCCAGTAGGCACCAGAGCTAGCTCTCCGGGGATGGTGTACAATAGAGAAAGATGGCTGGGGTGATGGCTTTAAAGGGTGTACTCATAGGAGGCGTGAGTCCATTATGGCCCCTCAACAGTGAGACACAAGACACTGGTGGAGTTGTGACTCAGGGGACTGATCATCTTGTTGAGAAGAATAAGATGAGGAAGCCACAGGTGTGCTGTGGCCTCAATCAAGGGTCTTTACAGAAAGACTTCTGGAAGGACAGTCATTTCTGAGTGTGAGGCTGCAGATTCTTTCTTTTCTTTCTTTTTCTTTTTTTTTTTTTTACATTTAAAAATTGATATTAGAGAAAAAAACATTGATCTCTTGCCTCCCACACATATCCAACCTGGGATTGAACCTGCAACCTGAGACTGGGAATTGAGCCTGTCACCTTCTGGTGGTGTATGGAATAATGCTCCCAACCAACTGAATTACACTGGCTATGGCTGCAGATGATTTTGTAGTATTTTTATTTTTTTTAAATAGCATATGTCATTTTTACCAAAAGGTGGAGCTATTATCAAAAAATAAAGATATAGGAGAAATTCACTTAACATTAATTTCCCAAAGACTTCTGTGAAGTTGCAGGTGAAGGATTGGATGACTGAGTCCTGAGAGAGATTGAGAGGCAGCAGGTGAGAGTTGTGTGTTCAGGGTTCTCTGAAAAGCAGCTGCAAAGATGGGACACCCGGAGCACACTGCGCACACCTGGCATTGTAGGTATGGGGACCTGTGTGGAGGCAGGGTTTCCTCAGCCATGGTTCTGTGAACAGACGGGACCCTGGGCCTGTCTTGTTTCTTATGAAAGCAACACAGAATAAGAAGGGGTCAGGTCTTGTAAGTTCAGTGGGTAGACCCGTGCTCTGCACACAGTGACCTCCTTAGGAAGTGGGGCATTGCCGGTGGAAGCTGGTGGTTGTGCCCATCTGGTATCATCAAAGTGAAAGTAGGCTCTAGGCCTTGATCTCCAGGTCTCTTGGCACATGGGGCTTTAGGGGACTTTTCTCTCCACTTCTCTGGAACCTAGCGTCCCTCCCAGGAGTTTACAGCCTGCTCCTCTGGAGCTAACTGCTCCTCACCAAGAAACCTGCGGTGGACTAGAACTTCCAGTCATCTGGGAGGGCTCTGGTTTCTTGCCCCTCACGCATCTGCCTTCAGCATGGCTCCTAGGTACGTGCTTCCAGGTGACGTCTGCTGAGCCTGGGATGGCTGTGAAAGCTTTTTCTACCGTCTGTTAGTCTGGCCTCCCTCGCACACAAAAATAAATGTGTGGTTTCATTTTACTTTTGTCCTTTAGGTTTTAAACATTTTAAGTCTTAAACAAGTGTTAAACACTAGTGTAAGTCACCAGTGACTGGGCGCTTAACATGTTAGACCAGGAGGCTTTGTTTTTGTTTTGTTTTTACCTTCTCTCCCCTGGGCCTGCCCCCCCGTTGATCTCTCACCCTCCTTTCTGCAGGCACTGACTCTGGCTTTGAATCTGAAAGACTCAGGAAGTGGGGTGGCAGGTCCCACTGCCTCGTCCCTCCATGTCCCCGCACAGCTGATTATTGTGTACCTTTGGTTTCAATAGCTACTCTGACCTATGACACTCTTCGATTTGCTGAGTTTGAAGATTTCCCAGAGACCTCGGAGCCAGTTTGGATATTGGGTAGAAAATACAGCGTCTTCACAGGTATGTGCTGTGTTGGAGCCCACTGTGCTTTTAATGCTCAATCTCCAAATCCTTTTTGTGGTAATAATAGTTATCTGCTAACTCTAACTTGTGACTTAGTGCTTACACCTCTGTGTGTGCATGTGTTTTCTTCTTTTAAACATTCTTTAGAAAAGGACGAGATCTTATCTGATGTGGCGTCCAGACTCTGGTTTACATACAGGAAGAATTTCCCAGCCATTGGTAAGTACTGCCTGTCACAATGTGTGGTGATGCAATGAGCACATTTTAGAAGGTGGAAAACAGATTGATAATTAGGTTGACGTGGATATGCCTAGTACTTGTCACTTTGTGTTAATCCGCATGGCAACTGCAGGATAGTGAGTTGGTGAGTCTTGCCCCGAGTTGTGGCAGAACTAGATTCCAAATCCAGGACTTCCGACAGTGGCTTCCAACCGTAAGTCACCATATGTTACTGGGGCTTAAAGTCAGGATAAGGAGTCCCAATCAGCAATGAAAATGGGCAAGACAGTGCACTGTAAAGGAGCGAATTCTGCAGAGGCTGTGGTTAGATTATATATTTGAGTTTTGTTCTGGGTCAGGGCTGTAGGTCCAGGGTGGCTGGAGGTTGTTGTTCTGTACCCAGTATCTTCTCTAGTACGTTCTACACATAGATGTGGGAGAACTGAAGAGCAGAGTGGATGGGACAGGTTTTCCCATGCTACTAAAGTATGTTTCATTAAAAATGATTCTGCATCATTGTGCTCTGGAGCCGGACAAAAGTTGGGGACCAGCTTGGCCTGGCCTTTGCCAGTCAGAAGACCTTTGACCAGAGGTTCGGGGCCAGGAGGCTACACCTCCTCAATGCCTAGTCTTGATTTGATTTATCTCCAATATGTGGTTTCTTCTGTTCTTCAGAAGTGAGGTGGGCCGAAGCCGGTTTGGCTCAGTGGTAGAGCGTCGGTCTGCGGACTAAAAGGTTCCAGGTTCAATTCCAGCCAGGGGCATGTACCTTGGTTGCGGGCACATCCCCGGTAGGGGGTGTGCAAGAGGCAGCTGGTCGATGTTTCTCTCTCATCGACGTTTCTAGCTCTCTATCTCTCTCCCTTTCTCTCTGTTAAAAATCAATAAAATATATTATTAAAAAAAAAGAAGAAGAAGAAGAAAAAGAAGAAGTGAGGTGGGTGTAAAATAGCCACAATGCTTGACATTGGGAAACTGAAATGTGGGGAAATGAGGTCATTGTCCCCACAGGTTAATACTTAATGATATGATTTGTCAGGTGCGCTCTGTTCTGGTTGCACACCTGCTCTGAGGCTGTTTTGCTGGGCCCTGGTTGCAGGAGGTGCAGTTGCCCACTTGCCAATTGAGGGGTGCTGTGTGGACAGTGCTGTTCTGCAGATGAGATGTCTGAACACAGGGAAAGAGGACAGGCTAGAGAGGAGTCTTATGCTGTTTGACACAGTCGTTGATGAGGAGTTGGGCTGTCGCCAACTTCTGAAGGCCAGTGTGGTGTTTCCTCCCTTTGCCCCTTAACATAGCTTGTGGCATAGGAGGTGGAGTGGGGAGAGACAGGTACCATGCTGAGTACCTTTTCTGGTCTCACCCAAGAGGTGGGCTTTGTCCCTGTGTGCCTGGCAGGGTTCATGCGGCTCAGAGGTGAGACTGCAGCCCATATGGTCTGGCTCCAGAGTCTTCTTGTTTAGTGCCAGCCATCCCAGGCCTTGCTGATGGTTAGTACATCATGGCATTTCCTGTATGTCGGGGCCTGTCTCACTATATGCGATACCACGTGCCCAATGTCATAATCTGCGCACCTGTGAATATATGGAACCTTTGTCCTCAGGGCTGACTCTGAATCCTATCCCCTCCCAGCACCGACCACCTTCCTACTCCACTGTCTACTGACTGGGTACTGATGGCTCATGGGCACAGTGTATCCTCCTGTTTTCCAGACATTTGTCCTCTGAGATTTGTTCATATATTTTGCCCATTTGAGAGGGTTGTTAGGACATTTCACTCCCCAGCAGTGGGTCCTCAGCGCGACCACGTTCTGGGTTGTGTGTGTTGCCGAGATGGTGCTGACACCTTCAGTGTAGAGTGGCCTGACTGGGGGCTCTTCTCTCTACGCCACCACAGGGGGGACCGGCCCCACCTCGGACACGGGCTGGGGCTGCATGCTCCGCTGTGGACAGATGATCTTCGCGCAGGCCCTGCTGTGCCGGCACTTAGGCCGAGGTGAGTCACCTGGGGAAGCAAGGACTATGGGAGCAGTTGTGTAAACACAGATGAGGATTCAGGGGCTTCTTCAGTAATGACCCACTGATTTTCATTGATTTTTAAAAAATGACTTTAAAGAATCCTGATAAATGTTTGTCTTCAGAATTCTCTTTAAACCCCTGAAACCATTGTTTTCTGTATGGATTTGTGTTGATGGATTGGCATTTTTGGAATCTTAGAAAGGTTCAAAGTGGTTTGGATGCCATCAGTGTTGCATAACATAAAGGCTTCTTTCTCACATTTTGGTAAAACTGCACTTCTGGACCTGTCTCCATTAGATTGGAGGTGGACACAGCGGAAGAGGCAGCCGGACAGCTACTTCCACGTCCTCAACGCATTCATCGACAGGAAGGACAGTTACTACTCTATTCACCAAATAGGTGGGTGGGAGCAGGGTGCCCATGTTTTGGGGTTCTCAAGAGCTTTGTTGTATTGTCGTATGTACGGTGTGAAGCTTGTCACCTCTGTAGGGCTAGGTTGCTCGTCATAGCATCTGTGAAAATTAGATTCAGTGAGGGAATCCAAATGCTCCTGTGTTTTAAGCAAGTTCAACTTCTGAGTATTATGTTATCATTGTAGAAAGAAGTAAAAACACAACTCTAAACTCGGGGTCATTTTACTCCCGCTCCTCATTGAAGGACTGGAATCCTGGCTCAGAGTAAAGGACAAATCTTGAGACATTTATCCATTTTGGATAAAGCACACTGGTGTCCATCAGCTCATGCTGGAGGCAGGTTTGGGCTTGCTTGTCCAGCCTTCCCATAAAGTGTTCCTCAGCCATATGCCTCCAGGACTAGCCTTTTCTAAGAAGTGGGGGAGGGATGGTGGTGGTTGATAAGTGTGTCACTAATCAGATCTGTTTCCTGCAGCGCAAATGGGAGTTGGCGAGGGCAAGTCGATTGGCCAGTGGTACGGGCCCAACACAGTCGCCCAGGTTCTCAAGTATGTACCAAGCTCCATCCCTCCCATATCATATCTTTGGGGAACATGGCATACATAGATGTACCTGGGATGTCCAGACTCTCCTGAGGCCTGTTACTAAAGGACATAAGTGGTCTCTTAACTCTTCATAGCTTTGAGGAGTCCTCAGAGGTGACCGTCATGTGGTGTTGAATTTTGTTTTCTAAAGGAATAATTACCTTCATTCAGATTGCACCCATTAGTGTGGGCCTTCGTTCTGTGTCTAGTGGTGGATCCATCCATCACAGTGGTCTGATGGTCAGGGAAGTTGGAACTGATAGGGAAAGACAGCACTGTAGTGAGAAGGCGACCCTCCATACAGGCTCTGTGGGGCTCTGCCTCTGTTCTGACTGTCTCCCTCCTTCCTTGAAACCTGTCTCCAGCCTTGGCCTCCCGTGTACCTCTTGCCTCGCTGTCTGCCCTCCTGCTCTCTGTCCCCATGGAAGGCTCCCACAGGCATCCCTATGTGACTTCCTGGAATTGCCCTTTTATTTCCTCCACATGATGGATGATTGCCGTCTCTATCCAGCTGTCCTCTGCAGGTTCCTTGGGATCTTCCTGGACACTTTCTTTTCTTACATGTCCAACTTCCAGCTGGTCCCCCAAGCCTGACATTGTCTCTCCATCTCCTTATCCAGGCCTCTGGATCACTTAGCCCTCCCACAGTCCTTTAAAGTCCTGGGCCCAGTGTTGCATGCCTTGAAAGTGTAGTTTATTTGTGTGGTTGGCCTGCATGGTCTGTGAGTTCTTTCTGTCTTGTACTACTCACTGACACCTTCCTTCCCTCTGCTGCCTTGAAACACCCCAATCGAGGTTACCATCAACCTGTCATGTCTGAAGGCCGAGTTTCTGCTCCTACTAGCCATCAGCAAGCAGCCCTTAGTTCAGGCACTTGCTGTCTTTTGAAATTCAGGCCACAGAGCCATGCTCTCTAGTTCTTCTGTCCCTCTGGCTGCCTCGGAATCTGTTGCTAGCCCTCCCCACCTGTAAACACTGCAGGCCTTGTCTCAGTACTATGGCTGCTTCTCTGCCCTGCCCATGCCCAGCTTTTGCTGTTGTCTGCTCATACTAAACTCCCAGAGTCACAGCCCCCAGTGCTAATCTGTCCTATCAAGATGTTCACTCAGCATCTTAGATGTCCAAGGGACATGTTGATCTAACAGCCAGAACCCTAAGCTGAACCTTCCCCTACCCTGCCTGCTTCTCCTTCACTGAGGCAGCCCTTCCTTCCTGGCACTCAGGCCAGATACTGAGATTATACTTGGCTCTTCTCTCTCAAGACACTCATCCAGCGTGCCCTAACCAGTGTGCCTTGCTTCACTGTCCGCACTGTGGTCTAAGCCCTGGTTCTTGCCTTCTTGTTGGTCTTTCTTCTCTTTGCCATTCTGGAGTCTCTTTTCAAATAACAGCAGAAGTCATCTTCACATTTATAAGTCAGCCACCCATCCCTCCTCTGCTCAGCACATCCCAGGCTTCCCAGTGAATGCAGGAAAGCTGCAGGTGCACGCCTGGCTGCCCTGTGCTCCTCCCTGGCACGTGGCACTTTTTCTTCTCAGAGGACACACCACCTCAGGCTCTTTGCACATGCTGTAACCTTTGCATCAGGGCCTTCCTGCACTGCACTGGTCGTGCCCCTCCTGGCCCTGCTTTGTTTTTTAGGGCACTTACTACCTCATAGGATTACGTCTTTCTTGCTGTCCCCTTCCCCCTGTGTTAGCCTCTCTAGGGGCTTTGTCTCACGTGTCATTGCTTCTTCAGCACAGCTTCTGGCCCTCAGCACCGGAGCAAGGTGGCTGGTGCAGCAACTGCAGGTGCTCTCTTGGATTCCTATCTGGCCTTTACCCCAAGAGGGACTCTGTGTGGACAGCCCTATACCCCAACCCTCCACCTGTGTCCCCAGACCCATTAGGTCCTCTCTCATGGGAGCCCACCTCCACTGCACTGAGTAAGTTAGATGCTTCCCACACCCCCATTATACTTCTGGTGGCAGTCTGCATTAATTCCAGAGCCAGAATCCTGTGGCCACCATTCCTCAGTCATTTACATTCGGGAACCTCAGCTCAGCACATCTGGGGTAGAATTGAAGGGAGCAGGGCTGGCAAAGCCTGCAGTATCTGACTCCTGGCTCATGATCTAGTTCCCACCTCCACATGCCAACTAGGTCAGAACATGACATCACTAAGAAGCTCCTGTGCAGGAACTTCCTCTCTGCAAAGGGCAGCTGGGGGTCATGGAAGAAGCGCTGGACCCCGGGAGGAAGAAACAGGTTCTGGCTTCAGCTTTATTCATGCCTGTGGCACTGACATCTCTGAGTCTTGGCTTTTCTTCTGTGAGAAACACTGTTCCCTTAGTGTCCTGCAGAGCTGAACCATCTTTGAATTATGAAAGCTTACTGGCATGTCCTCCCCCTTTCTGATAGGAAACTTGCTATCTTCGACACGTGGAGCGCCCTGGCTGTCCACATAGCAATGGACAACACGGTGGTGATGGAGGATATCAGTAAGTGACAACAAAGCAGGGTTGGGACTGACGGGCCTTGGGGAGCAGTAGCTGAGCACTTATTCCTCCCGGGCAAACTGGGGCCTCGCCTGAGAGTGGTGACTATGAGTCCTGCACAGTAGCAGACATCCTAAACAGAGGCCAGGGGACCCCAAGTTTCCTTACAGAGAAGACCAGGCTAAGGAGTAGGGTCTGGATTTTCTTTAGAGCTGGGTTACTTAGGACCCCCGTGGCTTTTATGCCATTAAGGCGTGCTGGGTTAAGCTGCATTTGTGCAGGTGTTCATGTGCATAATGCACCGCCAAGGAAGGCTGGAACAACTGATTTTCTAACTCGACCCTCTCAGGCCTAGATGTAACACAAAGCAGGGACATAGCTCCGCCCTTTTCTGGGAGGATCCTCGGGAATCAGAATCGGCGCACACAAGTTTGGACTAGAGCAGAAGGAGTTCTCAGTTTGGCAAATAGCTTGTCATGAGCGAGTTTTGACTTCACGGTTTACATTTTATTATCCACCTAAGCTGATAGAGCTCTGTTTTAATTAAGGCCTACTTAAGTTTTCTCTCAGCAGCACTGATTCCTCAATGAATTTCCCAAAGCAGCCTCAACCCCAATTTTATTGAAGTTCCACATGTAGATTGTTGCCTTGAATCTAATTTTATGAATGAGAGAGCACTTTGAGCTATATTCTTTCAAGTATGTAGATTTGCAGGTCAAAGTGGATGTTTAAAGCAGGTCTTGCACACATGACTGCCAGTCTAGAGCATGTTCACAAGTGTTCCTGTCAGCTCACAGGGGTATTGCTTCCCTGCCAGGCAATGTGCCCATTCCGGGACCCTGTCAACATGGGATTGGGGAGCCAGGGATGTGACTTATTAATAAAAAGCAACACTGGTTTCTGCAGCTCTGAACACTCTGGCAAATATCTCATTCCTTAATAATTCTGTTCCCCTGAGAGGTGATGAACTTGGAACCATAGCAGAACGGTGTATAGTTCCTCTTTCCTTTTCTCCATATTCCATTTCTGAAATTTTTCTGAGACATTGAAAACTTAGGAAATGTGCAAAGAAGGTGAGGGGGGGATCACTTGACTTTACCTCTCAGAAATAGCTCATATTGACATGTAAGCATAATTGGTTCTGGTGGGATGTTTGTTTGTTTGTTTGTTTGTTTTTAAAAATACATAGGATCATAAGCATTTTCTCCTGTCAGTGAAAATGGGGAGAGAAGCTTGGGTTCAGCAAAGCAGAAAGTGGAGAAATAGTGCCCAGTTATAACTTATTGTCTGGCTGCTCAGCGCTCCGTTACACCTTAATTTCTTTTTGGGGGATTGTTCTTTACCTTTCTCAGGGTCTAACCCAGTCACTGGTCCAACCCCTGGCTTCTGGCTACAGACTGGTTGCTCCAGGGCAGTGGCCAGGAAGAGACAGGGGACAAGTGGCTTTCCAGAACCCCCATCTGTCTTTGGGGGAGGGGATGATCCTGTGAGGGCCCTCTCCAGTCTCTTCTGGGAGTCTTGGTCATTCAGAGCAGCCGAGCTGAAACTGTGATGAGATGTGAACCCAGGCTTATCCCAGGAGCTTGTGGATCTGGTTCTGGGCAGAGTGTGACCTGCATTGTTAACAGGCTCTCAGGTGTTATGTGTGTGGCCATTTGGCCAAGATCAGGGCCTAGTCTCACTGCTTCGTCCTCCCCTTCCTTGGGTCAGGAGTTATGGGTGCACAGCACAGGAATAAGTGGAGGATGAGTACCCAAATTTAGGAAGAAGAGCATCAGAACACAACCAACAAGAACACTGGGACTGAACACTCAGTGTAGTGAGGTGCGGGGTGAGGGGAGGTGATTCTAATGGCTCATCCTGATTCCTTTGGGCTTTGAGAGCTCAGGCTTCATAGACACAGGTCAGCTGCTTTCCTGGTGCGCTGCTGAGTCACCAGGGTAGCAGGCTGGGGAGGGAGGCTTGGGTTCAGCAAAGCAGAAAGTGGAGAAACAGTGCCCAGTTTCTAAGAAAAGCCCATTGATGTCAGAAATCTCATAAGCCCCTCTCCAAGTGATGGAGGTTGCTTACAATGTTCCTGCTCAGATTTTATGGAGAATGTGCCAGGTTAGGGGACACTTTGTTCCTGAGGTTTCCGTGCCCGCCCACCCACCCCTGAGGGCCCATTGGGACGTCCAGAGCAGGCCCTGACTGTGTTAAAGTTGATAAGAGTCACACCTTTGTAAACACAGTGGATTATGGAAGTCGAGGAACTGAGGGAGAAATAGATTAGAAAACATGACAGTGATTACAGGTGACATAGGAGAAAACCGATTAATACGAGAATAGTCAGAAAGCTGTGGGGCAGATAATCCGATGGCAGAAATAGAAATAGAGCAAAATAGAAATAACCATGTGGGTTGGAATGGCAGCAGTAAAGGAATTGGGGCTGGAAGAAGAGTTGAGCCTTTAGCCTGGCTGGTGTGGCTCAGCAGTTGAGTGTCAATCTAGGAACCAAGAAGTTGCTGGTTGGATTCCTGGCTATGGCACATGCCTGGGTTGCAGGCTTGATCCTATGTCAGGGGTGTGCAGGAGGCAGCCGATCGATGATGTTCCTCGCTCATCGATGTTTCTATTTCTCTATCCCTCTCCCTTCTTCTCTCTCTAAAAATCAATACATTATTATTATTTTTTTTTTTTAAAAGAGTTGATCCTTTAGAGTTAACCTCAAATTTTTAAAATCAAGAATATGGAAAATATGCAGGTTTCTGGTAACAGTTCCAAATTGCAAAAATGAAGAGAAATTTATAAGCGTCTAAATAATAATAATCTTGAGAAGAAAGGCTGTTCACTGGTATTACAGCCTCATCTTCCTGCCACCAAACATCAGAAAATGTTCTTCTTTTTTTTTTTTTAAATATGTTTTATTGATTTTTCACAGAGAGGAAGAGAGAGGGATAGAGAGTTAGAAACATCAATGAGAGAGAATCATCGATCAGCTGCCTCTTGCACACCCCCCACTGGGGATGTGCCTGCAATCAAGGCACATGCCCTTGCCCGGAATCGAACCCAGGACCTTTCAGTCTGCAGGCCGACGCTCTATCCACTGAGCCAAACCGGTCCCGGCCAGAAAATGTTCTTAATTCTGAAAGACCTGGGTTCAGGAGGTCAGGAAGGCAAATATATATTGTTTAGTTGTTGTCATTGATCAAAAGACAAAAAACAGGACTTAAAAAGATTAAGAAATGTTAGGAGAGCACTAGAAAATTATAAATGGGTTGTTGAGACAAAGGAAAACCCATTTATTAACAGGACACTTGTAACATAACAGGCCACAGGTAGGCTCTCAAGTCCCAGGGTGCAGCTGTGATAGGCCCTGCCCCATTCTGAGCCAATTCATGTGTCTGGTGTTCTGGTATTAGAAATCAAATCAGCAAGAGAATGTTCTCATCACAAAGCATAATCTCAAATGCAGGGAAGCAAAACTTATGCTAACACAGAGACCATGTCAGGTCAAATAAATAAAAGCTAAGTTACAGACAACCATCATAACAGTAAGAGTATAACAGATATGTATCAAAGACTAGGTTCTGGTAACAGAGCGTACCTCTTTTAAATGTTTATATAAACTAATGCAGAATAAATAGGGAAAAAGACAAAACTCTACTACCTTGAAGTTTAAACCTCTATCTTAGCTTTTGGGTCAAAAGAGGCCAAGTTAACAGGCTACATAGCAGAATTCTGCATCTTCATACTGGTGTTCAGAAAATAAAAAGTGAAAATTAAGTTGGAAAAGAACAAAATTGTTGGAAGAAATCCCCAAAGAGTGTTATGATGACACCAAATGCAGTGATTGATGATTTTAAGGAAGAAAGGGTAGAACTAATAACTTCCTGAACTGGCCCTTTCGAACAACATGCAGATCACCAGACAACTAATGCAAGGGGGAGTGGAAGAAATCAGATCTCTGTTTAGAAATTCTCTGTGATGAGAACATTCTCAACTGCTGGCCTCACTGTCAACCTTTGGTTCTAATATGTATCACCCACCCACCAAGCAATTGACACCAACTGAGTTTCCTACAATTCATCCCAGTCTGACACCATCTACCTGGAGATGGCGTCAGACCCCACAAGTTAAGGCCTCAGTCCTCCAAGATTGTACCTCTTTCCCCTCACCTCAGAGGCCAATATCTCAAGTCCAGGTGTCACCTATGCTTCTGACCAACACTATAAATTGGAGGTTTCCACCACCCCCTCGGGTTGGATTATTTGCTACAGCGGCTCAAAAAACTTAAGAGAGACATGTTATAGATCACGAGTTTATTTGAAAGGATATGAATCAAGAACAGCAAGATGGAGGCGCTTCCCTGCCCTCTCCACGTACCACTCTCCCAGCATCTCTTCTGGTCCACCAGCCCAGAAGCTCTCTGACCCCCCTCCTGGGTGTTCATGGAGGCTGCATTACACAGATGAAGTCATTGCTCCTTGCTGATGGAGCTCCCTTCAGCTCCTTTCCAGAAAGTTCAGCCCTTAATCTGCTTTGGTTCCCATGGCAGCCCCCACCCTTGGGACTTCACAAGTCTCGTTAACATAACAAAACACCTGTTTGCTCTAGTCATTTAGGAAATTCCTACTGTCAGAGCTCTGTGCCTGCAGTGAGATGTACCAGCAGACCAAGTATATATTTCTTAAAATCACAGAAAATTTAGCCAGAGTTAAAGAAGAAAGATAAAATCTCACCACCACTACCACCACCCCAAAAAAAGAAAAATCTCACTCCCAGTCTTTTCTTTTTTCCAACCATTTACTTTGGATTCCAGTCCTTTGCTATTAGGTACTTCACAGATGAGCTGCTGCTTCCCAACTGCTGGCCTCACTGTCAACCTTTGGAACCTCCTGGATCCTGGAGCCAGGCCATTTCAGACTCTTAATCCAGAAAGTACTCCCCCCCACACACACACACACACACCCTCCTTGTTCTTCACAGCACTGATGTTTTTGAAGAACCCAGGCCAGCTCAGTAGAATGTCCCACACTCCATCTATTGTTTCCTCACTGTTACATTCGGACTAAACATCTTGACCAAGAGCACAACCTGGTGGCTGTGTCCTCAGCATCACAGCAGGAGGCTGCTCCTGGTCAGTGATACTTTCTGGTCACCTGGTGAGGGCAGTCTTTCCCTGTGACTAATGGGTGGTCTGGGAATAATACATGGTGACCTCTCTAAGGCAGTCAGTCTTTCCTCCCAGGTTGGTTGGCATTCTGGGAAAGAGCCCTCTTTTCTTCTCTCCACCACCTTATTTATATTTGAAGAACTTTTAGGGTCAGTACATTCATGGACTGTTTTTTAATTCAATGTGTTGTCCATTTTGAATATCAATCATTGCCCCAGATTTGACTGGTGGGCATCTCTGCAGGTGGTTCTGTCTTTTGTTGGTTCCTGTCATTTTCCTTGATCAGCATCCCCTTTCTGGCATTAACTAGATCCTGGTTCCTTTCAGCAGGAAAGGTGTTTAGAAACTAGACTGAGTGCCGGGTGTGCTCAAGGCCACTGGAGTATCTGTTTCTTTTTGTTGTTGTTAATATTCAATATATTTTCACTGACTTTTTAGAGAGAGTGCAAGGGAGCGGGAGACACAGAGAGAGAAACATCTATGTGAGAGAAACATGTTAATTGGTTGCCTCCCGCAGGGTGAAATAGGATGTTGGGGAGTGAGCCTGCAACTGAGGTACATGTCTTTGACCAGGAATCAAATCCAGGACCCTTCAGTCTGCGGGCCAGTGCTCTATCTGCTGAGCCAAACTGGCTTGGAAATTCCAAAAATTGGAGCTCTGTGCCTGCAGGCTAAAGCTTCTGTCTCTTCTTGCCACCAAACTTCCTCATTCATGTATTTGTTGAAAGTTGGCCGGTACACTTAGAAGTTGCCTAAACGTTTAAAAGGAGAGTAGTTGTTCCTTGTTGTTCTTGCTGGGGATGGGGTCACAGAAGTTTGGGGACCTGGTGAGTGCTCTATTGGCCAGGCTGCTGGCTACATGGAACCTGTTAAGGGTGACTTTCTTAAGGTGTCCACAGATGTGTTCTTGCACTATTTTCTGTTCATGCTTTATTTCACAATAAAAATGTTTAATTGAGCTGAAACTGTTTTGGCTCAGTGGTAGAGCGTCCGTCTGCGGACTGAAATGTCCCAGTTTCGATTCCAGTCAGGGGCTTGTACGTTGGTTGTGGGCACATCCCCGGTAGGGGGTGTGCAAGAAGCAGCTGGTCGGTGTTTCTCTCTCATCGACGTTTCTAGCTCTCTCTCTCTCCCTTCCTCTCTGTAAAAAATCAATAAAAACATATATTTTTTAAAAAGTTTAATTGAACACAGAAAATGTTAGGTTTTTTTTTTCTCTGTGTGCAGCAGGGTTAGTCTTACACTTTATTTCTCAAGTTTGAGTTGTGTTTTGTACCTGTTTCTTTTGGATGAACTTGTATCTACTTATCCCATAAGAGCACATCTCCATTTTTCAGGAAGGTTATGCAGGAGCAGCCTTCCATGTGCGGAGGCCACTGCGTTTCCTGCAGATTCTGAAGGGCACTGTAATGGACTCCCTGTGGGAGCCGAGGTCACCAACAGGTCATCACTGTGGAGACCCCTGGTGCTTCTCATCCCCCTGCGCCTGGGGCTCACAGACATCAATGAGGCCTACGTGGAGACACTGAAGGTGAGTCTGTGTTGGATCTGTCTTCTCACGGACCACTGGGGGGATTGAAATACTGTTTTGCATTAAAACCCTCTGTGTCACCATCTTGGCCCTATCCTCCAGCCCTCTGACCTCCCTGTGACCAGCCCGGCTGCTTTTCCCAGTGGCCCTTGTGCTCTTCCCTAGCCTGGCTCCTCCTACTTACTTGGTGGTCCCAGTGGCCTCCTGTCTCCACCCAGCTGTGGTATGCAGGCCTCCTCTACATGCCTTTTTTGACACCCGCTGACTCGTGCCTGCCCTCCTCCCGGGGCCCGCATGCTCACCTTCCTCAGGCCCGTCCCCTGCACAGAGCTCCTGAGCCACAGCACGTGTTTCTTTCTTTTCTTTTCTTTTCTTTTCTTTTCTTTTCTTTTCTTTTCTTTTCTTTTCTTTTCTTTTCTTTTCTTTTCTTTTCTTTTCTTTTCTTTTCTTTCTTTCTTTCTTTTTTTTTTTTTTTTTTTTTTTTTTTTTTTCCTAAATCAGGGTGTGTCACCAGGATCCTGAAATCAGGAGGACCATGCTTAGTGAAGTTTCTTAGAGAAGAATTTTTTTTAATAGTTTACTGATTTTTAAAATATATATATTTTATTGATTTTTTTACAGAGAAGAAGAGAGAGGGATAGTTAGAAACATTGATGAGAGAGAAACATCGATCAGCTGCCTCCTGCACACCTCCCACTGCGGATATGCCCACAACCAAGGTACATGCCCTTGACCGGAATCGAACCTGGGACCCTTCAGTCCGCAGGCCGACGTTCTATCCACTGAGCAAAACCGGTTTCGGCAAGCACGTGTTTCTTGAACTCCTTCCTGACTAAGCTCTTGGAGGTTTATTATCCTCCTTGGGCCTCCTGTTCAGGGGTTGCACCTGCTGCTTGCACCTGCTCAGCAACCCACTTTTCCTCCCTTTTGCAGGGCTGTTTCATGATGCCTCAGTCCCTGGGAGTGATTGGAGGGAAACCCAACAGTGCCCACTACTTCATCGGCTATGTGGGTGAGTTGGGGGGTTCCGCGTGATGCCCCAGTTGGCCGGATGATGAGGGGGAGTGATCTTTAGGGCAGTCCCGTGGAACAGAGCTGGCCCCCCACACCTAGAGGTGGCTTGACCCAGGGCCACCAGTTGAAAAGCAGCATGACCCCACCCCATCTACCTTCTATCTTTCCCAACTTGGCTCATCCAGTCGATGGTTTTGGTGTGGCAGGTCTGAAATAGGACCCCCACTGGCTCCCTCTGTGCTGACTTTCATGTTGTCTTGCCAGGTAAGGAGCTCATCTACCTGGACCCCCACACAACACAGCCAGCGGTGGAGTTCACTGACAGTTTCTTGATCCCAGATGAAAGTTTCCACTGCCAGCACCCCCCGAGCAGGATGAGCATCGGAGAGTTAGACCCGTCCATTGCTGTGGTACATTGCCTACTCCATCCCATTGTCCCCTGTGAATGTGGGAGCTTATGGGCACTTGGGTCCTGCGTGGCCTTTGCTGCTGAGCCACTTAGGAGATGCAGGTTGAGGCCAAGTCTCAAACCCATCAGCCTAGCCCCTGTTCAGGGTTACAGGGGAAGAGACTCTGTGCTCTGCCATGTAATTATACCTGCTTCATTCTAAGGCCTTAAAAAAACACACACAACCTGCATGACCTGGGACAGTCAGGGCAGAGGGCAAAGAGTGGAGACATGGATGGAGACCATGGAGAGGGGCAGAGGCTAGAGAAGTGAGGATGGTGGGAGGTGCCCCAGGGTCCCTGCACTGACACTGGGAATGGAAATCTGGCCTCATATGTGGCCAAGTTCAACCTGGTGCCCACTTATACTGCTTTCTGCTTACCATTGTTTTTCCTTTCAGGGCTTTTTCTGTAAGACTGAGGATGACTTCAATGACTGGTGCCAGCAAGTAAAAAAGGTTGGTAGCGCATGGCGGGTGTGGCTCCATGGTTAATCGTCACCCTGTGAACCAGGAGGTCACAGTTTAATTCCTGGTCAGGACACATGCCTGGCTTTCAGGCTTGGTCCCCAATGGGGGCTGTGCAGGAGGCAGCCGATCAATGATTTTTCTCTCATCATTGATATTTTTCTCTCTCTTTCTCCCTTCCTCTCAGAAACAAACAAACAAACGTGTGTGTGCGTGTGTGCGTGTGCGTGTGCGTGTGTGTGTGTGTGTGTGCGCGTGCGTGCACACGTGCGCGCGCGTGCACACGTGCATTTTCAAAGGGGGTTGGTAGCAACTCCGCTGTCTGTGTGGTTGGGTTTCTGGCTCGTCACCTGCTTCCCTAGTTATTCCTCATTCCTCCACCCGTGCACCACTGTGAAGCGTCCTGTGGCCCTTGTATGGTTGCTGCTTCTGGCATCGTCTCATTGTGATTAGAGGATGTGGGACTGACATTGTTTGGGAACTTTAGAATGGGGTTTCTAAAGCCTCGTGTTCATCAGCCTCATGTTGACAGAGTGTTGAGATAGGGTTTTTGCCTCCAGGGCTGTTTCCTTAGGATGGATAGGCAGGCACCATGTTGGATTCCCATTTCAGCCAAGGGTTAAGAGTCTCAGTCTGCTCTTGTCACTGTTTCCCTGATCACAGTGGTGATTGGGAAGCGGGGGACGGGGGGATGAGATGGGGGAGATACTATGCCCCCTTACACTGCCTCTAATGGCTGTGTCTTGCTAACAGTTGTCATTGCTTGGAGGTGCCCTGCCCATGTTTGAGCTGGTGGAGCAGCAGCCTTCCCACCTGGCCTGCCCTGACGTCCTGAACCTGTCCTTAGGTGAGTCTGAGACCGCAGGGCCACATCTCAAGTGGACATGGGTGCTGCCTTTTTGTTGCTCGGATATGTTTTGTGTGATGCTTCTGTCCTCCCCTCCTAGCTTTTCCCCAGGTCCCATTACTTTTGACCTTCAAGATTTGTGTGGGCCCAGGCCAGGTAGTTTAGTTGGTTAGAGCATCGTCCTAATAGACCAAGGTTGCGAGTTTGATCCACTCCAGTCAGGGCACATATAAAAATCAACCAATGAATGCATAAATAAGTGGAACAACCAATCAATCTACCTTTTAAAAAATCAATAAAAAGATTTCTATGAACCCTAGATTCAGTCACTTGGTGATTTATATGTGCAACAAGGGACCAGAGACACTGCTGAGTATCCCCCTCCTTTCGCCGAGTGTAGCAGCAGCAGTCTGACCCTCATCTTTACCCCACATGCAGTCATCTGGCCCTGTGCACATGTATCTGGGAGTGTTCCTCACAGGTTCTGGGTTCTGTATGATCAGAATATGCTGGGCCTTTTGTAATGATATGAGCTCTCCATGCAATCCATCGTGTGAGTCAGTCCTGCTCTGTTTGACCAGGGCTGCAGGCAGGCTTTGCATCCCACTACTCCATGATTCTGGGCCCAGGGGCCTTCTTCCTCGAATAGACCCTCAAATCCCTCCAACTGTACTGAGCATGTGGCACACAGAAAACGGAGACTTGGCATTGAGGCTGTGAGCACATCCAGTTCACACCTCCATCTGTTTCCGGGAAGACCAATGTGAGGTCTGCGATGAGCCTGTGGAACTATGTATTGAAGGTCACTGAGGACAAAGATGATGGAGCCTGCTGTCCTGTTTCTGTGAAGATCATTGAGGAGGATGGAGCCAGCTGTCCCATTTCCATGAAGATCACTGAGGAGGAGGAGGATGGAGCCAGCTGACCCTTGACTGAAAATCATTGAGGATAGTGATGGAGCTACCTGTCCTGTCTCTGTGAAGATCATTGAGGAAGAGGATGGAGCCATGACGATGGAGCCTGCTGCCTGACAGAACCACATGGGGGTCAGGGTGTTGGCATTGAGACTCAGGACAGATGGTTCAGGGTTGGCACTCCTCTTGGGACTGGTGGCCCTTGCCCTCAGCCCCGTCATGTACCCCTAGGCTCTGGTGAGCAATGTGTCTGCTCCTACTCCTGGTAAGTTTCTGAGATCCCTTTCTTGCTCCCTTCCCTGCCAGTGAGACCCCTAGCCAATTAAGATCTGAAGGCTACAACCTCTGCTGGCTAGAGTCCTGAAGTCCTCTTGCCGCCTGCCACCTGAGCAAACACCCTTGTTCGTTGGACGCAGGGCTCCTGCACAAGCAGGCCAGCAGGTGTTGGTGCACACATAGCTGCTTGTCTTACCCTCACATTCAGAGTAACTCATGCAGGTGTCTGATGGGGTTTTGTCTCATTTCTTTTAGATTCTTCTGATGTAGAGCGACTAGAAAGATTCTTTGACTCAGAAGATGAGGACTTTGAAATCTTGTCCCTTTGAAAATCCTAAAGTTGGGGGACATCTCGACTGGCCCTTGCTGGGGGTGCCTTTGAGAGCCCAGTCTGGCCTCAGGGCGCTTGGTGCCACCGCATTTCATCCATTCTGCCCGCCTGCCCACTGCCCATGTCCCGGCCGCCTCTGCCCTCGATGGGGGACTGCATTATGCTCAAGGCCTCACTACAGGAGTGGGACTGCTCGGCCCAGACACTGGGCTGCTGGAGAGCGCCAGGAATTGCAGGGAGCAGAACAGCAGCGGGGCTTGAGTGTTCATGGCACCTTCGTCCTACTTCCTTCAGGCTCTCAGTTCTAGGTTTTCTTTGGAATTAAAGTCCCGTTTGAATTACTTGACACAGACATGCATTTCTGTTGGGCCTGTTCTGAGTCCAAGAAGACTGAAGACCAAATGAGAAGCCCTGGAACTGGGCCTACATGCCCTCCACCTGCAGCCCTGCTCATGGCTCTACCAGGCTGCGTAGTGGGAGACAGGAAGGAGTGATCACCTGGCATCTCTCGGCTTTGGAGAGAGAAATAGAGAGAGGTGGGGCATGATGCAAACCAGAGACCACTGTACATGTGACTTGCCAGGAAAGAGCTATAGCTAGAGCCCAAATGGGTTCACTTTCCTCACCTTTTGGTTCCAGCATTTTGAGATACCCATGGGCTGCTGCTTACTTGTTGCACTGGCTTTCCCTGGGTGGGCAATGGGTGGTGGGTGAGTGTGGAGCTGCCTGGTGATCCTTGGGCCCATGCGGGACATGGGGGCACGGCAAACCTGGCGGGCAGAGGCTAAGGGCACCACAGAACTGCCCTCCCGGTACCAAAGCTTCAGATGGTTCAGGGCCAAAGAATGAAGCCCTGCTTATGATGCAAGACAGGCTCATCACGTCACTTGGAGACATTGCCAGATCTGACTGACAGCAGCACCTCAGCAGCCCTGCAATCCTGAACCCTGGTTGGGCCGGAGAGTATGGCTCCCATGCAGGCTTCGAGTCCTGAAGAGTAGCCTCCGTGGGACCTACCAACAGACATCTGGGGAGTTCAGGGAAGTGGCCCCTTCTTCCTTGGGAGCCTTCCTTGCAGACCCCTCGCTCCCTCGGCATCTGCAGTTTGGACAGCGGGTGGGAGCCCGCCTGATAGCAGAGAACACCCAGCCCCTGAGTATCGTCGACATAAGTTAATTTGCTCGTCTCTCCTTCCTTCCCCAGGGAAGGAGGAAGACTGGGCGGTCTCCATTCCTTCTGCTGCATCTTGGAAATGTGCCACCCTGTCTGCTGGGCCAGGGGGTCTTGCTGCAGCCCCCACTGTGGTGCATACGGTGGAAGTGGGTGATAACCTGACCAAAGGGGAGCTTTGTCTTAGTGATTTGAGAAGGGTTACTGAAGATTGTTGTCCATTCTTAGTATAGTTTGCAGTTCATGGCAAATAACAGTTTCAGTAGAAAACAAAGCCTATTGTCTCTGTCTTGACCTTTCAAAGTTAGTGATGGGGACAAGAATGAACTCATGTCCATGGGTCTCAGTGAGGATTTGTGGACTCATGGCAAGCTCATCTCCCCCACACTAGGCAGACAGACAGACCTCACCTGACAAGGCTCTGCTAGCTGTGACATGCCTCCTGTGATCCTAAAGCAAAGAGCATGAGGAAATTTGGTTTAGGAAAACACAATAACCCATTCTTCAGCAAGAGTGGTTACCCTAGTTAGATGTCCCTCTGGTGAGCTGAGACTACTGGTCTGACCCAAGATGTTCTAGCTGGACAATGCAGGGGTGACTGGCCTAGTTGGCTCCCTGCTTCCTGCCACCCATCCTGTTTAGATGCAAGGAGACCAATGCCAGACAAGAAAGCAGGAAGCACTGTGCTGATCCCCAGGTGAGGTGGCCCAGGAACCCAAGTCATGGCCTCTACTAACATCTGTTGGAACAAATCTTACCCAGTGGCTTCAAACAACAGACATTCAAGATCCTGAGGGCAGAGGTCAAACAATGTCAGCAGGAGGGATATTTCCTTGCCTTGTCCAGCTTCTAGAAGCTGCCCTCCACCCTCAGTGAAAATGCCTTTGCACACCTCCCTCTGGCTTGGCCTCTCCTGCTTCTTCTGTTGGAGACCCTTCCTCAACAGTCTAGGATGGCCTGTGTCAAGGACCCTCTGCCTTTAGGGACCTTGAGACAGAGGTGCTCTTCACAGGTTGTAGGGTTGTGAATGCAGATGTTTTTGGAGGCCTTTATTCTGTCAATGATCCAAAGGCTTCTTTAGGATGCTGGGAGGCAAACAGCCCCTCAGCTAAACCTGCTGCCACAACCCTGGCCAGGATGTTTGACAATGAGTGCTGTATTTATTGAAGGTTAAGTGGCCTTGATTTGGAGGTCAGCCCATTTCTCCCTTCGCCTAGCTCCACTGCCTACCTACCACCTGTGGGACTCTTGTTCAGCTCGGGCCTCTCTCAGCCAGCTATCTCTAACCCCACAGCTCTGAGGATGGTCTCTACTGAAACTTCCACTTCACCCTAACATCCTGACCCTGTGCAGAGAAAGTTCTAGTCCAGTTTCCAGCCCTTCCCAGCCTGTGCTGGCCTCACCCACTCCCCTCTTATCTTAATCTCACCCATACCCACTGCCAACACCAACCCTCCCTGAAAGCCATGATCTCTCCGTGAGTGCCAGCCTGATGCTGATGTGTCGACGAAGGCAGGGGAGCTACTGGTTCAGGTCTGAAGAAATCAACCCAGTTTCCTTATCATTCTAGATGGGACCAGGTTATGTAAGAAGTCAACCAGGCAGGTGAGTGAGAGGAGTGTCCCAGTAGGGGACCCAGGGACTATCTTAACATGGTAAGAGCCCAGCCTGTTTTGTCTTACGGACGGAAAATATAGCGTCTGTCACTGGTGACTAATTTGGTGCTTAACGTGTTAATGAAAACAATTGACTTTGTGACTCCTGGAATTCTGACCTCACCTTGTACAGTGTGGTCTGGTGGGTGTGCTGATGCCCAAGGGCAACCTGCTCCCATCAGCAGGGCTACAGCGAGCAACTCGAAACCCCTGTGAGCAGATACCAGAACCACGCCCCAGAACTGAGTACAGCTCCAGTCGTCCACTTGCTGTGCCTTGTGTCCTCAAAGTGATATGGAGGGACCAGGACAGAGGGCCAGGCAGCCTAGGTACATCCTGCCCAAGCCCACATGGGCATTAAAGAGAGCCTTATCTGTGGGGCCCAAAAAAGCATGGACCTTGCCTAGTTTGGGGGAGCTGAGGTCTGGCTGCTGCCACTGTGCTAGACCTGGCCATCTGTAGGTTCTGCCTCAGTCTGGTCTGAAATTGTGGTGACCACTTATACAACTCAGGGGTTAAGCAAGTACCACACCGTTTTGTTTTGCCTAGAATCCAGTGTCCGGGCTTCAGAAGGGCACTAACCCCACAGTGCTGTCTGTACAGAGGGGGTCCCTGTGTAGCACCTGGCAGATTTTCCTAGGAAGGGTCATGGAATAATTATACGTTAGAGCACTTCAAGATGTAACAGAATGAAGTCATATTCCTGGCACTTAGGACCACAGCGGAACAACAAAAGAACCAGCTGGCCCTAGCTGGTTTTTCTCGGTGAATAGACATCAGCCTATGGACTGAAAGGTCTCTGGTTTGAGTCTAGTCAAGGGCAAATGCCAGGATTGTAGGTTCAATCTCTAGCAGGGGGCTTGAAGGAGGCAGCCACTCAATGATTCCCTTTCCCTTCTCTAAAATCAATAAAAAAAATTTTTTTATTAAAAAAGGTACTATCTGTGTTCAGATGAAATGGGACATCACACATCAAGATAGCCAGCCAGACCATGCGAGGCCAGACCAGTGGGGGTGGTCCAGGGAAGCCCTCTGGGCCAATGTGAGGCCCTCCCACTCAGGACTCTAAGGAGAGGAGGCCTTTGACAACATACTTTCAATGTAATTTTTATTTGTGCCTGTAAGAAATTCAGATTTCAAACTGATTGCCATATCAATTACCTTATACCTGCTTGGATATGGTTATCGTTAAGTTTCAGTAAAAAGTGCAATAATTTACCATCATCAGGGTGAGAGGGCAGAGGAAGGCCAACTGACATACCACGAAGTTCCTGTGTCCAGGCCTTTTGAGAGGCCCATCGTAGCTCTGCTTGTCAGCTTGTGCATAGCCCCCATGTTGTGCAATGTGAACACTCCGCACATCAAGCCTTTCACAAGGCTCCCACCTGACAGGACCCAGGGAAGAGGATAATCCCTCCACATTTACGTCCACAGCTTCCCCAGCGGCCTCCGTGCTACGGTCTGGATGATATCCTCAGAGAGTGCACAAATCTCCTTGTGGACGTCTTCAATGCTTTTGGAAGCATCAACCATCTATTCCCATGGGATATCAGGAGAAAAAGGATGGTTAATGCTCTTCACCGTTCTTGGTGAGCATGTGGATTTCAGACAGGGCTGGGTCCTTGGGACAAAGCTGACCCACATAACTGCTGCATCCTAGATGCAGAAAAAACACCCCATCCTCCTGATCATCTTCCTCCTCCCTGTTACTCCCCCAGTGCATGTGTCCATGAGGTACCCACACATCAGCTCTCCTCAAGTCTGGCTGAGAAGGAGAGAGGGCAATGCCTGTGCTAGGCTATATTCCCACATCACAGGCCACAAAATTCACTCATTCAATGCTGTGTCCTCACATGGGAAGCATGAGAACCTTTGGTACCCAGCCCAGGAGAAACTGGTCTTCACCGGGATGGGAAGACTGGGGACTGAAGTCCCTCTCCTACCGTCAATCTACGTCTAGGCCAAGAACAGCCAATTCTGGAAAAGCTGGGGGGTGTAGACGCACTCAGAAAAATCCAATCATGAAGTCTGACTAGGCAAAAATGAAAATGACTCCCTCCAGATCCTTGAGACCCCACACAAGTACACCCTAAAGGACACCTCGCCAGCCACTGCTCCAGCCGCACAGCTTATACAAAACCTTCCAGACAGCAACACTGGGTGGTGTGAGGGGTGTTAGAACCATTTATTTTCAAATGGTCCTGGGGAAGTTTTTGTACTAGCAACTTTTCTGGAAGTATCTTATTGCTTAAAAACTTTTGAGAAAGAATGCTTAAAAAAAAAAAAAAAAAAAAAAAAAAAAAAAAACTTTCAGATAAACAAAAGCTGAGTAGTCTATTCAATTCCAGTCAAGGGCATTTCCCTTGGTTGCGGGCACATCCCCAGTAGGGTGTGTGCAGGAGGCAGCTGATCGATGTTTCTCTCTCATCGATGTTTCTAACTCTCTATCCCTCTCCCTTCCTCCCTGTAAGTAAGTAAATAAATAAATAAATAAATAAATCAGCCGAAACCGGTTTGGCTCAGTGGATAGAGCGGTGGTCTGCGGACTGAAAGTTCCCGGGTTCAAAAAAAAAAAAAAAAAAATATATATATATATATATACATTATTGATTTTTTAATGTTTTATTGAATTTTATTGAAAAATAATATATATCTATATATTTTTTTATTTATTTTTTTAAAATATGTTTTATTGATTTTTCAGAGAGGAAGGGAGAGGGATAGAGAGCTAGAAACGTCGATTAGAGAGAATCACCGACCAGCTGCATCCTCCACGCCCCCTACCAGGGATGTGCCCGCAACCAACGTACATGTCCCTGACCGGAATCGAACCCGGGACCTTTCAGTCCGCAGACCGCCGCTCTATCCACTGAGCCAAACCGGTTTTGGCAAAATATATATTTTTAAAAACCCCAAAAGCAAAGTATTACTCTTCCAATAAGCAGAAAGGTGACCTGAGGAGTAACTCAGAGATTTTATGTTTTGGATGACAAGGTCAGAGGATAGGAACCTGCTGAGCAGTCAGCTCTAAAAAGGACCCACCAGGGAAGATTGCTGCTGTGAGGCTGGTGCCTGTCAAACTGTCCACTAACCCACCCACAAGACACCCAATTTCCACACTTTGAGAAGCTGGCACTGGAACCCTGAGGATGACACACTCGTGGGTCAGCTCTGGCACAGGGTGACTCTCACCTTCCAGTTTAAGGTCCTGTCCTCCATGAGCTGGTAGAAGCATCGCAGTGCCCGTTCCTGGAAGGCCCCATCCTCATAGCGTTCTTGTCCGAACCCGCCCCGCTCCACAGCCTCTGCCAACTTCAGATGAAGAAACACGACCAGGTCTGGTTTGGGAAGGCCCACATCCGGTTGCTTGCACCAATCCAGGGAGAAGTTCTGCAGCAAAGAAACCAATGATGAGATAAAGAAGCTGAATGGGTCTGTGTTGTTTTAAAATCCATAAAAAAGGCCGGCACCGGTTTGGCTCAGTGGATAGAGCGTCGGCTTGCGGACTGAAATGTCCCGGGTTCGATTCCGGTTAAGGGCATGTACCTTGGTTGCGGGCACATCCCCGGTAGGGGGTGTGCAAGAGGCAGCTGGTCGATGACTCTCTCTCTCATCGATGTTTCTAGCTCTCTATCCCACTCTCTTCCTCTCTGTGAAAAATCAATAAAATATATTTAAAAAAAAAAAAATAAAATCCATAAAAAAGGAAGGGAAATGAGCTACCATTTCTTGAGGCAGCAAGAAGTAAAGATCCCAGTAGTGACTTGAGTTTTTAGATCATGAATGTTTCAGTTTTCCATGGCACCTCCTTCTGGTTTAATTTTGTGAGCACATTCAAAAGTGGAGAGCTCTGGCCAGTGTGGCCCAGTTGGTTGGATGTGGCCCCTTGCACAGAAATGTTGCTGGTTCAATTCCCAGTCAGGTCACACCTGGGTTGTTGACTCAATACCAGGTGGGTGTGCAGGAGGCAGCCAATCAATGGTCTGCTCTGACACCAATGTTTCTTTCTTTCCCTTCTTCCTTCCTCTCTCTAAAAATCAATAAAATATCCTCTGGTGAAAATTTTTAAAAAAAGTTATCTGAAGGATGCACACTGAAACATTTATGAAGCAAATGATGATGTATCTGGTGGGTCACAGTACTGGGTGATTTATCATTTTCTCTGCTGTTACATATTTGAAACTTTCTAAATAAAAAGCAGGAAAAAGGAGTCAGTGTAGTCACCGCTATTCTTCCTGGGACAGGAAGTCAGGAAAATATAAACAAAGCACCAGATGCTCTCACTAGTCTGGATACAAGGCTGGGATGGAAAGCCCTGCTGATGACCACCTCTGGATGTGTGATGTGGAAACAAGCTACAGCTACCCCAGTGTTTGCCCTTCCCTTAGATAAGACCAGATTTCCAACAGTGAAACATAAGGACCACAGAACTTGCTGTGTGATGTCATGGCCCTGCTCTGGACAGTCACACTAGTGGTGTCCCACTGGGCTGGGCAGCACTCACCTCCTTAGCATTGGTAAAGGCAACACCAGAAAACGCATATCTGTCCACGATGAGGGTGATGCCCTGGCTCAACTTCTCCTTAATCAATGGCCTAAAAAAATAGAAATGCTTCTAAGCCATGGACCCAGCTACACATCCCCAGAACCCTCATGTTACAATCATCCTGATGACAATTCAGTAACCTGGCAGGGATTACAGGCCAGTGACTTGTGACCTTATTTTAAAAATTTTTTTTAAAAAAAGAGCTCTGGATCTCCTCCTAGAAGATGCCACACTGGCGCTCCTAGCAAAGCCCAATATGAAACACAATTCCCCAGTGAACCACAGACATCACTGACAAAGACAGTAGGGAAGCCTGTGGACAAGAGAGTGGAGCAGTGGACTCAGCCAGGAGATGATGCTGAAAACATTCTCACAGGTGACAGTAGATTACGAAGACGTGCAAAGACAAGGTCTGACATGACATCAGCAAGAAGCATCGTTTGCCACTTGTGACCCAGAGAAGCTCACAGAAGGGTAGGGATGGGGGATCACACTTGTAACAGCAAGATGCAGTTCTCATCACAGCTTCATCTGTGACCCCAAGCCATTAAAAAACTACTACCCTGCAAACAGGAGGTATGGCACATGCACACAGAGAAGATGCAACTGTATAAAGAATGAGAAAGTCCTAACCAGTTTGGCTCAGTGGGTTGAGTGTCACCTGTGGCTTGAAGGGTCCAGGGTTTGATTCTAGTCAAGGGCACATGCCAGGTTGCGGGCTTGATCCCTCAGAGGGCATGCAGGAGGCAGTCTATCAATGATTCTCTCATCATTGATGTTTCTCTCTCCCTCTCCTTTCTTCTCTGAAATAAAAAAAAATATTTTTAAAAGAATGAGAAAGATGTCCAGCCAAGACCAGTTTGGCTCAGTGGACAGAGCATCAGCCTGCGGACTGAGGGGTCCCAGGTTCGATTCTGGTCAGGGGATGTGCCTTGGTTGTGGGCACATCCCCAGTGAGGGGTGTGCAGGAGGCAGCTAATCGATGTTTCTAACTCTCTATCTCTCTCCCTTCCTCTGTAGAAAAAAGTCAATAAAATATATATTTTTTAAAGAAGGAGAAAGATGTCCATAAGATATAAATCAATCTCCTAATGTGTCACTAATACAGCAAAGTATAAACAAGTACATATGGCTGACTACTTTTTTTTTTAATTTTTTTTAAATTATATTTTATTGACTTTTTACAGAGAAGGGATAGTTAGAAACATAGATGAGAGAAGCTGCCTCTTGCACACCCCCACTAGGGATCTACCCACCACCAAGGTACATGCCCTTCACGGGAATCGAACCTGGGACCCTTCAGTATGCAGGCTGATGCCCTATCCACTGAGCCCAACCGATTTCGGCGTGACTACCTTTTCAATAAGGTATATCACACACACACACAAAAAAAAGGTTATCAGGATGACACATATCTATATGCTTATTTTATAAATAAATACATAAGAAGGGGACACTATTCCCCACAGCGGAGGGCAGGTGTTGAATAGATGGGAAATGAGCAGGGCAGTGACATATTTTTAGAACCATATATTTTTGAATTCAAAAATGAAAATTAAATCAATGAAGATGAAAGAAATCCTAAAATTCTGTAGGTGAATGCACCTAATTGTATACCACATGAACACACAAGGAAAACCTGCCCTAGAGACTTAAGACAACACGCTGTGCCCATGTGCTAAGGACAGAGCTGCCCACCACCTTGACCACTACAAGGCTCTCACAGAAGTGTGGACTGCAAGCAGGCAGGTCCCCTAATAACCCACTCTCAGTGATGTCTGTGGTTCAGTAGGGAACTTGTTTCACTGTGAACTTAAGTTCATCGAAGATATAATCAAGAAAACCGTGGGGAAGCCCTGTGATCCTGAACTGCATCAGGTGTCAGCATGAACCGAGTTTCAGTGTAGATAAGTACAGTCATCCCCCATATCTGCAGGAGATACATTCTAGGACCCCCTGGGGATGCTTCAAACCACAGGTAGTACCAAACCCTATATATATATATATACTGTTTTTTCTCACACACACACACACACACACACACACACACACACACACTAAAGTTGAATCTATAAATTGGGCAATTTTGTAAGTAGACTTGTTCCTACTGTAGCTTTACCTCAGCATTTTTCTTTCCTTAAGTGAAAAACTCACCTTTCATTTAAAGCCCTTTCTTCTTTGGCATATGCAAATTGCCAGCATAACTACTCTCCCTCCCTCCGCATCCCCAGCATAACTACTTTTGAGCTTTGGGGCATCATTAAGTAAAATAAGAATGACTTGCCCTCGCTGGTTTGGCTCAGTAGATAGTGTCGGCCTGGGGACTGAAAGGTCCTGGGTTAAGGGCACATGCCCAGGTTGCAGGCTCAGTCCCCAGTAGGGGGCATGCATGAGGCAGCTGATCAGTGATTCTCTCTCATCATTGATGTTTCTCTCTCTCCCCCTCTCACATCCAGAAATCAATAAAAATATATTAAAAATAAAATAAGAGTGACTTGAACACAAACTGATGTCACTAATAAACAGATAGCATTTACATTGTGGAGATGCTGGACAAAGGAATGAGTCACATCCCGGGAGGGACAGAGGACATTTCAAGATTTCATCCTGTGACTCAGAATTGTGCACAATTTAAAATTTCTGAATTATTTCTGGAATTTTTCATTTAATTTTTTCAGACCTTGCTTGACAGTGGGTAACTGAAACATGAAAAGTGAAATCACGGATAAGGGAAACTAAAGTTGATAAACAGATACAGAGGCAGAGCAAACATGTAGTTCTGTCCCCAGAAGGGACACCCCACTAGCAGTGAGCACATCTAGCACCTAGATGTTGGTTTCTAAACACTATTCTCCACAAGAGAAAAACAGCTGGTTCCCAGGCTGGAGCAAAAAACATGAGAAGCCTAAACATCTTATTATATAATACCAAAAACTAAGCTCTTAAAAACAAGGCCTGGGAACACAACAAATGGACACAGAAACCAGCTTGAAAAGCCTCTCACCAGCCAAATTTGGAACAACCTGAACATCAAAAAAAACAGGAGTAGACCGAAACTGGTTTGGCTCAGTGGTAGAGCTGGTCTGCAGACTGAAAGGTCTCAGGTTTGATTCTGGTCAAGGGCATGTACCTTGGTTGCGGGCACATCCCCGGTAGGGGGTGTGCAAGAAGCAGCAGGTAGATATTTCTCTCTCGACGTTTCTAGCTCTCTATCTCTCTCTGTAAAAAATCAATAAAATATATTTAAAAATTTTTATATAAAAAAAAAAAGCAGCTGCAAAATTGGTAAAAGTTCCCATTTATTTATAAGTGGGACAACTCCAATGTGTTATCTACATACATGGAAACAAGAGCCTCTGAAAGCACACACCATATAGTTAAATGTTGAGATGACTCTAAGATGTAAAACAAAAAGGGGTTGGGAGAGGATGAGATACCAACCTAAACTGTGAACTTCAGTTAAACAAAGATATAATCAAGAAAACTGTGGGGGGCCCTAACCGGTTTGGCTCAGTGGATAGTGTCAGCCTGCGGACTGAAGGGTCCCAGGTTCAATTCTGGTCAAGAGCATGTACCTTGATTTCAGGCGCATCTGGGGGTGTGCAGGAGGCAGCTGATCAATGTTTCTCTCTCATCTATGTTTCTAACTATCCCTTTCTCTTCTTCTCTATTAAAAAAAAAAATCAGTAAAAATAGATTAAAAATAAATAAAACGGGGGAGCAGGAGGAAGGGACAGGTGTATGTGACAATTTAGTATTTTCTGATAACCCTTTCTGTAAACCTAAAGCTACCTAAAGGAAAATTAATTAATTACAAAGAGGTGGTGGGCAGCAGGCAGGAAAAGCATTAATCAATGCTCTTTGGGAGTACATGGCGGTTAGATCTCGTCACAGGACTGGGGACTGTAAGAACCTTTTAAAGGTACAGCCTCCAGCATCACTGTCCACGCCACCCTGAATCTCAAGAGGGAGAAAAGCACTGGGGGAAGAGATGGAGGGCAATGGTATTACACTTGTTCCCAGCGGTTTGCAGAGAAAAGTAGGTGCACTGAGTGATCCTCCACCTCACTCTTCTTTTCCAAATAAGAGCTCAGAAGTTTGCCAATTTCAGTTGATCTTTCTGAAAAGAAACACACAAAAGTGAGGCTTTCTATCTACATTTGAATACTTTGAACTAAACTTCTGGTCCTAAACCAGCAGTCAGATATCTCCCTGAGGGGTCCCAGATTGGAGGGTGCAGGCTGGGCTGAGGGATACCCCCCCTACTCTCCCACCCCGCTCCCCACCCCCCACACACACACAGTGCACGAATTTTGTGCACCAGCTCTCTAGTGATAGTATACTTAAAAACAAACAAACAAAAAAACAGCCGAAACCGGTTTGGTTTGGCTCAATGGATAGAGCGTCAGCTTGGGGACCCGGGTTCGATTCCTGTCAAGAGCATTACCTTGGTTGCGGGCATATCCCCAGTAGGGGGTGTGCAAGAGGCAGCTGATCAATGACTCTCTCTCATCGATGTTTCTAGCTCTCTATCTCTCTCCCTTCCTCTCTGTACAAAAATCAATAAAATATATATATTAAAAAAAAAACAATAAACAGAAATGAAATCCAAGTTTCATTTCTGAGACTTGGATTATAAAACATCACCAGCAAGGGGAGAGGGGCTTGAAGGTGGGGGGCGGAGGGAGTAACAGAGGAAAATGGGAGATACCTGTAATACTATCAATAAAAAAATAAAACAAGCAGCCAAAACCGATTTGGCTCAGTGGATAGAGCGTGGGTCTGCAGATTCAAGGGTCCCAGGTTCGATTCTGGTCAAGGGCATGTTGCGGGCACATCCCCGGTGGGGGGTGTGCAGGAGGCAGCTGGTCGGTGTTTCTCTCTCCTGTTTCTCTCTCATCGATGTTTCTAGCTCTCTATCCCTCTCCCTTCCTCTCTGTAAAAGATCAATAAAATATAAAATAATAATAATAAAATAAAACAAGCAAAAACAAAAGAGCACTAGCAAACTTTTGGTGATGACAGATACAGTTTTGATTGTGAAGACAGTTTCACCGGTGTATAGTTATGTCGAAGCTCATCAACCACACACTTATCACATATGCACATTACTGTACATCAATTACAGATCAATACAGTTGTGCAAAAAAAAAACAAAAACAAAAAAAACACGGATGCACCAATACTGACGGACAGGACACAGCGACCATAGGAATAACAAGTGAGAGAGCCAATGATGGCCACAGACGGCAACCACAGAGCTCCAGATAAGCCACTTTTGGACAGGTCAATTAAAGTAAGTCGGCATGAGGCTCGGTTTCTTCACTCTCAGACACCTTTGGAGGAGACCACAGCCAGCGGTGCTCCAGCCCCCGGGCTCCCGCCTCCCGACCTTTCCCGCCCGCAGCTCCCCACCGCCTGCCAGGCCCGTTGGAGCGCTCCACCCACCCGGGAAGCGCAGCAGCTCGGCGCGTTTGCCGGCGGCGCACAGCGCGGCCACCAGCTTGCGGCTCTGCGTGGTCTTCCCGGCGCGGTCCACGCCTTCCAGCACGATGAGCGCCCCGCGACGGCCCGCCATGGTTGTGTCTCCGCCGCCCGACAGGGATCCAAAATACCGCGCAGCCGCCCAGAGCTTTCATTGGCTGGCGTCAGCGGCGCGCGCCAAAATTTTCCATCGTGGGCAGGATTGGCTAAAACTGACAAAGGGGCGGAACTAGAACGGCTGTTGCATTGTCTCTTCCGGCGGAGTCCCCGCCTTCCAGGCCGGAAGCCAGATGTGGGACTTAGTCCTGGGTGGCGCCAGGAACTAGGCTGCGGCGGGCGGGCTGGAGGCTCGGCCCGGGAGGGCTAGAGGCGGGTCCGCGTCCAGTTGCGGCGAAAGGGCGGCGCGGGCCGCAGGCAGGTCTGGCCGTGTGTTTGTAACGCTCGCCGGTCACGCCCGCTCCGTCGGTGTCCAGCGGCGATGGGAGCCGCTGTCGGCACTGGGCCCACGCGACAGCCTAGTGAAACACGGGCCTGCCCAGCTCCGAGGCATCCATTTGCAGACTGCGTGTGCGCACTCACAGGGGAAAGGAAAGAAGGGCGGTCGTCTCGTCTGTGACGTGTGGCCACCGACCAGGAGCGGTCCCTGCCGTAGGGAGGCGACACGTCTGGTCTGAGAGCAGCCCCGGCATCTAGAGGGCGTTCACTTGAGTCAGGGACATCCGGCTGCGGCGGCATCTTCCAGGTGACGCTGTGCACTTGGGGGGTGCCGCCTTCTCCTAGCAAGCGCACTTTTTCTCACATGAGGGGTCAGCCCTCTGACCTGTCTAAACCTTATCACCCCGGAGACCGGTCCCCGATACCATCCCATTGTGGGGACTCGAGTACTCAGACCGGAGCAAGCCAGGAATTAGGTTTTCCAGAATTTCTGTGTCGTGCTGGCTTAGAGGCACTGGTACAAACTTCGGAGGCCACTGTTTTGGGGAGGTGGATGCAGCAGAAAAGTAGATGTGAAATTCCAGGCTGCTCTCTAGTGAGCTGTGGAGAACCAACTGCCTCGCTGCTATAGATCAAGAAGAAAGAGGTCCGTGAGCCACCGCCCTGAGAGTTGAGAAAGGCAGTGGCTTCCCGTCCGCCCTTTTAGCACCCGGGCTCAAGATCTTGGGGCCATTTCCAACCTTTCCTCCCCTCCATCCCACCTCCTTCTTTCGGTGGTTGGGGAAGCCCAATGATAGTATTACTACCCAAGATACCTACGGTGAGTTTTGGAAGGGTGATAGATTATATTGTTTCCAATTATTTGCTTCCTTCCTTGATGTTGAACTTGGCCACGTCACTTCCAAACACTGCTGTAAAGTAATCACAGCTGACAGCACTCATTCAGGCAGAAGCTTTGAAAGCAGTTTGGTTCACCCATCCCCCATGTGAGAGCAGCTTGCATGCAATTAGGGCTGCTTTTTCACTGAATTCTGGAATAAGACATATGGCCACAGCCAGGCTACAGCCACTGCACCTGATAGGTAGCTCCAGTAAGACAAACTGAGTTAAGTCACTGAGACTCTGGGGTTCTTTGTTATTGTAGCAGGACCCAATGAAAGCTCATGACAAAATGGCTGTTACTACCGCTTTACGTAGGTAAGCAATATCCTATCGTCTTGTTGATGTCTTCTAAAATGTCCATCTCCTGCCCTAGCAGGTTTGGCTCAGTGGATAGAACTTGGGCCTGTAGACCAAAGGGATCCAGGTTAGATTCCGGTCAAGGGCATGTACCTCGATTATAGGCTCCTCCCCCACCCAGGCCCTGAGGAAACCAATGGATGTGTTTCACATAGCTATTTCTGTCTTTCCCTCCCACTCTCTCTAAAAAAACAAAAAAAAAAAAACAAAAAAAAAACAACAACAATGGAAAAATATCCTCGGGTGAGGATTAACAAAAAATAAAATGTCCATCTCCTGCCTTCAAAAGGAGGAAGGGATTCGAGTAGTATACTACAGAAGAGAACCCTCCCCGAATTGGATAAGTCTTAGTGCTGTAGGCAGTTAGATGTGACAGAACAAGGGACCACTTAACAATAAAAATGGGCCACTTAACAATAAAAATAAAATAAAAATATTTCTGCATGACTTTAAAAACCTTAACAATAAACAAAAATCTGCATGACTTTAAAAACCTTAATAATTAAAAAAAAACATTTTCTGCTTAACTTTAAAAACCTTAATTAAAAAAAAAACATTTTCTGCATGACTTTAAAAACCTTAACAATAAAAATAAAAATAAAAAAAAGATGGGCCAGTTATAGGTCACCAGGGTGGAAAGCCTAACAATGGACAATCAATTGTAGAGTGAGACCTTGCCCCCAGAGTGACTTTTTCTCCCCTAGCATATCACTGGCCAAGAGGTTTGGACCCCCTGACCTTTCCTCCCTATTGATAACATCTAGGCCTCAAGTTGTATTTCAGCTCCACGCCCAAATAAGTAATAAAACTAGCCACGCATGGAATAAAGACCCCCTGCCCTGGTGCCAACCAATCAATCAGTGGAGACCACAACCCTGAAAGGATGCACTTGGAAAACTGCTGAATATTAAGATCCTTCCCTGGGACCTCCCCTAAAATCTCCACCTTTAAAACCCCCAGGTACATTATCATTCCTCACTTCCAAGCTCCTAGGGCCCTTCCTTTACCTCCATAACTTGTTTCCTAAGCCTGTTTCTTCTAGGACTTACTTCTATCCCTGTAATTTACCAAATAAATATTCTCTTACAGTTTGGGTCTTGCTCTGAATCCTTTCCTTGCCAAAACCCAAGTACCAAGGTTGCTGAATCCAGGTTTGGTCTGACTCCGCTGGTCAGACACCTGGTGCCTTCCCACTGCCTACAACACCAGGACAGCCTTGTACCACGTCTGTAGGACCAGCTCACCAGGCAGATGGGAACCTTTGTGAATACACAGCTGTCCTGGTCACCCATAAAAATAGAGGGGACATGGCTGATGGGGCCTTGCATACTGAGTAGGGATGGGGTGCCCTTTTCATTGCAGAAATGGCTAAGCCAGCACAAGTAGTTTGTGAAGAAGCACAATATGAGAAGTGGCATGTGCTCCTTCAACTTTGCTTTCACTTCTTCCAACATGCCATGCCTTTAAAAAAAAAATATATATATATATAATTTCAGAAAGGGAGAGGGAAAGATAGAAACATCAACGATGAGAGAGAATCTCCCAGCACACCTCCAAATGGGGATTAAGCCTGAAACCCTGGCATGTGCCCTGACCAGGAATTGAGCCAGAACCTCCTTTTTCATAGGTGAACACTCAACCACTGAACCACACTGGCCCGGCTCTCATGCCTCTCTTTATCAGGTTGCCTTTAACTGCACAGACCAGAATATTAGCCTGACTGTGGTATTCGATTATCTCAAATAACACAAAACCTAGATGAGGCAACCAAGAACTTCTGCTGCTCACTGATGTCAAATGTTGCCAAAATATGTCAGCACCTTAGCAGTTCTCGTAGCTTTTCCTTCCCGGTCACTGTGACTGCTGTACCTCCAGGGCTCAGGCCGTTGCCTCGTAGCCCCTGACATGGGCACACACAAGCCTTTGCCCCTGGACATGCACTCTCCTTCGTGCCCTGCTGCCCTGACAGACCTGATGTAGCACAGTCTGCCTGGAGCAGTGCAAGAAGGAAGGAGCTCTTCACCGGACCTTCTCATAGGCAGGTGGGCACAGGGGTGTCCACTCTGGAGGACATGATGGGATGCCGTGTGTGAATGCTTTTGGAGATAGGTGAAACAAAATTGGCCCTAACTTGCTGAAACTGGCAGGTGCCTGGGATTCATTAGGTTTTCTCTACTTTTGTATTTGAGATTTTCCATTAAAAAAAAAAAAAGAATCTGGGTTTCTGTGACCCCATGGGCATGGCCATCTGCCCCTGGACAATTACACAAGAAATAAAACTTTTTTTCTAAGCCACTGGATTTGGTTAGGTTTCTTGGTTAGAGTAGCTTAGCCTTCCCCTGAAACTCTGGTTCTCAACTGGGGACTCTTTATCCCTTACTAATGCTCACCTGAGGTTATTTTTTCCACTGATTTTTAGAGAGATGTAAGGTGGGTAGAGAATGCTGCTAAACAGCCTACAAGACACAGGACAGCCCCACAGCAGAGTATCAGATCCCAAATGTTTAGTCTTAAGATTGAGCAACCTTGCTCCAGAGTATAGAGCAATGAGAAGAAAGTAAGGGAGTCAGCTCTCACTTGGTAGCTTCTAAAATGGGGTCCCTCTAAAAGAATTCATCAGCCAGGACCGGTTTGGCTCAGTGGATATAGAGCCTCGGCCTGCAGACTGAAAGGTCCCGGGTTCGATTCCAGTCAAGGGAATGTACCTTGGTTGCAGGCACATCCCCAGTAGGGGGTGTGCAAGAGGCAGCTGATCGATGATGCTCTCTCATCGATGTTTCTAACTCTCTATACCTCTCTCTTCCTCTCTGTGAAAAATCAATAAAATATATTTTTTAAAAAATTAAAAAAATAAAAATAAAAATAAAAGAATTCATCAGTTTTCTTATATGAGCGAATGACAAACTGCTATTTGGGAAATGTTGTTTTTAGTATATGATATATGGAGACCACAATATGTCATTTATTCTCTATAATGATAATTATATTTTAGAGGAGAACAACAAATAGCCAACAAATATGTAAAAATATGTTTAGCCTCATTTAAAATCAAAGAAATACAAATTAAAACACTGAGGTGGATTTTTTGGTTATTTCTTTTTCTATCATGTTAGCAAAGATAAAGCCTGATGAAACCTAAGGTTAACAAAGGTGTGGAAACATCCTTAGTGAAGTGTTAGTTCATTTAAAACTATCAGCACTTAGAAAATACAATACTCTGAGCCCTGGCCACTGTTGCTCAGTTGGCTGAGCATCATTCCATGCACTGGGTTTTGGACTTGATCCCCAGTAGGGTGTGTGCAGGAGGCAGCTGATGGATGTTTCTCTCACATCAATGTTTCTCTTTCTCTCTAAAAATCAATAAATATACATATATAAAAAAAACACCCAAAACCTGTGCATGGCCTAGCAGGCAGTGTGGCTCAATGGTTGAGAGTTGACCTATGAATCGAGAGGTCAAGGTTGGATTCCTGGTCAATACATGCCCAGGGTGGGAGCTCAATCCCTAGTAGGGAGTGTACAGGAGGAGCCCATTAATGACTCTCATCATTGATGTTTCTAACTCTCCCTTTCCTTCCTCTCTGAAATTAATAAAAATCTATTTAAAAACAAACAAAAACCCTGCACCTGAGTAATTAAAGCAGCTTTATTATTATTTTTTAATATATTTTATTGATTTTTTACAGAGAGGAGGAGAGAGGGATAGAGAGCTAGAAACGTCGATGAGAGAGAAACATCCACCAGCTGCCTCTTGCACACCCCCTACTGGGGATGTGCCGGCAACCAAGGTACATGCATGCCCTTGACCAGAATCGAACCTGGGATCTTTTGGTCAGCAGACTGATGCTCTACCACTGAGCCAAACCGGTGTCGGCCAGCTTTATTATTATTTTTTAAAATATATTTTATTGATTTTGTACAGAGAGGAAGGGAGACAGATAGTTAGAAACATCGATGAGAGAGAGTCATCAATCAGTTGCCTCTTGCACACCCCCTACCTGGGATATACCCGCAACCAAGGTACATGCCCTTGCCCGGAATAGAACCTGGGACCCTTCAGTGGTTTAGTAATGTATGGGGCCAGAAAGAATGCACCAAAAACTGCTACCATTTGGATTCAAAGGTGAACAAGATAGTCACAATCCAGTACCTTCCAGAGGTGGGGAAAACTCCTTTATAAGTTCCTGGATACTTTGAATTTTCATAATCAATGTAAAGTTGGCAAAAAGTTTCATTTTTTTTTTTTTTTAAATTTCGGGTTTAGGTGTCAGTGTAAGAAACATTCAAACCTGTAGAGAATTTTTGTGAGTTTATTTGAGCCGAACTGTCCACAATTGCTGGGAAGCAAAATCTCAATGGCTTGAGAAAATGTTCCAGAGAATGGCAGTTTCGCACCTTATTTTATACATTATAATAAAAAGAGAAGACAAAAGTGGGTCACATGAAATCCATTGGTAATAGATTAGGGAGGCAAGAGAAAGCAAAGCAGGAGAAAACTCTGGGATTGGATAAAAAGTATAATGACAGACCTATTTTTTCACTAGGTAGGTGCAGGATAATTAACAGTCAACAATTAACTCAGTAAGGAGAGGATTTGTGGTCTTGCTCTGTAGCAGCACCTGTTTTGAGGGGTCTGGAAAAGAAAGCACTTTGACATTCCAAACGTATGTTATCCTAGATGCAAAGAGGACAAGTTTAAGGTGAAAATTTACCTTCATAAGGGAAGAGTCTATCTAGCCTAGGACATGATTACCCACAATAAACTGATTTTAGTTAAAAAGTTTTAATCTCAGACCATCTTTTGTGGTTATTTTAGGTTTCTGAGTTTGTAAGGCCAGCATGCAGGCCTGCCTTGAGCTTTTCAGGTTTAGTATGTGGCCCTTTTTCGTCCACATAGAGGAGTACTTTGCTTTTTGTTAATTTTTTTTTTTTTTTACAATATATTTTATTGATTTTACACAGAGAGGAATTGAGAGTCAGAAACGTCGATGAGAGAGAAACATCATCGACCAGCCGCCTCCTGCCAGCAACCAAGGTACATGCCCTTGACCGGAATCGAACCCGGGACCTTTCAGTCCGCAGGCCAACGCTCCATCCACTGAGCCAACTCGGTCCCGGCTGCTTTTTGTTATTTTTTGAAAGGGATAGATTGATAAGAGAGAAACATCAATGGGCTGTCTCCTATAGGGCCCCCCTGGGGATGAGCCCTAGACTCAGGCAAGTGCCCTGAGATGGAATCAATTCATGGGAGGATATTCAACCAACTGAGCCACACCGCTGGTGGGGAAGAGGGGGCTGGTGTTATATATGCATTTTCTATAAGAAAACTCATTGGTCAGCGCTACCTGAATCCCAAGGGAGGAGGATGGGCGTGTGCGGTTCTGGGTCCTGGATCCTTCCATCCAGGAACCAGTGGTCCCTCCCGCAGGCGGGGGTCGCTCAGAGCCCCTCCTCTGCACCCCCGTGAGGGGCCTCGCGGCGGCTAGCGCGCGGCCCAGCGTTTCTGACCCCCCAGCGACACGTGCTGACCCCGTGACCCCCCGTTTTTCTAAGCGCATCCGGTGCACTCCAGGAGACCCGCCAGTCCGCTGGACCGCGTTCTTCACTCCTCCCAGGCCCCCGCCAGACCTGACCCGGCCAAAAGGACGACCAGGCCGACAGGGAATTAGGAACCTCCTCTCCCTCAACGCTCCTACAGCGAACGGTCCCCAACCTCGCTTCCTCCTAGGTGCTGCCCGCACCCCTCCCGCCGGAAGCCAGGGGGCGGATCCCGCCGGTGGCCGCCCCGCCTGCTGACCAATCCTCACGCGCAGCTCATTAATAGTGAGCGTGCCGGCCCCGCCCTCTCCTTCTCGCGGCTCCGCCCGCCTGCGCAGACCCAGAGCGCGGCCGCGGACGAAGATGGCGACTGCCATGTACTTGGAGCACTACCTGGACAGTAAGCGCTCCCCCCAGCCGCGTTTCCCCCGGGCCGTCGCCCGTGCGGGGGCCTCTCCGCCATTTCCCCCCCGCACGCTAAGAGCCGCGTGCGGATCCCGGGTTCGTGGGGCCTGTGGGACGGCCCAGGGGCGGCGGAGGCGGACGCGGATCGGGCGGGTACAAGGGTGGGAAGCGCGCGGGGGGTGCGGCGCCGGGTCCACCGGCACCACCGCGCCAATTCTAGGTGCGTCACGGCGGGGCGGGGCTAGTGTGCAGTCCCACCCCTCAGCGAGGCCCGGCTCTCCTGATAGGCCACGCCCTCACCAACCGGCCACGCCCCCACGTAAAACCACGCCCCGTCGAGTTCTAGCCTCCCCGAGTAGGCCCCGCCCTCCGCAGTCTGGTCTTGGTCTCTGGCCTTGCCCTTACTTGATTTGGGCCTGCCTACCCCCAACTCAGGCCCCAAGATGGTGGTGAGCCCCAACCCCCTTGAATGCTGAGCCGGGCCTGGGGGGCTCCGGGCCTGGGGTTCACGGAGTCTTTTTCAGGGCACTGAGCCTCAGGTTGTGCATCTGGAAGATGGGGAGGCAATGCTTGCCTGGAGGGTCTCCCAAGATGCCTGCCTTTTCGGGGGACTGATTCTGTGTTCAGAACTGATATCCAAGAGGCTCCTCCAGCAGTCATCCTTCTGTCTATCTGTAGCTCAGGGTGGACCTCCTGACCAGATTGATTATTCCCGCTTTTCACGGAGGCTGAGTAGGTCAAGGTCACATACATTTTGGGAGTGTCTGCCTCTGGCTGGGGAATGGGACATCTTGCTGCACTGGTGATATGGTCACTCCGGCCTGGGCGCCCCAGGAGTTGCTGGAAGGAGACAGTGGGGATCAGCTCTCCCCAAGAAGGGGTTACCTAATTTTGATCATTAGTTCTGCTCTCCTGGGTCAGGTGGGAGAGCACTGGAGGGGAGCCCTCCCTTCATTGTCACTAGAGAGATCTGCACTCAGGTGCCTGCTTGGGAGCACTGGGGCTTGCCCTTTCTGTCCCACCATCTGCCCAGTGCCCCCTAGGGGAGGGTCTGAGGAACCTGAACAGGAAGTCAGGAAAAGGAGTCATCTGCTACTTTTTTTGTTTTGTTAATCCTCGCCTGAGGGTATTTTTTCCCATTGATTTTTAGAGAGAGTGGAAGGGCGAGGGAGGGACATAGGGAGAGAAACACCGAGGTGAGAGACACATCGATTGGTTGCCTCCCACACGTGCCCCAACCAGGGCTGGGGATTGAGCCTGCAACCAAGGTATATGCTTTCTTTTCTTTTTTTTAATTTATTGATTAAGGTATCACATATTTGTCCTCAACTCCCCCTTCCAATCCCTTACACCTCCCCACTCATGTTCCCGCCTCCCTATTGTCCTTGACCACTGGTTAGGCTCATATGTATGCACACAAATCCTTTGGTTGATCTAAGGTATATGCTCTTGACTGGAATTGAACATGGGACCCTTCAGTCCGCAGGCAGACACTCTATCCACTGATCCAAACTGGCTAGGGCACTTGCTTGCTTCTTGAGCATGTCCTGTGTTCCAGGAAAGCAGACATGATCCCCATTTTCCTGAAACTTACTATCACATGGGCAGACAGATTATTTTTAAAGTTTTTAGAAAATTAAAGGCCACAAAGAGGCCCCATAAGTCTCGAGAGCAGAGAGTGGCCTCTTCAGAATCCTGCAGAGCAAGGAGGTCTGGGGAGGGCATGGTGAGCCCTGAGGCTGTGTGGGGAGTTTTCATGGCTCTCGGGGGAGCCGAGGAACACTGGGGCTTTAAGCAGCAGCTTCTAAAGATTAGATTGAGCTCTTGAAATGATCGCTGGCACATGGGGAGAGTGGAGGGTGGCCAAGACTGGACACAGGAGTCCAGTCAGGGCCTGTTGTGGCTGTGCAGGTATGTGGAGACATTGGCCTGAACTATGAGGATGCAGCACAAACAGGTTAGCAGCTTTGCATGGGATCCTCCACCTGTGAGGTTAAGCATGTCCTGTTTAACCTTAATAAACTTGAGTGATAGAAGTTCAGTACCTCAGTGGGTACTCGCCCATTTCACATGCTCAGTAGCCCAGTGTGTACAGTGCCCACATTTTTGGACAGCGTAGAGAACACTTTCATCCTTGGATAAAGTTGTTTTTTTGTTTTGTTTTTTTAAAAATATTTTTTATTGATTTTTCATAGAGAGGAAGAGAGAGGGATAGAGAATCAGAAACACCGATGAGAGAGAATCATCGATCAGCTGCCTCTTGCACACCCCCCACCGGGGATGTGCCCACAATCAAGGCACATGCCCTTGACCGGAATCGAACCCGGGACCCCTCAGTCCGCAGGCCGACGCTCTATCCACTGAGCCAAACTGGTCCCGGCTTTTTTTTTTTTTTTTTTTTTTTTTTAATATATTTTTATTGATTTTTTACAGAGAGGAGGAGAGAGGAATAGAGAGTTAGAAATATCGATGAGAGAAAATCATCGTTCAGCTGCCTCTTGCACACCCCCTACTGGGGATGTGCCTGCAATCAAGGTACATGCCCTTGACCGGAATTGAACCTGGGACCTTTCAGTCCACAGGCTGACGCTCTATCCACTGAGCCAAACCGATTTTGGCTCATCCTTGGATAAAATTCTACCAGCAGTACTGGTTTGTACTACTTAGTGCAGATTTCAGAGTAAGGTGGGGAAAGATCAAAGAAGACCCTGGGGTTGGACTGGGTGGCTGTGGTGGGGTAATCTAAACTGGAGGGTTTGGGGTGGGAGTCAAGAGACCATCTTTCCTGCCTCTGCTCGCAACTGGTTTCTGAGTTCACCTGTGGCTTCTCCAGCGTTTGGCAGCTACGGAAGTGTCGGCCTTGTATCAGTGTTTGGTACTCACAAGCCACTAAAAGAGGGTATCTTAATCCTTGTCCTCTTCAGACTCTAGCAGAAAGAGAAGACAAAGTGGGCTTATTATCTGTCGACTTCAGGGTAAAAGCCTAGCAGGTAGATTTGTGTGCCTCTCCTGAGAAGTACATGTCCTTGTGTTTCAGGTATCGAGAACCTTCCTTGTGAACTTCAGAGGAACTTCCAGCTGATGCGTGAGCTGGACCAGAGGACAGAAGGTGGGCTCAGGCCTTCAGTACATCTGAGGAGAGGAGGCAACAGGATCCTGGGATGGCACTGGGTGACCAGCCTTTGCAGTGGGGCTGTGTGGCCTAGATCTAGGTTATGGCTTCTGATAGTGTCTAGAGAGAGTTTCTGATACTTTAAACCAGACTCGTATTCTTTTTTTCCTTTTTAAAAATATATTTTAGCCAAAACCGATGTGGCTCAGTGGTAGAGCGTCGGTCTGCGGACTGAAGGGTCCCAGGTTCGATTCCGGTCAAGGGCATGTACCTTGGTTGCGGGCACATCCCCGGTAGGGGGTGTGCAGGAGGCAGCTGGTCGATGTTTCTCTCTCATCGACGTTTCTAGCTCTCTATCTCTCTCCCTTCCTCCTCTCTGTAAAAATATCAATAAAATATATTAAAAAATATATATCTATATCTATCTATCTATCTATCTGTATCTATATCTATATCTATCTATCTATCTATCTATCTATCTATATATATATATATATATATATATATTATTGATTTTTACAGAGAGAAAGGGAGAGGGATAGAGAGCCAGAAACATCGATGAGAGAGAAACATCTTTCAGCCGCTTCCTGCACACCCCACACTGGGGATGTGCCCACAACCAATGTATATGCCCTCGACCGGAATCGAACCTGGGACCCCTCAATACACAGGCCAATGGTCTATCCACTGAGCCAAACCGGTTTCGGCAGTTCCTTGGATTCTTACACTTCTTCAAAACAGATCTGTAAGGATCATCCTTTCCATACTGTCAAAATATGTTACCTTTTCTTTTAAAAAACTTTCTAATTTCAAACTGTTTATGCATAGTTTAAAAAGTTAGCTAGTACTTCTTTTAAAAAAATATTTTTATTGATTTCAGAGAGGAAGGGAGAAGGAGAGAGATAAAAACATCAATGACGAGAGCGAATCATTGATTGGCTGCCTTCTGCATGCTCTCCACTGGGGACTGAGCATGAAAAACACACATGTGCTCTGACCAGGAAATGTACCATGACTTCCTGGTTCATAGGTCAGCTCAACCACTGAGCCACACTGGCCGGGCTACATTTTTTGAATAGTAGTTTTTCTTGGAACCTATGTGACCACCCTCTGGGGCCACCACCCTGAATCCCACCTGCAACAGGTGTTTTCCCACCTCTAAACCAGAGTTAAGAGTTGTGTCTGTCCCACCTGGGTGTTTATGAGCCACACAGCATGTCCTTTGTCCCTTTTCTTGCTTATGGTCACCTTTTGTGGATTAATAGGTAGTGTTCTGTGAACCAGCAGCTAGTTCTTTAGGTTGCTGGAGCAGAGCTATTTATTGGAGTGAGGACTGGACATTTGGGTTGTTTCTTGTTCTGAAGTTATGGATGTTTTCCCATATGTATCCTGCCATCTAAATCTTTAGGGTGGGTACCTAAGAGTAGTATGCTGGTCTTCGGTAAGGTGAGCACACACTTCATTGTTCCGATAGGGACTTTTACGAGTCAGAGCAGGCATGATGCATGCTCCTGGGACAGCAGTCATATGCAGAACTGTCCTGGGCACCTTGCCCTGGCCGGAGCCTCTGTCCAGCTCCGAGGTGCCATGCTGTCTGCAGACACACTACACTGCCTGTGGACATGTTGCCTGTGGAGTGCTGTGCCCTCGTGTCCTCACCTACAGTACTCCGGGGTGCTTGTCAGTCACTTGCCGACACTTGATGTTGTCAGGCTTCATTTGTTGCCAGTCTGGCAACATGAGCCTGTTCTGGCATCTCCTGCAGGGACTAGCTTTCAGCCATTTCTCTATTAGATAAGAAAGCAGAGATTGACATCCTGGCTGCGGAGTACATCTCCACAGTGAAGACTCTGTCCCCAGAGCAGCGGGTAGAGCATCTGCAGAAGATCCAGAGCGCCTACAGCAAGTGCAAGGAGTATAGCGATGACAAGGTGCAGCTGGCCATGCAAACCTACGAGATGGTGAGAGACTGGGCGGGGGGCTGGGGGCAGGGGGTTGGGATGGGGAAGAGCTGCTCAGGAATCCCAAGGCCAGGAACAGCTGGGGGCTGAGGACAGTTTAGACTCTGGGAGAATGATGCTTCCAGAGGAGTGCAAATGGGGGGTGTCATTCACCCCAGACTGTGTATGCTTCTTGTTTTCTCTGCTCTTTTGCTTATTTATTTAGCTGGGGAAACAGTCCATTGTTATAAATAGATTTTTTAATAAATTTTTTTTCAAAAGGAAGTCATGTTTGCTTTTTTATTTTTTTAAAAATATATTTTACTGATTTTTTTTTTTACAGAGAGGAAGGGAGAGGGATAGAGAATTAGAAACATTGACGGGAGAGAAACAATGATCAACTGCCTCCTGCACACCCCGTACTGGGGATGTGCCCACAACCAAGGTACATGCCCTTGACTGGAATCGAACCTTGGGACCCTTCAGTCCGCAGGCCGACGCTCTATCCACTGAGCCAAACCGGTTAGGGCTTAATCAATTTTTTGGTCATCTTTAGAAAAATTCCTAGAATTTGTGTCCTGTTTCCTCTCAAGTAAGCTTCTTCACTCAGAGCTCTCGCAGTGGCCTGGAGACCTTTTTCCATGAGGCACATGTCGTATGGCAGATCTCTATCATCCCTGCGGGCCGTCCCTGACGAACGCCCTTCCCCATCTCCCCAATCAAGCAACAGTGACTTCATAAACATCTGAAGTAACTTGAGTTTGAGAAAGAATACTCTAGAAGGAGACCTTAATGCTTGCATTTGGCATTTTGATGCCCCAACTGCTATATCTTTGGAGTATGCAGTCTGCTTTCTGAAATATTGGCTTTGGTCAATTGTCATTGAGTCAGATTTTTACTATGAGGCAAAACGAAGATTGTGATTCATTTCCACATGTGGAAGGTGCTGTCACTCTCCCTGGTGGGCTGTGACTTCAGGATGGGAACAGGCTCGGCTCCTTTTGCTGCCCTGATTGCAGAGCCTTCTCTCCCTTCCAGCTCATCCATAGCCAAAGCACCAGAGGAATTTTTTATTTTTTTTTTTACCTTTTTTGTTACTCTGTTTAAGAACCTGTATGTTCTTCAGGTTTTTAAGTTAGGACTCGATCTCAAACATCCTCAACCCTAGTCCATTGTGTTTCACAGCTCTCTGTCTCATATTGCCGACTCATGGTATTTCCTGAGCAGGATCTATTTGGTTGAGGTGTCAAAAAGGACCGTCTTGTACACTCTGACACGGTGGCCTCACTTTAGCAGAACTTGTTAATGGAAGGCTCAGGTAGAGGCTTAGATAGCGCGGAGTGGTTGGCTGGTGCTGGGCTGTGACTTCAGGCTGTTTACTTTCATGTTAAATGTGACTCGATCGTGTGTGCAGGTGGATAAACACATTCGGAGGCTCGATGCAGACCTGGCGCGCTTTGAAGCAGACCTGAAAGACAAGCTGGAGGGTAGCGACTTTGAGAGTTCTGGAGGACGAGGGTTAAAAAGCAAGTCTGTCCATCTTTCTTTATTTTGTTACTTTTAACTATGGAGTTTTAAAGAATTGTCTGACAAATATGTTAGGAGCCTGTGGGTAAATACCATATTTATTTGGGTAAACCTTGTCCTGCTTTAGTGAATTCTGTGACAGTCATTGAGTCTTCACTGTCTTTCAGAAGGTCGAAGCCAGAAAGAAAAGAGAAGTTCCCGGGGGCGAGGCAGAAGGACCTCTGAAGAAGACACTCCAAAGAAAAAGAAGCATAAAGGAGGGTGAGAAGCCTTTTTCTTTTCTATTTTCCCCCAGGGAACACCATTAGTATTTGCTAGATCTAAACACCAGTGACAGCCACCCTTGAGGAAGTGCTTACCATGCTCAGCATGGCTATAGTTAGTTCTGTGGACTTTTCCTGTGTCAGTCTGTCAGTCCCTTAAGCCGCCGAGGTGAGCAGCGTGGTGGGCAGTGCACCTGCCCCTGCCTGGTGGCCCATGTGCAAGAGCATCAGGCCAGTTCCACAGCCCCTTCTCTGAGCATATGCCTGCGTCTTGAGTGACGTAACAGTGTGTAATCGGCTAAGCCGCTGTTTAATAGCTGCCTATGTATCAGTTATTATTTTATATATAAATATACTTTGTATATATTCCTTATTATATGATTGCATTTATTAAACACACATCATTTAACTTGACCTTGAAGGTGTTTCATGTAAAGCTAGCCACCTGATGCCCTTCCCTGTGCTGTAGTGTTGCTTCTCAGAAATATTCAGACTAAAGACAATATGGTGAAATGCCAGCTGGCTTTGTGGAGATGATTCTTTATTATTATTATTATTTTTATATATATATATATATATATATATATATATATATATATATTTTATTGATTTTTTTTGCCCCCCTCCCTCCCTCCCATACACACCCTCCCTCCCCAGAGTTTTATGTCCATTGGTTGTACTTATATGCATGTACACAAGTCCTTCGGTTGATCTATTATCTCCCCCAGATCTTCCTCCCCTCCCCACTGTAATTTGACAGTCTGCCTGTTGCTTTACTGTCTCTGTATCTGTCTCTTGGTTCATCAATTTGTGGAGATGATTCTGACAGTTATGGGGAGAGGTCTGAAGAGTTAGATCTTTTTTTTTTGTTTTAAATATATTTTATTTATTTTCTACAGAGAGGAAGAGAGAGGGATAGAGAGTCAGAAACATTAATGAGAGAGAATCATCAATTAGCTGCTTCTTGCACCCCCCTCCCTCCCACTGGGGATGTGCCCACAACCAAGGCACATGCCCTTGATCAGAATCGAACCTAGGACCCCTCAGTCTGCAGGTTGACGCTCTATCCACTGAGCCAAACCGGTTTCAGCGAGTTAGATCTTTTAAAAAAAAATAAAAAAAAAAAATATATATATATATATATATATATATTATTGATTTTTAACAGAGAGGAAGGGAGAGAGATAGAGAGCCAGAAACATCAATGAGAGAGAAACATCGATCAGCTCCCTCCTGCACACCCTCTACTAGGGATGTGCCCGCAACCAAGGTACCCTTCAGTATCGAACCTGGACCCGTCAGTCCGTAGGCTGACGCTCTATCCACCGAGCCAAACTGGTTTCCACTGAAGAGTTAGATCTTGACAAAAAAGGAAAATTTTGGTTATTAAACCTGGTGTTCAACCTTTCATCTTTTAAAAACACCCAGATGCCAGCCTTTGTATTGTAAAGCACTACAGGAATGTAGAACATGACACAGAACAAACATAGTGTGATGAGTTGCTGTGAGAGGCATGTCCTTTGACATGCCTGTCAGAATCATAACCTCCTCACTGCCCAAACCAACATGACCCACATATACAGCATATATGGTACATGCCCTACTTGTTCTTTATAGTTTTTTTTACCCCATGAATATACTCTTGGACATTAAGCTTTGAGATGGACTTTATTAAGGAACTAGAGGCCGGATACATGAGAGTAGGCCTTTGCAGCCTCAGCGTTTGCCTCGATCCCACGGCTACAGCCCCAGCTTTGTCTGGACCGGACAGTCATTCTGCTGTTTGGCTGTTCAGTTGATTTGCATATTATGCTTTTATTATTATATAAGATAATTTACATATAGAAAGATGCTCTCATTTTAAGTATGTGGTTTCAGTTTTGGTAATGTGTCTACAAAGATTTGTAGTTTCTTGTAAGTTGTCTGACGTATTGACATCAGGTTGTTTATAATATATGATTCTTCTAATATTGTAGGATTTGTACAGACGTCTGCTCTTTCAGACCTGACATTGGTATTTTATGTCTTCTCTCATTTTGTCTTGATTGAGAACTAGCTTTTGGTTTCATTGATCCCCACCCCCTTCCTGTCTTCTTTTGTATTTAGAGAGAGTAGAAGGGAGGGAGGGGGACAGAGAGAGAGGGAGAGAGAAACATTGATGTGAGAATGGCACATCGATTGGTTGCCTCTGCATGCTCCCTGGCTATGTGGGGCTGGGGATTAAACCTGCAACCCAGGTACATGCTCTTGACAAAGGATCGAACCCGAGACCCTTCAGTGTGCCGGCTGATACTCGAATTGCTGAGCAACACTGGCCTGGCACCCCTCTGTTTTCTATTGCATTTATTTTTGCTCTTATTATTTCCTTCCTACTAAGCTACTTAGATTTACTTTGCTTTAAAAAATATATATATATATATAATTAAAAAAAAATTGATTTCAGAGAGGAAGAGAGAGATAGAAACATCAATGATGAGAGGGAACCATTGATTCTCTGCCTCCTGCACATTGGACTGAGCCTACAACCCAGGCACTTGCCCCTGACCAGAATCGAACCTGGGTTGCAGGCCAACACTGAGCCAAACCAGCCAGGGCTTTGCTTTTCTTTCTCTAGCTTTTTAAGATAGAAGTAGCTTAGATCTTTGACTTTCATATCTTCCTTTTCTAACAAGTATTTAAAGCTGTACGTTTTCTTCTAATTTTGGTTTTAGCTACATCTCACAAATTTATATATATATTTTTTTAAATTCCATTCAAAATATTTAAAATGTTTCTTGGTGGTTTTTCTTTGACCCAAGCTTATGTGTGAATAGGTTTCTCAGTTTCCAAGTAATTTGGGATTTTCCATGTAACTTTCTGATTTCAATTTCTATTTTTGTTAGGATCAGAGAACATTGAAATATTCTATCTTCTACAATTGATTAAGACTTGTGTTATGGGTTATGGTTTGTCTTGCTAAACATTCCATGTCCACTGAAAAGAATATGTATTTTACTGTGTTGGGTGGAGTGTTCTATAAATGTGAATCCAATGGCTAGATTAATAGTGTTGTTCAAGTTTTCTGTATTTTTATTGGTGTTCTGTTTAGTTTATGAACTATTGAAAGAGGAATGTTGAAGTCTCCAACTCTAATTATAGATTTATCTGTTTCTCCTTTCTGGACTGTCATTTTTGCTTCATGTATTTTGAAGCTCTGTTATTTGGTTCTATATGAGCATTTAGTTTTAAAAAAAGTAATTGACTTCTTTATCATTATGAAATTTATTTCTTTATTATTTATAATGTTCTTTGCTTTGAAATCTGCTCTGTCTGCTATTACTACAGCCCTTCCTACTGTCTGATGGTGAGTTTTTGATGGTGTATGTTTCCTTTTTCATTCTTTTATTTCCAACATGTGGATGTTTTTGTATTTAGAGTGGGTTTCTTGAAGGCAGCAAGTAGTTGCATCTTGCTTTTCATCTAATCTGATAATATCCACCTTTTTGTGCAATATTTAGATTGTTCAGATGTTTACTATAAGAACCTACACACATATTCTTCCTTCCTGCTCCTGTTTTTGGTGTTATTGTCAGAATTTTTACTTCTATGTGTGACAAGCTTCACAATATATTAGTGTTATTATTTCAGGTCTAACCATTGATTATCTTAAATAGATTTTAACCCATTGTACGCCATAACGTCCTTTTTAGGGGACTCCAATTACATATATGTTATTTAGCTTGACATTTTCCCACAGATCACAGAGGCTCTGCTTAATTTCTTATCTGTGCTCAGTTTAGATAATTTCTATTTCTTTGTCTTCAAGTTCTTTTCCCTTGGTGTCCAATTGAATTTTAGCCTTCTTTAGTGAATCATTCATTTACTATATTTTCTTCTCAAGAAGTTCTATTTGTTTATTTTTTATTATTTTTATTTAGTTATTTTAAAAAATATATATATATATTTTGTTGATTTTTTACAGAGAGGAAGGGAGAGAGACAAAGAGCTAGAAACATCGATGAGAGAGAAACATCGATCAGCTGCCTCTTGCACACCCCTTACTGGGGATGTGCCCACAACCAAGGTACTTGCCCTTTGCCTGGAATCGAACCTGGGATCTTTCAGTACGCAGGCTGAGCCAAACCGGTTTCGGCTTTTATTTAGTTATTTTAAAAAATATATATCTTGCCGAAACCGGTTTGGCTCAGTGGTGGAGCGTCGGCCTGTGGACTGAAGGGTCCCGGGTTCGATTCCGGTCAAGGGCATGTACATTGGTTGCGGGCATATCCCCAGTAGGGAGTGTGCAGGAGGCAGCTGGTTGATGTTTCTCTCTCATCGACCTTTCTAGTTCTTTATCCCTCTCCCTTCCTCTCTGTAAAAATCAATAAAATATATTAAAAAGAAAATTATATATATATATATATATATATATATATATATATATATATATATATATCTTTATTGATTTCATATAGGAGGAGAGAGGGAGAGAGAGATAGAATCATTAATGATGAGAGGGAACCATCGATTGGCTGCTTCCTACACACCCCACACTGGGTATCAAGCCCGCAACCTGGGCATGTGCTCTGACCGGCAATCGAACCATGACCTCTGGGTTGATGCTCAATCACTGAGCCATACTAGGTAGGCTGTTTCCTTGCCTGGCCATGTAGTCTTCTGGCAAGGCAGGAGCTGTGTGTGGCTTGGAGACAGTTCCTCCTGTAACTCCCACATCCCAGAGCTTGGATGAGCAGCCGCCCCTGCTGGAGGGCTACTTGCAGTGTTTGGGAGGGGTCCCTGTCACTGCCTGGGGAGGGATATCCCCTACGTCCATGGGAATTAGCTTGGAGGACAGCTCTGGTGTCCAGTCAGCCAGAGCGAGCACCTCAGGCAGTGGGGTTGCCTGGCTTGCTCGAAGAACAGACTTGGCAACTTCCCATGTGCTTCCCTCCAGGGGTAGCATGTGTGCCCACCACCCTGGAGCCCCTCCACCCTGGAGCTCCCTCTGGTGAGATTGGAGAGGAGGTGGTTCAGAACCAATCCCCAGGCCTGATTGCTGGCGAGGTGCTGCCACCCACATCTGACCCGTGCCCTTGAACACAGAGTGACAGGCGAGGGTCAGGGGGCAGCTGAAACATAATCTGCAGGCCTGCTCAGACTGCCGGACCTGTCTGGGTGGAATCCCGCAGGGTGCCTGCTCTGGGTGGGGAGGAGAGGCCCCTTGGGGGCGCAAGAGGGTTGACCTGGGCGAAGGTGAGTCCTGGGGGCAGGTCTTATCTAGGCAGAGGGACTGAGGCAGGATGGCTTCATGTGCCTAAGTGGGCTGGACCCCGAAGCCGGAAGGTGAATGTGCCTTTGCCCCCACTACCAATCAGGTACCACAGGGCAGTGTGGTCCCATCTAACTGCTGCTCAACACTATTGTGTCCCTGCAGGTCGGAGTTCACTGACACTATCCTGTCTGTGCATCCCTCTGATGTGCTGGACATGCCTGTGGACCCCAACGAGCCCACCTACTGCCTCTGCCACCAGGTGTCCTATGGGGAAATGATTGGCTGTGACAATCCAGATGTGAGTGTTGGGCATGCTGTGGTGGGGTTCTGCCGAAAGATGCGGGGCCTTGAGATGGGAAGCCGGACACTGTGGCATCCCTCTTACCCCCCCATGGAACCCTGGGTAGAGTCCTGTACCAGGTGGGCTGGGCTGGAGAGGGGTGAGGGGATGGTGGGATGGGGAGGGGGCAGACTCTCTGTGTCTGGCACACAGCAAGCCAAGTGCTCACTGCAGCTCTCCCCCTCTCTCCTGCTGCCTTGCAGTGTCCGATCGAGTGGTTTCACTTTGCCTGTGTAGACCTGACCACGAAGCCCAAAGGAAAATGGTCAGTATGGGGCACTGCTCTATCTCCTTCCCGAGAATGAGGTGGGGGTGGCTGGGCCTAGTAACCTTCCCTGCTCATTTTATTGATTTTTTACAGAGAGGAAGAGAGCTAGAAACATTGATGAGAGAGAGACACCGATTCAGCTGCCTTCTGCACCCCCCCCCACTGGGGATGTGCCCACAATCAACGTACATGCCCCTGACCGGAATTGAACCTGGGACCTTTCAGCCTGCAGGCTGACGCTCTATCCACTGAGCCAAACCAGTTAGGGCCAATGAGGGTCATTTGCCGCCCACTTCACCTGGGGCGTCTTCTATTATATTTGCAAAACACCTCCATTTCTGTTGTTCTATATAATGGCCATTCTGACCCTTTTGAGTGAGGTAGAGATAATCCTAAATAAGAATGCGAAATGAGGGATTCTTTTCTGCTGGGGAAGCTTTCAGAGAAGATGAGGAATGCATTATTAAATGAATGGGACCAGGTGCCTGGTCAGGGACTTACATGCTCCGGACTGAGCCCATCTGGTCTTCATCCTGGTATTCAGTTGTCCCTGTGATGCCATTTAAGTAAACACCTGGTTTTGTTTAGTTGTGCTAAAGGCAGGCATGTTCTAGGCCAGTGTTTCCCAAAGTGTGGTACGCATACCCCCAGGGGCACGGGAAGAGTTTGGTGGGGGTACGCGTTGCACCGGAGTTTGGTGGGGATATGCACTGCAACGTGCTTAGCTGCGCCTAATTCTACGTTCTCATGAGTACGAAGGGTACTCAGTGTTACAAAAATTATAGAAGGGGTACACCTATGTCAAAAGTTTGGGAAACACTGCTCTAGGCTATAGCTGTGGAGATGTCACCCTCCCAGTTGCTGTAAGTAGACAGGGACTAGATGCCCTGAGGACAGTCTGCTTTATTCTGGTCCTCAGTGGATGACAGCAGGGCCGGGTGCCGTACGCAGTGTCTCAGCCTGTGCAGTTGTCCTGGCAGGCGCTCCCTGGGCACCAGGACGCACCAGCAAGTCTGAGAAGTGAGGCAGCAGCCCTGACAGTGCCCTGTGGCGTGGGTGATGGGAATGTGATGGGACTGTGGTCAGGGCTCTGGCTGATCAGGGCGGCCCTTTGGGCTAGAGGAGGCTGACCCACGGGGCAGGCTTGGCCTGTGACGACGGGAGCTCCTGAGCTGATGGAAGGGGCATGAGGCAGGAGGGGTTGATTCGGGTTTGATTCTGGACATGTTGTGTTTGAGTTGTTTGTGGAGCTCCTGGTGGAAGTTTCCTAGCAGGCCTTGGAAAACAGTTTTGCCTCTGGGAGAACAGGCAGAGCCCGGAGGCATGGTGGGGACCCAACCCGGCTGTCCTCCTCCTGATTTATTTGGGGTCTTTTTATTTTTATTTCTGTATATTTGTATTGATTTCAGAGAGGAAGGGAGAGGGAGAGATAGAAACGTCAGTGATGAGAGAGAATCATTGATTGGCTGCCTCCTGCATGCCCCCCACTGGGGATTGAGCCTAGAACCCGGATTTGTGCTCTGACTAGGAATTGAACCAGGACTTCCTGGTTCATAAGTCAATGCTCAACTACTGAGCCACTGTACTGTACTTCTTTGTGGTCTTTTTAGAGATCACTGAGTGTACAGGCTTCTTGGTTGGTGAGATGTGAGCTGATTGCCGTGCTTGTACTGTGTGTGCTGGTGCTGCTTCTTCAGGGCTCAGCCAGGGCATGGGCAGTCGACAGGCAGGGGCCAGGGGCAAAGGTAGGTCCAGGGGCAGGCAGGACTAGGGCAGGGGCCAGAGGGCAGGGACAGGGGCAAGAGCAGGGACCGAGGCTTCCTCAGGGCCTATTCACTAGTGTAGATCTGGTCTGGGTGAGCTCAGCCACATGGTAATCCGCTGCTTTCTGATAAGAGAGCTCAGGAGGGCTGAGGTGGACAGCAGTTTGGACTGTCCTTGTGTCCCTGTGTGCTGCCATGGGCTAGGAGTGACTGAGAAAGCGCTCTGTGTCTGAGACTCTGGAACTTGCTTGCTCAGGGTCACCTGACCACAGTCTGCAGGATGGGCCGGAGCCTGTGGCCTGCCTGGTCGGCGTGCACGTCATCCTACACCCACACTAGGCCACCAGCTCAGCAGCAGGTGTTGTCTCTGTTTTGGTCAAGAGGAATGCTCACGTCTGAAAAGCAGTTTTGCTGATTGATGTGTATCTATCTATGTGAAAACAGCCATGCTAGGTTGAGCGACTTGCTTAGGAGATTTTTCCTGGGGGGGGGAGCTATGCACTGTGTTTGTGGGTCTCTCTTCTGGTTCTGGTGCTGTTTCACCGGGAGGCAGGGTCTGGGATCCCGAGTGCTGGCGGAAATCTGCAGAGGGCTAACTGACACTGTCTCTCTCATCATAGGTTCTGTCCTCGGTGCGTCCAGGAGAGGAGAAAGAAGAAGTAAGGAAGAGGATGACACCGAGTCCGAAGAGCAAGTTGATACACTCCTTTATTCACGTTGCAATATTTTACCTTCATCTTAAAGCTACCTTATTTTGAATGATATTTAATAACTCAGTGGCCAGTTGTAATTCTGGATATTTCCTAAAACCAACAAGAACCCACCTGATACCCTGTTTGCACAGAGGAGGGATCTTGCCACAGTGACTTTGTTCTCATGACTTTTTGTACAGACCCAGCACTGAGCACAGCAGTCCCACAAGCCCGAGGACTCCGTGGGTGTGTGCATGCGGTGTGCTGAGTGCCATCTGGGAGCAGATACTGCCATCACTTTGCAGCTAGAGGTGTGAGCCTTGTGTGGTCTGCAGTTTCCTGGGCTTCCCCTGAGAGCCCACACCACTCTATGCACACTGGCCACGCTCAGCGCACGGGTGTGTAGTCTGGTGGGCGTTGCCGGAAGGCGCCCTCCCGACTCAGGTGCGCTCGGAGCTCGCGGCTGCACAGGAAGGGCTGCGCCTCCCAGGGCTCTCCGTGGCTGTGCACTGCCTTTTTACCTGGACTGCCAGTTTTCCCCTGAGGTTTCACTGTCCGGAGTAAACCGTTCTGGATTGGCAGATGGGCTGTAGGTGACCATGACCAGCACCAATGAGAAACAGCGTAACAGACTGGCAGATGTTCCATTTCTCTGGGAATTCCGGATGTTTTTACTGTGAAGATGAAATTATTGTAATTGCATGAAGTCTGTCTGTGAAGTGAATTTAGTCTACCAAGAGCTGATTTTGAACCTGCTTCTGTTACACACTGGGTCAGCACTTTGTCTCCCAGAGGACTACAATCATGTGATGTGATCTGTGAATTTGTGCCACAATAGCAGTCTGGAATGAAGCTAGGAAACTAGAGTGTACTTTCTGTTTAATCAGCATTCACCAAACTGGCTTTAAACTGTCTCTTTGGTACTAGTTGGGGACATCGCATACGTTTGGCATGTTGAGATCCACTTGTGATGGTACCTAGAGTGGGGCCTCCGGGAGTGTCCCCGGACTCTCCAAGACCCACCCCGCATGATTCAGACAAGTCAGGGTTTCTTTTGCCAGAAAAAAAGATCCAAGAGATAGAATCAAGGTGTGAAATGCCCAGCTTCAGAAGAATCTCTGTGAGGAGTGTCCTCTGGAGTGGTCCACCTCCTTCCTTCCAGGGGCCTCCTGTACCACATCCTCTCCTAGCCTCGTGTTTCACCACGGAGAGGACATAGGGCAGAGGAACCGGTGAAGCTGCAGCCTAGACCAGCCTCTCCATGCAAATTTGGCAACTGGGAGCAGATATCAGAGGACAGCTGGGGTCCAGCTGGAATCTGTGGCCCTTAGTGGGTCTTACCCTGCACAGAACGTGTCCGACTGCTGTCCTTTCTAGAGCCACTCGAGGGAGCAGGACTTGCTTCCAAATGACTTTGTCTGGAGGGGGTCACTTCAGCTTGTGTGCTGTGGTTAGGGTAGGGGTCAGCAGCTGCCACAGCCTGGCCCTGCTGGGTTCCAGGCCTGATGCACTGTCTCAGAGCCGATGTCTTCTTGCTGCTCAGGAAGAAGTTGGGGGCGTACCTGTAACTCAGCTGCACTGGAACACGAGGCCCGCTTGTATTTAGCAACTTAGCTTTTACATTACAGGTGTCTAAAGATTGTGAGGGATCAGTTGTGGACATTTTTTTTTTCCCCTCTTTTACCAATTTTAGTGGAGAGGATAGGTAAGTACATTAAGTTTGTGATGATTCTTTGGAAGCGAATTTAATATTTGCACTTCATCTTTAAACACACTCACTTGCCACTGGAACACAGTGTGTTTGTGGATGCAGGTTAATGGCTGGCTAGTTTCAATTGGATGAAATGTGGATGGCCTGGTTTCCCGAGGCCATGCTCATTTCCTGAGAATGAGACCAACTTCTGTCTTAAGCTTTTGTTTAAAGTTCAATGTTGTCATTCTGCTTGTCACTGTGCAGCATCCCATGTGTTGACTTTTTGTAAGTTTCTGTGCTTACCTGTTTCTAGTGTTTACTTTTGCCAGTGACGACAATATTACCAAAATAATATGCAGACAGCTTTGAAAAAAATGGAAATCATGAGCATGATAGTAAGGTCCTCTGGGATGTTTGGAGAATGCCTGAACGCCCTTCCTGACCATTAATACCGTCGGAATCAGGAAGACAAAAGGGTCGCTTTCTGGTTGAGAAAGAATGTCAGGCCACTGGCTGGCTCGGGCCCTGATGGCTGGAGCACCACAGTGATGTGCTCCCCACAGCTTGGCTGCCTTCGTCCTGGGGGTGATTTAGGCTGGAACCCAGTCTGTGCCTGCCAGATCCCATCTCTGATCCTGAGGACAGCTGTGGAGCCAACCCCATCCCTCAGGTTGCAGGGTCTGGGCTGGGCCCGGCAGGTGAGGGTGCGGCCTCCATGGCTGGGGTTTACTGGTAAGGGAAGAGGTATCTTGTTCAGAGGAGAAGCAAAACCATTTTTCTTGTTCTCAGTGCTGTTTTCAGATAGCATTTGAGAAACCTTGTTTTCCAACAGGACACATCTACTAACAGTTTTTTAAGCTAAGCTCTGCATCTCTGGCTGTGCTAGTGGAGCTGTTGGCTGGGCTGAGGCCTGAGTGACTGTCCCCACTGTGCAGGCTGGGCCCCAGGCAGGTGGACGTGAGGCTGGACTAGCCAGGGCCCTGGATGTACAGCTGTGTGTGGTGAGGTGCATGGGGATGCCGGCCAGCCTTGCGTCAGTGCTGTTCCAGGGAGCCACGCTGCACTTGCCTCCTGCCCTGTCCCTGGCAGCCCTTCGTAGGGGCTGCTTCAAGCAATAACTGTCCATATGCCACAGCAGGATTCGGACACTTCTCACGGGCATTCTTGAGTTAAGGTTTTCCTCCATTTTTAGTGAAAGTGATTAGTTGTCATTACCTATGCTGAGAGGCATTTCAAGTGAGAAGTCTAAAAAATGTTCTCATTCAGGAGACAGGCCTATGAAGTTTCTTCCTTCGTATGTGTTTTGTGGTGTTCACTTTTAGCCACATTTCATCCAAAAAGATGATGCAGCTTTAACATGAATGTTACATTTTATTTTCAAGGAATTATTACCTATGTTCCCTTTGTAAAGGAAAGATAATATTGTAAATCTTTTTATTAAATAATGTAAAGATGTATATCTGTATTTTTTGATCATGTTATAGATTATGGATATATTGTTTAATAAATAAAGTATTTTTTTGAACAAACAGTAGAGAATGCATCATTTTGGGAAATGATAAAACTTCAGCATTGTGTCCAGAGGTGGTGAGTATATCTTACGTTGAATTTTGAAGGGCCAGATAGAAGTATCTGGGTTGTCCTGTCCCCTTCCTGCCAAGACAGTGATGCAAAGGCAAACACATTCCTGGCAGGAAGGTGCAGTGGGATGCACTCAACACCCCCAGTTTACCTGTGGGAGTACAGTTTACAGAGATAGGTGGTGACTCCAGCTGCAGCATTGTTGCCAGAGCACGTCTGTACGCTTGGCACTGGGCATGTGGCCAGTGGTCTGGCAAGGACCTGGCTATTCTTGGCAAAGCCATCAGTGCAACTCTGGAATTAGGATTACATGAACACTCTTGCCGTCTGCATCCTGGCCACAGACCCTCATCGTTGGGACATAGAGGAGTATCCCCCCTGTGGGCATCACTGACCACATGGAACTGGAGATGCCTCAGTAGGACCCCTGGGAGCCAGAGGGTGGGAGAGACCCCTACTCGGCACCAGGACTGTATTGTCAGGAAAGCAGGCAAGTTTAATTCAGGGTGCTGGAGGGCCCAGGGAACAGTAATTGCAGGAAACAGCTACCACCCCTAATCCTGGGGGCGCCAAGGGAGGAAGCTGGAGTTTCTGGATCTGACAGCGTCAGGGAGGGGACTGATTAGGACTCTGCTCTGAGGGGGGCTGGCCTCACAACTGATGGGCAAGTGCTCTTAGGCCGGATTCAGCCACCTGGGGAGTGGGTGCTACCTAGCTTCTGCTGGTGGAGAAGCAGCTTAGGGAGGGGGTGCCCGTGGAACTGGGACTCAGACGTCTGGGAACTGGCACAGGTGCCGCAGGGCTGAGGCCATTACTGGGATGACAGAGTCCATCGGGCTCCTGCCCGGTCTCCGAGCTGCCGGCGGGCGGGCGGAGTCTATGCAGCCGGCCACACAGAGCTGCGGGCGGCCCGGCAGGGGCAGGTGGGACTGGAGGGGCTGGAGAAGGCTGACGTCCAGCTGTGGCCTCTCGCAGCCCGGTCACGCCCTCGGGCTCCTGGAGAGGCCCCTGAGGGCCCGCAGTAGGAGGAGGGAGCAGGCAGTTTCCCTGTGGGGCCCGTCTGTCGGACTGCGGTGGGGCCGGCCTCCGGAGCGGGCGGGAGTGTGCCGAGACCTCTGCTGGGCGGTGCGGAACGCGGGGCGAGGCTGGCGGTCCCCGCAGCCAGGGGTGTAGACAGCACCAGGCGCCCGGTCGCCGGAGGACGCCCTCGGCCTGGGGGCGGGACCTGCGGGAGAGGCGGGGCTTGAGGGGGCGGGGCGGGCCGGGAGGGCGGCAGTGCGCAGGCTCAGTCCTGCCGCTCTGTCAACTGCTCTGGTTGCTGGAGGATGGCGACGGCAGCTGCGGTCGGGACGGGGACGCGGACGTGAGTACGCGTGCACGCACGCGCGGCCGCCAGGGGTCCGCGTGGTGGGGCCGCGGGCTGCGGGGCGGAGCGGCGACCGTGTCGCGGACAGCGAGGACAGGGAGCGCGCTCGACCCCGTGCGGGCTGCGTCCACCACGTGACCACGCAGGCTGCGCGCGCCTGGCGGTTCTCGCGGGAAGAGCCTGAGCTCGCTCCGCGTCCTTCCGAGCGCGAGGGCTCGAGGGGCGGGGCTGGTCCTCTCCGCGCGGGCGGCACGCGGGTGCCGTCGCAGGGCACCGAGAGGCCGGCTCATTTCCCCAAGCCACGCCGCGGGCGCAAGCGCAGCCCCAGGTGCCGTGGTCTGAGCGCCACGGGGTCAGTGTGCGAACCGGCTCCACCACGTGGCAGCCAGAGAAGCTACCAAAAAAAAGACATATATATATATATATATATATATATATATATATATATATATATATATATATATATAATTTTTTTTTACCTGTTTTTTACAGAGGAGAGGGATAGAGAGTTAGAAACATCATGAGAGAGAATCATCGATCAGCTAGCTGCCTCTTGCACACCCCCTACTGGGGATGTACCTGCAACCAAGGTACATGCCCTTGACCGGAATCGAACCTGGGACCTTTCAGTCCGCAGGCTGACGCTCTATCCACTGAGTTTAACCGGTCTCGGCTGATTCTTCACTTTTGTGGTAACATACATAAAACATAAAGTTCTCCATTTAGCCATTTTTAAGTGTACAGTTTCGTGCCATCTGTCCCTTTCTTGGAATGCCTTGAATCCTGGCCTTGTTCTGAAGGAAGAGGGCTGAAAGGAGGCAGAGATCAGCCACCTGGGGGTGGAGAGCTGTGAGACCTCAGAAGATGAAGGGGGACCACACCGGGGCAAAAACAAGGCCAGAGCTGCCACCGCTGGCCTCCTGTCCCCTGTCCCTTCCACTCCTCCAGCTGCCTCTCCCTGCATCTTGTCCTCACTTTCCCAACTTCCACCCTTCCTTGGGCAATTACTTCCATATATATGTTATTGAGTTCAGAGAGGGAGAGAGAGAGAGGAACATCAATGATAAGAGAGAATCATTGATGGGCTGCCTCCTGCACACCCTTTACTGGGGATCGGGCCCTCCCCTGGGCATGTGCCCTTGACCAGAATCAACCTGGGACCCTTTCGTCCGCAGGCCGATCCTCTATTCACTGAGCCAAACTAGTTAGGGCAATTATTTCCTTTTCATGGCTCATAGTAGTCCAGGCTTACAGGTCCCATCCTTGCTTTGTAGGGCAAGAGCTATGGTGCCCCGTCTGGCCCCCAGGTGGCCTGTGTCGCTCTTCCAGTGGCGAGTAGCCTGCACTCCTGGAGCCTTCGTGCAGCAGAGGACATGGGCAGGGGCATCCCGAACCCCCTCGTGGGGCAGACTTCATGGAGTCGCAAGCATTAGCCCCCGGGTCCGCAGAGGCAGCTCCTCCGCGTCCTCCCAAGCCCCTGAGGTGGTGCTGACCTGCGAGCGCTACCCCGTGCGGCGGCTGCCCTTCTCCACGGTGTCTGAGGAAGACCTGGCCGCCTTTGAGCACATCGTTCCCAGGAGGGTCATCACAGACCCAGAGGAGCTGGAGGCTTCGAATGTGGACTGGCTGAGAACCATGCGCGGTGAGCAAGGACCCCCACGCCTTTCTTAGGCTGCCCAAGAGGTGCCTTTAAGATGCGCTGAGGACAGAATTTACAGCAGTTTATCGGTGGTTGTCATGAGCACTCTGGCTGTGAGTATAGTCTCTCCTATAAGGCACTCGATGTCCTGACCCCCAGATAATATCAGGGGTGGTGCTTGATCGAGGCCACTTGGCCCTCTAGGTTCCCAAAGCAAACACAGGTGACTATGCTGTCCATTTAGCTTTTATTACTTGCAGTTTTAATCCAAAAGACAAACACATCAGGACACATACACACAAGTATTGGGGGTTAACACATTGTTCCTCAGTCCAGGCTATTCACAGAGCAGTGTTTACTGGTCATTTGGAGTCTCAGAGGCCTCAGTGTCTGGGAGTCGGGTGGGGGAGTATATATCTTGCAAGGAAGACTGCTGAACTACCTTGTGACAGCAAGGCCCGGAAATAATCAGTCACCAAGCCAGACACACTAGCTGTCAGCACGGTTGATTCACAGGACAAATAGCAAGTGTCACCTGTTCTTCTTTTCACTTTTTTTTTTTTTAAAATATATATTTTATTGATTTTTAACAGAGAGGAAGGGAGAGAGAGAGCTAGAAACATTGATGAGAGAGAAACATCAACCAGCTGCCTCTTGCACACCCCCCACCGGGGATGTGCCCACAACCAAGGTACATGCCTTTGACCGGAATCGAACCCGGGACCTTTCAGTCTGCAGGCCGACGCTCTATCCACTGAGCCAAACCGGTTTCGGCTCTTAGTTTCACTTTTATCCTTCTTGTCGAGGGGTCTCCCTTCATCTGTACTTGTTGAATTGCTTGTAGTCTCTGAGATTAGCCCTCGAATTCCAAATTAAATATTTGGCACAGTCCACAAAGATGCTGGGCATGGAAACACCTTTCATGTCCCTCGTTTTTCAGGGTTCAGGTTTAGGGTTCGGGTTCTGGAGAAGGGCTGCATGCAAATTAAAGAGAGACTAGAAGAGATTTAATTTGGTGATATGGGGGGAGGGGCACTCGGAGCCCACCTCTAGAGGGAGGACTGCCTCTAGGCTCTGGCCTTGCTGTCCCTTTTACTGAGGCTGTGGGATACACCCATTACATTTAAGCAGGTTTTGGGATACACTCATAGCCCTTAGGCAGGTAATAATCAGGTTATCACATCAGTAAGGATTTACATGATTATAAGATGGGGAAGCTGCCTCAGTTACCATTGTCTCAATTAGATAGGGAGTGGTTGGTTCTGACCTTTCAGAGCTTCAAGGTTGACCAGCCTTTTACATCTTTCTATTAATGAGACAATGATCAGCCTTTTACATCTTTCTATTAGTGAGACAATGATCAGTTCTGGGCACTGGGTCATCGTTATAACTTAAACATGTGTGTTGCCTCCCTTTCCTTGGCAGTCCGGGATTTGGCTGTTGGCATAGACCCGTGGTCGGCAAACTGTGGCTCTCGAGCCACATGCGGCTCTTTGGCCCCTTGAGTGTGGCTCTTCCACAAAATACCACGGCCTGGGCGAGTCTATTTTGAAGAAGTGGCGTTAGAAGAAGTTTAAGTTTAAAAATTTGGCTCTCAAAGGAAACTTCAATCATTGTACTGTTGATATTTAGCTCTGTTGACTAATGAGTTTGCCGACCACTGGTCTAGGCTCATATGTGTTCAGATGATAAGGTTCAGACACAAGTTGGGATTAGTTATTAACTCTGCTCTCCACAGTAGTGCATGACACCTTCTCATTAAAGGACCAGACAGTCCCCTGGCTGCTCTGAGGCTGTCTGTGTGTTTACTGCCTTCTCCCTCTCAGCTCCTGTGTTGGCTCCTGGAGTCATTGTGACAAAGAAACACAGACAGGGCTGAAGAGAACAGAGATGAGATGGGTCCTGCCAATTCTGGAGGCAACAAGGCTGAGATCAGGTGTCTGCAGGACTGCACTCCCTCCCGAGACTCCAGGGAGGGGCCTTCCTTCCTCCCCCACTTCAAGGGGACATCCTTGGCTTGTGACAACATCAGTCCGTCTCTGCCTTTTTCATTACATGGGGCCTAAGAAACAGCCAAACTTGTAGAGAACTTTTTAAAATTTATTTATTTATTTATTTTAATCTATTTTATTGATTTTGTACAAGAGGAAGGGAGAGAGATAGAGAGTTAAAAACATCGATGAGAGAGAGTCATCCATCACCTGCCTCTTGCACAACCCCCACTGGGGACATGCCCGCAACCAAGATACATGCCCTTGACCGGAATCAAACCTGGGTCCCTTCAGTCCCCAAGCCGACGCTCCATCCACTGAGCCAAACCAGTTTCGGCTGAAATTTATTTTTATTTTTAAAAATTGGTTTCAGAGAGAAAGGGAGGGGGGAGAGAAAGAGAAACATCAATGATGAGAGAGAATCATTGATTGGCTGCCTCCTGCATGCCCCCTACTGGGGATCAAACCTGAAACCTGGGAATGTGCCCTTCATTGGAATCAAACCTGGAACCCTTCAGTCCATAGGTCAATGCTCTATCCACTGAGCCAAACCAGCTAGGGCCTGTAGAGAATTTTTATAAGAGCTTATTTAAGCCAAAATGATGACATAAACTTGGGAGCAAGATCTCAAATGCTCCAGAAAATAACAGTTTTTCAGCCTTTGTGCATTTGAAATTAAGGAGGGACCATAATGAAGATTACATGAGGGTGGGAGAAAGCAAAGGAGGGATTGAATTACAGGATAGTTAAGATTAGTGCTCGCTTGAGGGTGGTTATGTTTATTTCAAAAATGTGTTGATGTAGGCTCACAAGAACAATTGACATGGCTTGCTTAAGGCAAAGGTAAACCTTTGGGGCGAGACTTCCCAGTTAGGAATTCTCTTTTAAACATTTTTATTGATTTCCATTAGTAAAGAGAGGAAAGGAGAGAGAGAGAGAGAGAGAGAGAGAGAGAGAGAGAGAGAGAGAGAGAGAGAGAAAGAAAGAAAGAGAAAAGAGAAGAGAAGATCATTGATTGGCTGCCTCCTGCATGTCCCACACTGGGGATCGAACCCACAACCTGGGCTTGTGCCAACAAATAATCAAACCATGACCTCCTGGTTTATAGGTTGAAGATCGAGCTCTGAGCCACACCCACTGGCCTGATCTCGTGGCTTAGTGAGGAGTTAATGATGTAAGAGGGACTTGCTTGGCGTTCCTCTGCCTCTGCGGCCTCCACTCATCTAGTCAGAGTTCTTTCAACAAAACAAAGGTACAGAAGGGGGGCAGTGGTTAGGGATGCCGACAGACTAGTTCAGGGGTTCCCACCAGCCACATCTGGACCTCAAATATGGCAGCAAAGAGTTGTAACCAGGGAATACTGTATTTTCCGGCGTATAAGACGACCCCCTAATTTTTACAGTTAAAACATAGGTTTAGGCCTATATTTGCTGTATAAGACGACCCCCCACTTCAAAGAAAAGACTTTGCCGTCAAGATCTGCAGGTAATTTTTGTGCAATTTTAGTCTTTTGCCCCCGATTTTTGGTTGACTTGTAAGAGAAAAATGAATCCATGAGTCCACACTGATATAATTGAATAGCTAAATACTAAATAAATACACGAGAGAGAAGGAAGGCCCCTCCTTACGGTACAAGGTCAGCTGTTCAATGCAGGATGGGTGAAAATCCCCATTTGGCAACTATCCTAAACTGCTTCAGGCAGGAAAATCAGTTGATGCTAAAGTCCTGGGGTGAACTTTGAGAAACAATAGGGTATCTACATAGTGTCATGCATCTGCCCACAAGATCCTTAGTAACTTCCAGTGGAGAAGCCAAGCAGGTGCCCCTCCCCTCATATCCGACCACCTTCACCATTGCTGCACTCGGGCACCCTCTACTGGCTTCTCCACCTCTCAGTGAGCAGACTGACTGCTCTTGTCCTTGAGGTTTATGGGTGACCGTGGTTGTGCGGGTCATCTCACGGAGGAAGGAGAAAGTGCTTTTGAAGAACCTTCCTTTTCTAGGAAGGTCCCCTTCCCATGTCTAATGCCCTTTTCTGTCTCAGGCTGTAGCAAGGTGCTGCTGAAGCCCCGGACTTCGGAGGAGGTGTCTCACATCCTCAGGTAAGCAGCCCTCCCTGTGGTACGTGAGTAGATTCCTTCTGAGGACACACAAACACAGACCCCAGGAGGCTGGCAGCCTGTGCAGAGCCAGGCCTCAAACCTCAGAACCTTGGGTGCGGAGTGGGAGTGGCTGCAGACTCCAAGGAAATGGACCTTTTTTTTTTTTTTTAAATATACCTTTAAAAAATTTTTTTATATCAATAAACTATTATGTTCATTATAAGAAAATTGGAAAACATAGGAAATCATAAAGGAAAAAAAATGCATCCGTGGCCAGTTTTTCTGTGGTGAGATCATTGCTTCTTCAATTCCTGGTCAAGGGCATGCATCTTGGTTGCAGGTTCCCCAGCGTTAGTAGAGGTGTGTACAGGAGGCAACTAATTGATGTGTCTCTCTCCCCTTATTTCCCTCCACTCTCTCTAGAGATCAGTGGAAACAATATCCTCAGGTGAGGATTCAAAATAAAAGACAAAAAAAAATGCAGCTATGGTTAGTGTGGCTCAGTGGTTAAGAACGTTGGCCTGTGCACTGAGGGTCTGATTGCTGGTCAAAGGCATGTCCCTGGGTTGCAGGTTCGATCCCCGCGTTTGGTGGTTGGGTCCCATGTGGGAGAAAACCAATCACTGTGTCTCTCACATCAGTGTCTTTTGCTCCCCCTCTCTCTTTCTCTTCCTCTCTTCCCTTCCTTCCCTCCCTTCTACGCTCTCTAAAAATCAATGGCAAAAATACCCTTGGAAGAGGATTAACAAACAAACAAAAAAGCAAAAGTAACCATTAATTTCACTTCCAGAATTAACACTGGATGACATTTGATTTATGTAGATCTTTTTTACTTCATGTGGTTTTAAATGTTGTCACATTGTATCTAAGACATTGTCATCTTTTATCCCCTTCCCATGTGGCAAATCCATGGCCGTCTCTTGGTGCAAATTATCCCTTCCATTTTCGACCTACCTCACAGTTCCCCAAAGTTGCCAGATCACGTCAGGGTGGTCTCGGGTTTCACATTATTATATATTATTGTCCATGTGTACCTGCTCTCAGAATTCATCGCTAGAGACTGGCACCTCACAGGGTGGGTTTACTTGATGCACGTGGACACGCCTGTTGCTCCAAATCCTTTTCCATTGATTGCCATCGCTGCTCCCAGATGTTGGTCCAGAGCATGTCTCACCGGATGGTGGTGTGGGTGTGGGGAAGAGGGACCTGATACACCTCCTGTGCTTGCCCCAGGTACTGTCATGAGAAGAACCTGGCCGTGAACACCCAAGGGGGCAACACGGGCCTGGTGGGGGGCAGTGTCCCTGTCTTTGATGAGATCATCCTGTCTACTGCCCTCATGAACCAGATCATCAGCTTTCAGGACATATCTGGTGAGCCTGGCTGCCTGTTGGTGCCGTCCTCAGCTGCCTGTCATCTGCTGGGGCTGGGTGGTAGGGGCCGTGGGCCCTGGAAGGAAAGGATCCTCTGGACATGTCCTCACCGGGGGTGTTATTTAGTTGGTCACTTAGTGACATATCATGGGCTTGAGGTGAAGGGGAGAGACTGTCACTGTGGCCCCTTTGGATTCAGACATTTTCTGGCCAGGACCACCTTTTGGGACTGTGAGGCCACATAGCATGAAGGGGCTTCCTGCTCAGGATGCAGCAGCATCATGGTGTAGGCTTCTTGAGTGGGATGTGCGGGCTGGATCATTCTCTGTGGTTATGGTGGGGGCACCTGGACACCATAGGGTGTTGAGCAGCATCCCTGACACCTACAGTACCCCCAACCAAAACTGTGTTGTCACATGTGCCCTGGGGAGCAGATCACCCTTAGTTGAGAACCACTGCCTTATAATAATCCTCTCTTTTCTGCTCCCTTCCTTAGGGCTGCATACATACATGTATGCATGCGTGTGTGAATACATGTGTATGCACGTGTACATGGGCACAAGAGTGCATGTGCACAATGGGCACACATTTGCATGTGAATGTGCGCAGATGTATATGTGAGCATGCGTGTTTCTTCTCATCTTTGCCTTATGAGTTTTTCCTCTTTTTCACAGTACTCACAGAGGTAACTTCCTGGGGAGGGATGGGGCACAAGCTCCTTTTCTGGGTTCTGGGTTGGAACGTGAGGTGGCTGCTCCTTGTGGGTGGGGAGATTTCGCATCACAGGCTCTGCCTGAGTGACCCTGTGCTGAGAGCACCGTGGCAGCTCTGCTTGCTTTGCAGGGATCCTGGTTTGCCAGGCGGGGTGCATTTTGGAGGAGCTGAACCGGTACGTGGAGGAGCGGGACTTCATCATGCCCCTGGATCTGGGAGCGAAGGGCAGCTGCCACATCGGCGGTAACCTGGCAACCAACGCAGGCGGTCTGCGGTTTCTGAGATATGGTTCTCTGCGTGGGACTGTCCTGGGCCTGGAAGTGGTGAGCCGGAGCCATTGCTGTGTGTGCAAGTGCAGTCCAGCTCCCAGGGACACCCGGCCTGGCACCCTGTGTCCAGGTGCCAGTTTCAGGGCTCTTCCAGCCTTTCCCCAGCTGTCAGTGTGCTCACAAGGCCTGGCAGCTCCACACCCTGTGCTGTTCATTCCTCTTGCGAAGGCCCACAACTGTGTGGACCCTGGGGTGGTGCCCAGGCTGCCCTCAGGCCCCAGGTGGTGCAGGTGATCATCCTGCCCAGGCCGGGGCCTGTGGGTTCCCCCTGCCCTGGCTTCCTGAGGCAGTGCTGCGGGGTTCGTGGCTTCTGGGTCCACGTGAGGCGCTCGGCACCCTTCCCTCGAGCAGGTTCCCACGACCCAGTGACGTTCCACCCGTCAACTTCTAGGTGGGCTGTGTGCAGGGAGGGAGCAAGGTTCTGTTGGCCTTTACTCACGCCATTGCTGGCTGCCCCTCCAGGGGCATTGGTGTCCCTTTTCCTGAACCCTCACTGGCTCCTGCTTAAACACCTCATGGTTTTTAAAAAAAAAAAAATGTATTTTATTGATTTTACAGAGAGGAAGAGAGAGGGATAGAGAGCTAGAAACATCGATGAGAGAGAAACGTTGACCAGCTGCCTTTTGCACACCCCTACCGGGGATGTGCCCGCAAGCAATGTACATGCCCTTGACCGGAATCGAACCTGGGACCTTTCAGTCCGCAGTCTGACGCTCTATCCACTGAGCCAAACCGGTTTTAGCTTTTTTTTAAAAAATATATATTTTTATTGATTTCAGAGAGAAAGGGAGAGAGAGATAGAAACATCAATGATGAGAGAGAATTATTGACTGGCTACCTCCAGCACGCCACCTTCTGGGGATCGAGCCAGCAACCCTGGTTTATGCCCTTGACCAGAATTGAACCTGGGAACTTTCATTCCACAGGTCGACACTCTATCCACTGAGCCAAACCAGATAGGGCACACCTCATGGCTTTTTAAAGCTTGAAACCTTCTGTCCGGTTACCCAAGGGTGGACTGAACATAAATACCCGCTGGATTTCCACCTGCTAACTTAGAAAGTTTCCACAGCTTTGTTTTCTGGCCAGCTGCACATTGTTATTATTATTATTATTATTTTAAATATATTTTATTGATTTTGTACAGAGAGGAAGGGAGAGAGATAGAGAGTTAGAAACATCGATGAGAGAGTCATCGATCAGCTGCCTCTTGCACACTCCCTACTGGGGATATGCCCACAACCAAGATACATGCCCTTGACCGGAATCAAACCCGGATCCCTTCAGTCCCCAAGCCGACGCTCTATCCATTGAACCAAACCGGTTTCGGCTATTATTATTATTATTTTTAAATATATTTTTATTGATTTTAGAGAGGAAGGGAGAGGGAGAAAGAAACATCAACGATAAGAGAGAATCATTGATTAGCTGCTTCCTGCACTCCCCACACTGGGGATCGAACCTGCAACCTGGTCATGTGCCCTGACTGGGAATCGAATCATGACCTTCTGGTTCATAGGTTGATGCTCAGTCACTGAACCACACTGGTGGGCTGCACATTATTTTTATTGTAACTCACTTTGTCATATTTATGAGGTGTGTCCTGCTCCACCCAGTTGTACCCCCCCAGCTGTGAATCCTGTTGTAGCAACAAGTGTGGCCCTGTTCCATCTCCAGGGGTGGCTCTGCTTTGGGCCAGCTTCCTTTGAGAACTAGGCCCTGAGCCTCATGGTTGTGGGTGGGGGAATTTCACTCCAGCCAGGGGAGAAAAGTCCTTCCTTTAGACTGATTGTCCCCACCCTGGGGCCCCTGCTTTCCTAGACACCTGTTTCTCTTCTCCCTCGCCAGGTGCTTGCTGATGGCACCATCCTGAACTGCCTCACCTCCCTGCGGAAGGACAACACAGGCTATGACCTGAAGCAGCTCTTCATCGGTTCAGAGGGCACCCTGGGGGTCATTACTGCCGTGTCCATCTTGTGTCCACCCAAGCCCAGGGCTGTGAACGTGGCTTTCCTTGGTAGGTGGAGTGCCTGCTGCCCCCATGGTTTGAGAGAACAGATGGACAGGGCCCTCACAGGACTCCCCATTTCTCCTGCCTTCTCGCTCTTTCCAAAGGGATCCAGGACCTGGCCTTGGTGTTCAGTCAGGTCTGGAGTCATGCTTGCAGGTTCTGGGCAGAGTAACCTCACTCTGTAACAAAGTCGAGCCTCCTCAGCTCTCACCCACTTGTCGTTTACGGAGCATGCACCCAAGGTTCTGTGTGGGAAACACTGTCATTGGGCAAAAGGCCAAGGACACCGATCTTCATTTTGAGGGGTGATCAGATGGATGCCCTTCCCAGCACCTCAGGAAGCGCACACGTGATGTTTCCACCTGCCTCCCTTTCCAGCGGACTGGAACCACAACCTTACGCCTGCTTCCCTCGGTCCCTGCCTTCATCTGCTCCCACCTCCTTTCTTGCCTTCAGTCCACTGGGTAGGCGTGTGGTCCCTCTCCTTCTGTCCTCGGTCAGGAGGGATGCAAACCTCCAGTCTTCTAGAGGCTTTCGCAGGCCCCTAACATCCAGGCGGTCAGTTCGTGCATCAGTGTCTTCCCGCTGGGACAGTCAGGACTGTGGGGACATGAGCTGTTTCTTCCCCTCCTGACTTTATATGTCCCCTCTTATCTGGATTCTTGATCCCATTTGTCTTAATCTCTCAGATCATAATTACCATTATTTTATAAATGTGCCTTTTTCCTTCCTCCTCATTCCTTTATCAGACTTCCTGCTGGGCTCATCTCCTTGTAAACACATCCTTGAGCATCCTTTGGGGAACACCCGCTGGCGATGAGTTCTCGCTGTCAGCTTGTCTGAAAATGTCTTAATTTACACTCATTCACGAGAGACACGGTCACTAGGCATGCAGGTTCAGGTGGGCACTCGTTTCCTTCTTCCACTGAAAATACTCCCCTCTGGGCATCCTCCACGGCTGCTCTGAAGAGGTCTGTCTCTCTCTCTCTTTGGACCCTGGGTCTTTCGTGGTTTTCCGTATGTTTCTCTAGGTCTCCCTGGCCCAGTGTCTGGTCAGTTGCAGTATTGCCCATTTCCTTTCCTTAAGCTGTGATTACACATGTGGCATCGTTTGTCTGTCCTTCCATCTTTCACCCTCTTCCATCCTTTCCATCCCGTTCACTGCCTGTGTTGCATTCTAACTGTTTCTTCCGATTTGTTCAGTTCGCTGATGTGTCCTGTTGCTGGTGTCCCCATGCAGCCGCACCCTCAGTGCAGCTTCTGCGGGCCGCTGCAGTCCCCGGCTCTTCTCTCTGGGACACTCTTCTCGACATCTCTCCCCACTGCCATCGCAGCCCTTTCCACCTGCAGCGGTCCACCGGTCCCTTCTGCCTTCCAGCTAGAGGGTCAGCTCCCCTGTCCTGGCACCACAGTGACTCTCAGTGTTCTGTGAATATGTCTTGAGCGAGTGGGGAGGAAACCACGGGCAACCTTGGCGAGCCTTCCCTGTCTTCATCATCTCCGCCACCTGTGATGCACTTGTTGGCTGACTGGTGGCATTTCCCTCAGCAGTGCTTCGGCGGCTCCGAGATGCTGCCTCGCACGCCAGCTGGGAGTTGGGTTGTCAGGCTGCTTTACAGGGGATCTGGGTGGGCTTGGGTGAGGCTCTTGGCTGGCGTGTTCCTGAGGTGCTATGCCCTGTGCAGGTTGCCCAGGCTTTGCTGAGGTTTTGCAGACTTTCAGCACTTGCAAGAGGATGCTGGGGGAGATCTTGTCGGCGTACGAGTTCATGGATGCTGAGTGCATGCAGCTGGTCAGGCAGCACCTTCACCTCACCAGCCCAGTGCAAGGTACTGACCCCACCCACCTGCCGCTCCTTTTAGGCTGTCTGCACAGGGTGGCTCAGGCTGTCAGGCCATCCTGTGCGAGAGAGGGAGTGGGAAGGAGGATACTGGCCCCTCTGCAGTTGTGGTGTCACCACTATTTGATGAGCATAGGATTCTCATTTACTTTTGTTTTAAATGTGCCCGCGGTTAATTCACTGAATGCAGTCCATTGGGGCATAGCTTTGGGATTTTCAAAACAACCAAGTGCACTTCTCCAGAACCAAGAAATGTACTGTTCCATGACATGCTCACCCTCCGACCTCAGCAGGCAAGTCACAGGTGCTGGGTGTGACTCAGGGCTTTGGAAGGCAATTTGCATTATGAATCTAAAAATATTCAGTTGGAGGTCTTGGTGATTTTACTTCTGAGATCCATCCTAAAGAAATTGTTATTTTCTTAGCTGCCCTAATAGAGACCCACAGGTTTGAAACCATTAGGGTTGATTCTGGGTGAGCCTGGTGTGCAGGTGGCCACCTTCTCACTGAGTCTTCACATGGTGGCCAGAGAGAGAGCTCTGGTGACGCCTCCTCCTCTTAGGAGGGCACCTGCTCTGCAGGATCAGAGCCCTGCCCTCTGATCTCATTTAACTTTCTAAAAGGCCTGATCTCCGAATGGTCACATTGGGCCTGGGTTAGGCTTCACCATGGGAATTTGGGGGTGGCGGGACGACAACACAATTCATTGCATACAATTATTAATATGGGAAGACTCCAATTTTGAGTGAGATGCTCTTTTATTATAAAGTAGGAAACAAACTAAGTGGCCAAATAAGACATATGCATCTTCTGGGAAGATGGTGGGCCTCTGCGTGAAAGGTGCTGCTGGGGTTCTTGTCCCAGACTTACGAAGTTCAGCATTCTGGAGAAGGGCTGCGCGTAGATGATTAAGAAGGAGTCCAAAGACGAAAGATAATTTTGAAAGGCATGGGGGGAGGGGGGTCAGAGGATCTTCAGCTGAAGGAGCTAAAGACTCCTACCTTGATCAAGGACACGTGTTTTTATTCAACACAATTTGTCCTAAGGCAAGGTGGACATATACAATTCAAAGGGTAAGGTATCAAAGGAGATATATATATATATATATATATATAATTGATTTTTTTTACTGAGAGGAAGAGAGAGGGATAGAGTGTTAGAAACATTGATGAGAGAGAATCATCAATCAGCTGCCTCTTGCACACCCCCTATTGGGGATGAGCCTGCAACCAAGGTACATGACCTTGACTGGAATCGAACCCGGGACCTTTCAGTCTGCAGGCCGACGCTCTATCCACTGAGCCAAACTCTGATTCAGCCAAAGGATATTTTATTTTATTTATTTTATTTTATTTATTTATTTAATATATTTTATTAATTTTTTACAGAGAGGAAGAGAGAGGGATAGAGAGTTAGAAGCATCGATGAGAGAGAATCATCGATCAGCTGCCTCTTGCACATCCCCCACTGAGGATGTGCCGGCAACCAAGGTACATGCCCTTGACCAGAATCGAACCCGGGACCTTTCAGCCCACAGGTTGACGCTCTATCCACTGAGCTAAACCAGTTTGGCCCAAAGGATATTTTAGATTGGGAATAGCCTACAGCTGTTCAGTTGTTTGGCCAACAGGAGGCAATAAAATGCCCTGAGCTGTCTGGCAGCAACTATTATCCTATGCAGGTTGTAAGGTGACCAGGCGGCCTGCTTTTGGCGGGACAGTCCCGATTTTTAACAATTTGTCCCGCATCCCTCAGCGTTTTAAAAAAGTACTTTTTTAAAATGACTCGGAACGCAGGACAAATTGTTAAAACTCGGACGTCTGGTCACCTTAGGTTTGGGGAAAGTGCTGTTGAGCCGTTTTTAACAGGTAAACTACATATGTGGCTCACCCTTGTTGAGCTTCCCAAGCTTCACCAGCCTTTTGGTAAAACTCTTGTAATTATTACATGCTGGAATTGGTTCTCGGCAGGGCGCATCTCCCTCAGTTGGTAAGAATGCCTCCTGCAAGGAGGGCTTCACAGTGTCACTGGGCTGTTCCTGTGTTTCCAGTGAGTGTGGTTTGTTACAGTGAAAGGCCTGCTTTTAAACTGCCTGGATTTTAGCCTCAGCAGAGCTCCTGCTCTGCTGGTCCCTGCTCTGCAGGCTCCTGGGCCCAGAGCTTCCTGACTCAGCCTGACCACCTGCCTCTGCCCATCTTCCATCTGCCCTCTCCAGAAAGTCCCTTCTATGTCTTGGTCGAGACCTCAGGCTCCAGAATGGAGCACGATGACGAGAAGCTGAGCAGCTTCCTGGAACATGCGTCGAGCTCCGGCCTGGTGACTGACGGGACCCTGGCCACCGATCAGAGGAAAATCAAGGTGTGTGTGTGCTGGCGGCTCTCGTCCTCTGCCCAGCCCGGCTCAGCTGGGCGTGTGGAAGGCTCTGTGTCCACTGTGAGTGTGGCTGGTGGCTGTCCCAGCTTTGGTAGAGAACCTCTTTGGAAGTGCACTCTTGGTTCCAGGTAGAGAACTGCATGGCTGTGGGAGGGTTAGTGCGATGCTGAGCCAGTTGTGGGGGTGAGATGTTTCCCTAAGGGTGACGAGGCACCAAGAGTGACTTGGCCTCCGAGGCCAAAGGAAGGAAGTGGGGGGCCTGACATAGGGGAGCCATTATCACCATGGGGGAGAGGGCTAGGAGGGCAAGGGAGCCATCATCACTGTGGGGGAGAGGGCTAGGGCAAGGGAGCCATCATCACCACCGCGGGGGGGGTTGGGGGGGGCGGGCTAGGGCAGGGGAGCCATCCTCAACAGCACGGGGCCTTTGTCGTTCCCCCCCACCCTGTGTTCTCCTGAGCTGCAGTGTGGAGAGTGGCCAGCAGGGGGCAGGAAATCCACAGGACAGTGGCAGGAATGGGAACCGGGTGGGTCAGATTTGGGGTGAGTGGAGAGTGGGATCTGTTTTCTTTATTTTTTGTTGTTAATCCTCACCAGAGGATATATTTTCCATTGATTATAAGAGAGAGTAGGAAGGAAGGGCGAGGGGGGAGAGAGAGAAAGAGAGGAGAGAGATCTGTGTGAGAGAGACACGTGGATTGGTTGCTTCCCGCACACACTGTGACCAGGGCCGGGCATCCAACCTGCAGCCCAGGTATGTGCCCTTGACCGGGAATCAAGCCTGAGACCCTCTGGTCCTCAGGCTGACGCTCCAACACTGGCCAGGGCTCATTGTCACCTAGTGGCTGGTTACTGACTCTATTTCTTTACTTTATAATTAAACCCTTTTCTCTGCAGTTACTTTTATGTTCATTAGATATGATATATAAGGAGTTATAGCAATACCTGACCCAGGGCCCTGTTGGGTGCAGTGGCTGGGCAGTCTTAGCTGCCGCTCTGACTATAAGTGCCCTCCCTCCCTGTCCCCCGGCCCAGGCTATAAGAGCTGCCTCCATTGGTCTTGCTGCAGAAGACAGGACAGACACCACTGTGGGCCCAGGTGCTCCCGGGGGAGAAGGTCACTTGAGCCTTAGAGGTCGGCTGCTATCTCATTGAGGGGAGGCAGGAATACGCTGGTCCTAGCCTGGCAGACTGCTGGCTCCCAGCCCTCTTCTCAGATGGTGCAGGAGTTGGGGGGCATTAAGACGGGGATGGCTAGGTGTAGGGGCAGTAAGCAAAGGGGGGTGGAAGGGATACCCTAGGAGGCCTGCGCAGAACATCCCTGAGCTGGTGGGACAGAACAGGTTGGGCAGGGAGAGCAGTCTTGTGGCCGTGCACCTGGCAATGAAGGTGAATGGAGGTGAGCGGAGCCTGCAGGCAGAAGTGTGGGTGTGACAGCTGTGCAGCAAGTGAGGTTTGATCCCGGCCCTGGTCAGAGTGTGCCTGGGAGGCAAACAAAAAATATCCTCTGGGGTCCCCATGGCTGTGGCATCTCTGCGGGGACGTTGCCGGGTTCTGGGTGTGTGAGGGCCAGGCCAGTAGGACCTGCTGAAAGTCAGGGCACGGATGACCTGTGTGGCCATAACAATCGATGAGAGAATTAGGGAAATCTTTATTTTTAGAGGCGCTCATGGTACTGTGCTTATGTTAGAAACAAAAGGAGTGTCCTTACCTAGTAGAAATTTCTCAGTGATGTTTCCTGAGATGGTGGGGTGTGTGGGGGCAGGGCCCAGGTGGGACAGTAGGGCCCAGTGGTGGCACAGCACACTGTCTCTGCTCCCTCGTGACGGCTTCAAATGCCCACAGTGACAAGTTAACTGAACAAGTCAACCACAGCTGTGTTTGTGTGGAAGGGCAGCACTATTGTAACAAGCTCCCCCAGAAGCCACCCCCAGGCCCTGCACCCCCCACTGTCCCTGCTCCAGCCACCAGCACCCCTATCCCACCCGTGCCCCATGTGTCCCCAGGCGGCCCAGGGCCCATCCTTGGGGGCCTTCCCAGCCCCTTGCCTTCAGGCAGCCCCAACTAGTCATGCCCACCCTATCACCCAGGCCTACAGGACATGCTATAGTGTCATTGCCTGCCCCGTTCAGAAGGGGGCTCAGTGCCTCAGTCGCTGGCACTCAGTGCTGTCGTGGGGCTGCATCTGGGACATTGTCGCGTATGGAAGCCCCATGCCCGCCACACAGAGCAGTGTCCCCCCCAAAGCAGCTGCAGTTGTCATGCCCGTCACTGTGGACACCTTATTGCAGTCAGGTGTGGACTTTGCCTGTTTCTTCCTGTCCCCCCAGATGCTGTGGGCCCTTCGGGAGAGGATCACGGAGGCGCTGGGCCGGGACGGTTATGTGTACAAGTATGATGTTTCTTTGCCCGTGGACAGGCTCTACGACCTTGTGACCGACCTGCGTGCCCGCCTTGGCTCAAAGGCCAAGCACGTGGTGGGCTATGGCCACCTGGGTGAGTAGAGCTGGGCAGGTGGACCGTGGTTAACTCTGGGCTAGCTCAGCGCCACGTCCATGCTCTGAACAGTGATGAGAAAACCTGGGGTTGAGAGATTCCTAACCATTTTTCTGAGTCTTTTAGGTGTTTGGGAGAAGGGTGACACTGGCTGTGGGGAGCTCCTTGGTGCACGGTAGGACATGGGCCATAAACCCAGAGTCAGCAGGTCTGAGATCCCTGACCACACCGCGTCCCACTGTCTCATGTGGGCTGGAGGTCCCCAGTGAGGGCAGCAGTGACTCTGGTTAGGAGACAGCACAGGACAGTTGTGGGACTTGAGTCAGTGTGAAGCATCGGGAAGGAGGGGTAACTTCAGCTACATGGAAAGTGAATAATTCTGTTCCTCAAACAGCCTTCAGGGGAATGATGGCTGGCAAAGCTTGGATCTCGCAACTAGTGTTTGGGGAGGGGGCGGGAGGTGGGCACAGGGTCACTGCAGTAACCTGAGGGAGCCTGTTTTCCCTTGGGAACTTGGACTCCAGAGTGGGTGAGTCCTCGCCAGAGTTGTGGTCACAGTGAACTGAGGGCTTTCCCTCTGTGAAACCAGGAGCAAATGTTTGTTTTGTTGGTGCTTCTCCTGTGATAGTCAGGGATCAAAGGGCATTAAGCCTTCCTGACTGATCGGGCCATATTACTAGGATGGGTTTGCTTGGCTATGGTCCTTCCGGTGTCTTGACTCCATTTATTTAATTCTACATGAGATATTTTTATTTTTATTTTTTTTATTTTTAAAAACATATTTTATTGATTTTTCACAGAGAGGAAGAGAGAGGGATAGAGAGTTAGAAACATCGATGAGAGAGAAACATCGACCAGCTGCCTCCTGCACAACCCCTACTGGGAATGTGCCTGCAACCAATGTACATGCCCTTGACCGGAATCGAACCCGGGACCCTTCAGTCCGCAGACTGACGCTCTATCCACTGAGCCAAACCGGTTTCGGAATACATGGGCTATTTTTAGGGTGATGCTGGCCTGCCAGGATCCTTGGGGTAGTGGCCCCTTTCCCAACTCTGGAAGTCTGTGCACGGTGGAGTTTTCTCTTTGAGTGTTTGGAGAACTTGCCAATGAAGATAAGTGGCCGGAAGTTAGTGTTTGGGGGGCAACTGCAGACCAATTTCCTGAATGTCTGCGGGTTATTCCAGCTTGCCTTTTCCTCTGAACTGGTCCTGAAAAATTTTCTTTCTAAGAATTTGTCCATTTATTCTAGAACTTTAGATATATTGGCATAACAGTGTTCATGATATTCTCATGTTTCCTTGTGTGTTATCAGCATGGTCAGGGAAGTACTCAGCCAGGGCAGTAGCTGTCACTCAGCCACAGTGACTCCGGGTCCATGTGTCATCATAAGCAAAGCATGGCTTCCTTTGGACTTGAGGGCGGAGTGTCCATGCATGTGATGCTTGGAGGCCACTTGCTGGGACTCTGTTTCCTGGGACTCTGCCCTTCTGCAGCCCTGACCTCAACCCTAGGGTCCCAGAAGGCCTGGCGGAAGGTGACTCCAGGTCACTGGCTCCAGGGCAGGTCCGCCTCAGCAGCTAGGTGCCCCAGCATTTGTGTGGAGGTCCCACAGTTGTATATATATATATATTATTGATTTATTACATAAAGGAAGGGAGAAGGATAGAAAGTCAGAAACATCAATGAGAGAGAAACATCGATCAGCCGCCTCCTGCACACCTCCCACTGGCGATGTGCCTGTAACCAAGGTACATGCCCTTGACCAGAATCGAACCTGAGACCCTAGAGTCTGCAGGCTTTATCCAATGAGCCAAACCGGTTTCGGCCAGTTTTTTTTTTTTTGTTTGTTTGTATATTTTTATTGATTTCAGAGGAAGGAAGAGGAAAGAGAGATAGAAACATAAATGATAGAATCATTGATCATCTACCTCCTGCACATCCCCTACTGGGGATCAAGTCTGCAAATGGGCATGTGTCCTTGACCAGAATCGAACCTGGGACCCTTTAGTCTGCAGGCTGATGATCTATCCACTGACCCAACTGGTTAGGGCTGTCCCACAGATTTGATGGCACTTTCATTATCTTTATTTATTTATTTTTTAAATTAAATTTAATTTATTTATTTTTAGTTAAATTGTTATTGTTCATATTATTCCAAATATTCCTCTTCCCCCCCCCTCCATTGCTCTCCTCCACCGGGTTCCCACCCCACCTTCTGCCCTTTCCCCACCCCCCATTGTCCTCATTCATAGGTACACAGTTTATGTTCATTCTCTTCCCACATCCCCCTCTCCCCTTTTCCCCGAGAATCGTCAGTTCACTCCCCTTCCTACCTCTGATTCTATTATATTCAACAGTTAATATTGTTCATCAGATTTTTTTTTTAAATTTCCTTGGTTTTTAGATTCACTTGTTGATAGTTACGTATTTGTTGTTCATAATTTTTATCTTTATTTACTTTCTCTTCCAAAAGAACCCCCTTCAGCAATTCATATAATTCTGGTTTGGTGGTGATGAACTCCTTTAGCTTTTTTTTTTTTATTGGTGAAGCTCTTTATCTTCGATTCTAAGTAATAGCTTTGCTGGGTAGATTATTTTTGGCTGTACGTTCTTAGTATTCATCACCTTTTATATTTCTTGCCATTCCATCTGGCCTGCATGGTTTCTGTTGAGAAATCAGCTGACAATCGTATAGGTGCTCCTTTATAGGTAACTACCTTCTTTGCTCTTGCTTCTTTTAATATTCTCTCTTTGTCTTTTGCTATTGGAATTTTAATTATAATGTGCCTTGGTGTGATCTTCTTTGGATTCCTTTTGTTTGGAGTTCTGTGTGCTTCCTGGTCTAATTCTTTCACCAGGTGGGGGAAGTTTTCTGTCAGTATTTCTTTCAGTATGTTTTCGATATCTTGCTCTCTCTCATCTTCTGGGACCCCCATAATTCTGATGTTGGTTCTCTTGAAGTTGTCCCAGAGGTTTCTTACATTATCTTCAATTTTCTGGATTCTCTTGCTTTCTTGCTTCTGCAGAGGAGTGTCTTCTGGCTCTTTATGTTCCAACTCTTTGACTTGATTCTTGCGATCTTCCATTCTGTTTTTAGGACTCTGTATAATATTTTTTATTTCAGACAATGTATTCTTTATTTCTTGTTGATCCCTTATTATTTCTTGTTGATTCCTTATTAATTCTAGTTGATCTCTTTTCATATCCTCATAAGTCTTATCGACCTTTTCTAGGAAATTCTTGAAAAACCTTATAAGCGTAGATTTGAACTCTATATCCAGTCGCTTTTTGTCCTCCATTTCTTTCGTTTGTGATCTATTTCGTTGTTGCATTTCTCAGGTACAGATGGGGCGGAGTTTCAGGGTGGAGCCTACAGCTTTGGCTTCCGTCAGCCCTGCCCTATGCAGCTCCTGAGTCTCAGTAATCCCCAGGGTCCTTCAGTACTCATTGCAAGCACCTCTGAGAGAAAGGTGCCCTCGATTTTCGCCTGCTACCAAACAGCCTAGGCTCTCCCCCAATGAGCCCGGAACTGGGGTTCAGAGCAGTCGGAACTGGGGCCCAGCACAGTCCGGAGCCTTCATCTCCTTCCCGCCAGGGCAATCTCGCAGCAGAGTCAACACTCCGTCCTCTGTGCGCAATGTGTGCGCCTCTGGCTCTGCCCTTCGCCGCTCCCCTGGGATTCCACCTCACAGCCCCGGCTCCCTCAGTTTGATCCTGGGTCCCCGGGGTCTGGCCTAGTACTGGGGTTCAGCGCTGTCGGGTTTGGGGTTCAGCACAGTCGGAGCTTTTATCTCCTTCCCGCTAGGGAACGCCAGCCAGGCACTCAGCCGCCCCTCCTCTCCGGCTCTGTCCTCTCCGCGCGCGCCGCGTGTCTCCGTACCTTAGGCTTTTACAGCTCCTCCGCTCTTCCTTCTGGTTTTGTCCTTGCTTCTCGTTGTAGAATTTCCAGTCATTCAACTTTCCTGTAGTTCTGGGTAATGTCCATTTTATATTTTAGTTGAATTTTATTGAAATTGTTGTGTGTGGCTGCGGCTAGGTGTTTACCTGTGCAGCCATCTTAGATTCTCTCACTTTCATTATCTTTAGTTCTAAATATTTTTTCATCTCCATTGCCATTTCTTCTTTGACCCATGGGTTAGGCAGAAATGTGTGTTTTTTTCTTCTTTTTTTCAGAAATGTGTTTTTAAATTCACAAACATATGGGAATTTTTTAGTTATTTTAAAAAATCGTTGACTTGCTTTTAATTGCACTGGAGCCAGAGAACTGGGCCCGTGTCACACTGAAACCAGTCAGTGGCCCAGAGGGTCCAGCTGGCCGTCTGATTCCATATATGTGATGACTACTTGGAGAGAGCTGTCCTCTGAATTCCTGTTTTCCCAGATCCACAGAAAAGTGCTCATGTGGAATTTAATCCTCCACATCCTGCTGGCTGTAAAAGCATCAATCCCCGGGTGACAGGATAATCTGTTTCTCTTTAGAGCTGTCAGTTTGGAAGATAGGAAATTAGAACTGTTCTTTCATTCTGCTAAATGAATCTTTTTATCGTCAGAGTTTCATTTGCCATGGAGTCTCCTTTGTTTGATGTTCTACAGGAGCATTAGCTACCCTCTATTTGCCTGACGTACTGATTTTCCTCCTGTGACTTTCAGCTGTTTTCTGTCCATGACTTACATAGGTGTCTTGAAGACAGCGTGGAGCTCGGGTTTCATCTTCATCACTGGCAGGTCATTGTCCTTAAACTAAGCATTTGGTTTGTGTTGGGCAGGGAAGGCTCAACTTTTCCCCCTATCCTCCTAGAGTCTTTGGGGCCCTGGAAATAAGACCCATAAGACACAGAGTACAAGAAATAAACAAATTCACTAACTGGTGCATCACACACACACACCACACACACACACACACAGGGCTCAGCGATGAGGAGCTCAAAGGAGCTCAGGACATGGGCATCTCATCGGAGAAGTCACAGAGGAAAGGATGAGGACTTGGAGCTTCTCAGGCAGCAAACCGTGGGAAGGTCAATAACTACCTGGGGAAGCGGACCACCAGCTGTTATGTGAATTCCTCTCATGCGTCTCAGGCTGATCAGGCCCAGCTTTTCTGACAATGGTCTTCATCCTTTCTGGTAGAGGGAGGGACAGCGGGACACCTTTACACGGATGTCCTGCTTTAGGTGAAAGGCGGGCCAGATTATCACCTGCCTGTTCGTACATGTTTCTGCAGTAGATCTCAGTCCAGCCTTGTGTTTCAGCCCACGTGGCTATGCTGTTGCTGGTATTTGTGTCGTCCGTGTTGGTCCAGTCCTGGGTAAACCTCTAGTCCTGCTTTGTCTGCTTTCATAGCCTCCGTCTGGGTCTCATCTTTTAGAATTTCCTACTAGGGACATATTATTTGCCTGAAAAGTTATTAATTTTGTTTTGAAATGGTTTTCAGCAATTTGGGTTTGACAAGTTCTTTTCTCTCTGCAGCATGAGGTGTCCCTGGGAATTTAGCTGCCAGGGCAGGTGTCTCATGGAAAGGAGTCTGTTTTTCCTTTCTTGTTCCTTTTATGACCATGTGTCCTCTGGTTCATCTGGGTGACAGTGTGTGTCCTGTCGGGTCTGCCCTTGTGTCTTCAGACGCTGTTCTCCCTCATCCTGTTTCCCCAGCTCTGTTTCTGGAACTGCAGCCCAGTGCTCGAGGTCTCCTCCGCCATCACTGATGGCAGGTTCCTCTGATGTGGGCCCCAGTTCTTGCCACATTCAGAGCATTTTGCCATCTTGCAGGTCACGAGTCTCGCTGTGCTGTGGTGTCCTGTTAAACCTGTTCACTGAGTCGTGTGCTTCAGCCATTACTCTATTTTTTCTAATGCGTTTTTACTGATTTTTTTTTGGACAGAAAGGAATGGAGAGGGATAGAAAGATAGAAACATCAGTGAGAGAGAAAGATCAATTGGCCGCCTCCCACACACCCACACTCGGGGTTTGAGCCCGCCACCCAGGCATGTGTCCTGACCAGTAATCAAACCTTGACTTCTTGGTGCCCGAGATGATGCTCAACCAACGGAGCCACACCAGCTGGGCAGTGTTTTGTATTTTTTTAACTTCTTTATTTCTTTAAACATATGAAGCATTTACATTCTGTTTCTGGAAATGGCCGGATGGCGAGTCTCTGTGGTCAGATTCTGCCTCCCTGGCCCTGGGGGGCTTTGTTTTGTGTGGATGTGATTTGTGGCCTGGGCTCATATGTCTTAGTCCTTTGCCTGTGGAAACGTTGAGGCCAGGGTTGGAGTTGATTTGCTTGTTTGTGCAAGGGGTGGGTGCAGACCTAGGCCGCCCAGCCTGAACCTCCCGAATGTTCTGAGCTCAGTGTCTGTGGACCACCAGGTAGTGTGAACTTGGGTTGTAAACTCTGCGCTGGTTGATGGTTGTGAATATCCAGGTGTTAGAGGCGGTGGGTTGCCTGGACAAAGAAAGCCCATGGTGGCATTTTCAGTTGCCTTTGCCCTGCGTGTGTCAGTGGGGACCATTTTTGGTTGGAAGGGGTCCCTGCTATGCACCCCACATTTGAAACATGGAGAAAGAGGTATAAGAAGCTCAAGGTCACTGGGTCAGAGGTTGCATGCCTGCCCTCCATTGCTCTGGGTGTTGCCCTAGGTTTGCTGTGCTTTTTCCTGCCTTTGGGAGTGCCTTCATCTGGCCTCCAAGGCTCCCTGCCCCTCAGGATAGCAACCCTCACTGGTCCTGGCTCACTGTCTGTTCAGTCCTTCTACTTTCCTGACTGCTGACTGTGGTCCTGGCGTCTCTTCTCTGTATGTTTGCACTGGCTCCAGGGCATGCTGGTCATATCCAATGCTTCCTGGGTGTTATCTCTCATGTCTCCCAAGGCCAGCACAATTCCTGCCCCCCAGGCCCCTTGCAGGCTCCCCCCATCAATGGTAACTCCACTGTCTGCTCTCATGACCCCACTGGGTGCAGGGACACTCTAGGCTCCCTCCAGCCAGCTCATAGCCCCAGCCAGCACGTGGGTTGTGTTGACTTGGGTTAATTTCATGTCTCTTGTCGTTGCTTTGGGATCCCGAGAGAGGGTACATGTATGCGGTGAGCCCGGCTATCCCTAGGGCCAGAGTCAGCATGTGTTTGGACAGTTTTGGAAAGCCAGGGCCCAAGGGGTCTCATTGAGGGCAACAGGGGGCCAAGTGGACCTGAGAGGAGGCGGGTGGGATCCAGGACTTTGTTTGTGGTGGGCGTTGGCTGGGCAGCCTCAGAGGAGGCATCCCGGAGGTGGGGGAGGCGCCCATGGAGTTCTTGGAGGTGTCCGGTGGGGATGGGATCATACGGGTGTCGTTGGAGATGTAAGTCTGGTGACAGCCATCAGTGTGATCAGACTCCAGGGCTCTCAGTTGGGAGCCCATGGAAGATATTGAGCTGATGGAGGAAGGAGCAGGTTGGGGAGAACTGGGGAGAGAAGTGAACAAAAGCCAAGGGGGCTGGGGCCCCCTGAAGAGGCTGCTTCTGTCACTGCAGGTCAGTGACTGGTGACTTGAAGGGCTGGAACCAGATAGGATGGGAAGGGGCTCTTTGGCAGAGGCTTAAGAAGTGGAGAGAGCCCTGCCCAGCCTGACTCATGGTTTCCTGTCCCTCCAGGGGATGGCAACCTGCACCTCAACGTAACAGCAGAGGCCTTCAGCCAGTCACTGCTGGGTGACCTGGAGCCCTACGTGTACGAGTGGACAGCGGGGCAGCGGGGCAGCGTCAGTGCAGAGCACGGGGTCGGCTTCAAGAAGCAGAGTGTCCTTGGCTACAGCAAGCCGCCTGAGGCCCTGCAGCTCATGCAGCAGCTCAAGGCTCTCCTGGATCCACAGGGCATCCTGAACCCCTACAAGACGTTGCCCACCCGGGCCTGACGAGGCATCGGGATCAGCAGGAGTGGCCTTGGTCCCGTCCTAGTTTTGCCCATTGGGATGGGTGCGCAGGACTGGCGTAGGATCAGGCCTCCATCCCATGGAGCTCCCTGGGTGGAGGGGTTGGGAGCTGGCTCTGAGGATCTGGGACTCACTCTAGGACAGGATTCCTCCGGTGGCTCCACAGGTTACGTTGTGTGAACAGAGAGGAGAGAGCGGCTTCGTGCTGCCCTGGTCACTCTGCCTGGCCTATAAGTAGACACCTCATGTCTTTGCACAGGTGGGGAGTGGGGACTCCTGCCAGCACGTCCTGGATGGGCCCGTGTATGAACGGTTCTGCCCACTCAGAAATAGACCAGGTGGCACCAGCCTTGCTTGAGAGCTGAAGTCCTGGGAGGAGCATTGTGGTCCTGCCCCCCTCATTCCCCGACCCCTGGCCCAAGCTGTGCAAGCCACGTGGTTGGGGCAGTGGTGATCAACTCGGTGTGAACAGCCCAGAGCACCATCTCTCCAGGGCTCTGACCACCAGAGCCTGGTTCACAGGTGCTTTACCGGACGTGGAATGGGTGACCGCTGAGCCCTGGACTGTATCCTTTCCCTCGACAGTTGTCAAGAGCTCAGGCGTTCATTTCTCACACTTGGTGGTCTTTTGTGATGAGTCCACGCCGATGGGCCATGCTGCTACGAATCGCCCTCAGGCACACGTACCGGTGCATGCCACTACACACAGCCCTGTTGTCTCTGCTGACCTGTGGGCCTGGGCAGCTGCTAGGGCTGTGGAGACGGTCTAGGAAGTGGGGCATGTTTTCTCCTTCTGGCTGTTGTGAACTTCCAGTAAAAACAGAATTATTCAGGACACTGTCCTTGCTTTTGTTACTAGAGAAATGAGCACCGAATACAGAGAGGCCAGGCCTGACCACCTCTGGGGGTGGCTCCCCTTCCCTAGATGCTGTCCTGTCCGAGCCCCGGCCCCTGCCCCCCCCTGAGGCTTAGAGCCCTGTCTCACGGGGCCCTCGTGGCTTAGGTTCAGCTGGTTTTCCCACCATCCTGTATGCAAAGACTTTCAATAATAGTTTTGTGTCTAAGCAAGTTTATTTTGGAGAATTCAAATAATGCATGAAACATCAAAAGGCTAAGAATTTTGAGGTATTTTCTGCGAGAGTAGCAGCAGGGCTCTGCAAAGATGACCCACGGATTCTGGGAGCAAGTGTTATAGGATCCTCCATCTCCCTGGGACACATGCTGGACCCCAAAATGTCAAAATGTGAAGTGCTCTGCAGTTCACTCCTGGGGTCGCCCTACAGAATCCACCTGCGCACAGGTATGTACATGTATGCAATACATGCACACATGCACAGGCACTGTACACAGACATGGTTCACACAGGCCCACATTATACACATACCACACACACACAGGCTTGTCCCCAGGACATGCGCAGAGCACTGTCTGTACCTGGCATCTGTTGCTGGACAGGTGGGAGTTGGCCTTTTAGACCTGCCTTTGAGACCCCCAGACAGAAGGACAGCAAGAAGAGGGGAGAAGGGGACAGCCACCTGCTGCCAAGAGAGAACATTGGCTTGAGGAAGCTGGTTGCACACAGAACCTTCCGGTGTGTTGAAATTAGCTGGGCTCCCTTGGGGAAGGCGCCTGGCTGTCGGAGTAGGAAGATTATTTTTTGTAATTTTTGGATGCCTTGCACTTTTTTTTTTTTTTTTTTTTTTTTTTTTTTTTTACCAAGTGCATGTATACTTTAGAAACAAAACAGGACAAACCAGGTGACAAGCTGATTCAGAGATCTGGGTGGGGGGAGCCATTTGCCTCCTACATGCTTTCCCCCACCCCCCACTGGGGAAGAAGCCTGAAGCCTGGGCCAGGCCTGTATTTTGACCAGACATCTGACTGGTGGGGCAGAGGAACCTCAACTGTTTGCAGCCTTGTTTCATCCTTCAGTTTCCCCAGGTCTGTAAGCAAACTTATCTATGCTTAGTAGGGTGAATGATTATAAAACAACGGTGGCTATGTCAATAGGTTTCCTCCCCGCTACCTTCCACACCTAGAAAATCCTGTTGGAACCAACAGGAAAATCTGGCTAAAGAGCCGGATGCGGCTGCAGAGCTGCTGGGCCAAGGGCGCATGCCCTTGGGGAACTCACTCCCAGTGGCCCTGAATGTCACCAACGCTGTGGAGTGCCCATCAAACAGAGCGCGTGTCCAGGCCACACCACACATGGGAAGGAAGCCTCTCCCGATTTTTTCCCATCTGGTCCAGGGGAGCAGTCGGGAATGTCTGCAAAGCAAAACCTGCCTTTCAGTCCTCAAGCTCTGGACCCTGGACCCCTGGGTGGAGAGACAACTCCCCTCCGGAAGCTGCTCCCACCAGCAGGGGCTTCTGCTGCTGACAGTGTCGAACGAATGTGCTGGATGTGGTGGCCGTTGTGTTTGGATAAGGAAAAGCTTATGATTTTTGCTTTAAAACCTGTAAACTGCAATGTGAGAAGAGGTTATGTAAGGGGCCCCCGGGGAGGCATCCGCCTGGAGGAATGCCCAGGGGAGGGGTGAGGAAGCCCCAGCCAGAGGGCAAGCAAAGGAGAGGGTGAGTCCGTGGTCTTGGACCCAGGAGCAGGGTGGGGGAGTGAGGGGGGCAAGGAGTCTGCCCCTCAAGCCCGCGATGTGGCTGGGGATGGGCAGCCCCACGCAGGTCTGCAGGGAGAATTCTCTGAGAATAGCAGTCTTCCTGTTTGCTCAGGACTCAGGGTGTTCATGATTGTGGGCTTAGAGGCTTCAGGGGGAGAGTTTGGGTCTTGTGGCCCCAGGATGCTGCTCTATGGAATGGGGGAGATGACGGGTCACAGCGCAATGTGCCTGACCCCTGACCTCAACCCCACTGACCAGGGACAGACCTCACAGTGGATGCAGTCCCAGGCGACCTCACCATCTCTCTGACCCCCATGAGAACTAGCTTCACCCTCCGCCCGATCCCTACCCAGTAAACCACCATCCACAGCCAGAGGCCGCTCAGACTTAGGGGACTTAAGGGCCTGGGGCAGAACAGGCTCCTCAGGGACAAGTGAGTCACAAGTTTCTGGAGCAGCTCCTGGAGCAGGGGTGCATGAAAAAGGGGCTTCCTGGACGGGGCCCTGTAAGGCCTGGCTCCCGGCTCCCCTCCCCACTGGCTCTGGTCCGACGTGCAAATAGGTGTCTGGGGACGTGGCTGGGAAGTCAGATGACGCGCCCTTGTTTGTGGGCGGGGTTTGCAGCAGCCATTAGCCCTCTGAGAGGGGGATGGGTCATAGTGGGTCCCATAGACGGTCTGAGGGTGGTGACGTGGGAGGATGGGACAATGGACTTGGTGACTCACATTCTAGTTTACCCGTCTGAGGCAGAGGGCTGGGCTCTGACCCTGGTCCTGACTCAGCCCTTGGGGTCAGTTCATGTGCTCCGGCCAAAGCCAGGGCCCACAGCGGCTGCTGCCTGAGGGGACCTCTGTGGCATACGGCTCTGTGCTCACTCCCCTGGCAAAGAGGGTGCACTCCCGATTCTGTGTACGGGAGCCCCTCCCACTCGTAGTCTTGCCAGCCCCTTGCTTCTGGCTACCCCCACCCAGGGGAGGAGGAAACACGTGGCCTGGCCGGCCTCCCCTCACGCGTTGGGTCTCCCCCAAAGGCCGTCCATTCTCACAGGGTCCAGAGCTGTGAGCGTGAGCGGCTGGAGGCAACCCTGCACAGGAGCAGGTGGCAGAGTGGGCTTGGCAGTGACCCTTCCTCTGATGGGGCTCTTCCAGCAGGGGTGCCACCTGCCTCCAGACTTCACGGTGGTTTCTCTGTTCCTACACCTCTGACCTGCTCTCATGGGGCTCCAGGTCCCACCAGTCACAGGGGGCCTCCCTCCTTCCCCAGGGCACCTGGGTGGCTAACCTCGAAAATCCGCATCACGGGCTTTGTCTGAGCTGGGTGGCAGCCAAGGGCTCCGGGCCTCTGGCTTCAGCTCACATTTCCTGCCTGGATCCCGGAGCTGGGACCCAACTGGAGTGGCGTGTCCCTGGGCCCTCGCACCTGCAAGGGATCAGAGTGGGGGTGACGCCTGAGGTGTGGGCGGCTGGGTGGAAAGAGGACCTTCCCTTTAAAGGAAGAGCAAGGCAGCCCCCGGACCTTCATGGAGAGAGGAATGTGGGGGCACAGGAGTGTCCAGGTGGAGAGCTGCACCATGACCTCGGGGTATAGATGGAGGAAAGCAGGGACGATGGGCCTCCCACCATAGTCAGATGCTCTGGGTGAGGGAGGTGGGGCTGTGCACCCACCAAGGGTCTTTGAGGCCAGGAAGGCCAGGCCTGAGCATCTCCTGGAGCCTGTGTCCACATGGCCCTCTGGACCCCCCCTGTGGTGGGTGACACAGCTGTCCTCCATCCAGACCCCTCCTCTGTATGACACCCAGGCCTAGATGCATCGAAGGTGAATGGCTGTCTCTGCCCTACATGCAGGGTTGATGCCCTCCCCGCAGGGCATTGGACTTGGCACAGGGAGACATCAGCCTCACAGGCACCTCTGTGCGGGCTACGCAGAAAGCTTTTCCTTCCATTCTAACACCAAGCCCACCAACCTCTGCAAGGGTGTCAGGGATCTCAGGCCACCCAAGGGCCCTCTCTTGTCTCCTCCTCTCCCCATCCACCACCCCCTCCCCTAGACTTGGAGGGTCAGAGGAGGGGCATTGAGAGCCAACGAGACCTCCCAGTTTGGGGTGAGGGGAGGAAGTGAGGTTCAGGAGATCAAAGGTGGGTCTTGATGGGGATAGAAGGACAGGCAGGGGATGACATGGCTCCTGGTCCTCCATTCCTTGCCTCCTCCAGCCTCAACTCTGGGGTGTGGGTGAGAAGGGCGGTTCAGGTGAAGGACCCAGCTTGCTGGTACTTCAGAGTCAGTGAGCCAGGCCTCCTGGGTGCACAGTCTCCCTCAGTCGGACTGGCCAGGAGAGACGTGTGTTCTCATTGGTACAAACCAGGCTGCACATGGCTGCTCCCCAGCCCTGGTCTCCATGGGGCACCCTTTGCTCAGGACAATGGAGGGCCAAGTCCCTGCAGCCTGCCCCGGGCACCAGCTCCCCTCCCTGCCTTCTTGGTTTGAAGTCAGTTCCTGGAGCCCTAGCCGTCCCCATCACTCTTCACCGGCTCCCCTTCCCCCGCTGACCTTGTGGTCAGTCCTCGGTCCTCATCCACCTGACAGCTGACCCCCAACGCTCCCCTGTCAGCGTCCTTAGCTGCTGCCTCCTCCTCTCCAGCCTCCAAACCTCCAACAGCTGAGGCTGAGCCCCTAACCCCTGCTCTCCCCTCTGGCTGCTCCCATGGGCCCTCCTGGGGTCCCTTGGCTTTGGACACCAGGTGCTGAGGCTGCGGCCTCCATCCAGGCCTTGCCCTTGACCCGGCATGCAGCTGCGGTCTTCCTCCACAGGCTCCACGCCCTGGGCCAGCCCATCACCAACTGTGCCAACACCTCCGGACCTGTACCACCTGAGGGCTTGTGGTTCCGGTTCCCCTGTTCCCTCGGGATGGGGCCCTGGGGCGCTTCTCATAGGTGTTCACACAGCTGCCCTTTCTCTGGGGTTCCCTCACCAAGTGTCCTGAGACTTTGACCCAGTGAGGTGTGGTCACTGTCTACACCAAGGTGTTGGGTTAGGGTTGGGATTATAAAAACACATGTGTCACAAAAGCAATAAAGTCTGAGGCCCCAGCAGGTGGAGATGGGGCCTCGGCATGTGGGTCCCGAGATATCCCCACCTGTGGCATTTGTGGGCCCCTCACCCCGCCACGCCCAGAACTCCTTCCCAGCTGTAAACGGGTGAACAGTTGGCTGTCCTGGGTCTGTTTATCTGTTAGAATGACTGTCCTTTTCACCAGGCCAGTGCCCCGAGTGTGCCCCAATGAATCAGAGGAATGGCATTTCGAAGCATAATCCCGCATTTTCCCTCACTCGATTTGCCCCCCACCCCCCACCGCACCCCGCGGCTCCCTGAGGAGCGAGGCTGATGCCTGCATCGGCCCAGGGAGCGCTGCCCTGAGAAAGCAGCGGAAGCCCTGTGCCCTGGACCCTGGGGCTCTGCCTCGGGGAGGAGACGGGAGAGGTGGGCACCGTGGTGGGGCCTGGAGGAGGGAGCACCACTCAGACTGCCCTGGGCCTGGCCCCTCCTGCCCCTCAGTGGGCCCTGCCCCGTCTCTCACCTCACCCACAGCTTCTTACAGAGGACGTGCCCCCACCCCCCACCCCCCAGGCGCCCTGTGGGATTGCTGACTCTGGCTTCCCGTTTTTCCTGGGACCTCGGGCTTGGCCGTGTGGCTTCGCTGGCCTGCGGGATGTGAGGACCTCCCGCTATCCTCTATGTGAAGAGCGTGTCCTGGCGGCTGCTCCAGCGCAGGGCAAACCCACCGGAAACCGAACCTCGGGCAGGCCGTGAGCTTGAGGAGCCACGCCTGCCGCTGGGCCTCCGAGGTTCTGGGTGGTTTGTCTCCAGGCGTGAGTGTGGGGCTCGCTGGCTAATGCACCGGGATCCTAACCTGCTTGCCAGGCGCAATCTCCTCTGGTTTGTGCTGCTCGGATTCCTGGCCAGGTGGGTGCGGTCCGCGCACCGCCTGTCTTTCCTTGGCGGCGGCGTAACACTGTTTCTCTTTGCAACTCCCACCCCCGTTTTAGAAGTGAGGCCCGGGGTGCTTAGCTCCAGCTCCTCTGCTCCAGCTTCTCCTCATGCTCTTTCCCCTGAGGGCTGTCCTGGGGTGCAGACCCCGCGCCCTCTGAGCCACAGCCGCGAGCTCTGTGTGTGCAGATGCCAGGGTGGGGAAGGAGGCCCCACCGCGGTGGCCCCGCCCACCAGCTGTGCAGTGCCGCCTCCCCCAGAGCCTGGCCTCCTCCTCATGGCTGTCTGTCTGTCCAAGCCCCTCAGTGCCACGGGCTTTCTTCTTTTTCTTTTTTCCTTTTTCTTTTAATTTCTTTATTGATTAAGGTATCACAGATTTGACCTCAAACCCCCATTCCAATCCCCCCCCCCCCCACCCCCCTATTGTCCTTGACCACTGGTTAGGCTCATCTGTGTGCACATAAGTCCTTTGGTTGATCTCTCCCTTTTATCCCCACCCTCCCTCTGAGGTCCAAGAGTCTGACCCATGGCTCCTTATCTCTGGGTCTGTTCTTTTTTTTCTTTTTTAATATATATATAAAATTTATATATATAATATATATTATATTTAATATAATATAAAATTTAATATATATATTAAATTTACATATATATAAAATTGATTTTTTTACAGAGAGGAAGAGAGAGGGATAGAGAGCTAGAAACATCAATGAGAGAGAATCATCAATCAGCTGCCTCCTGCACACCCCCCACTGGGGATGTGCCCGCAACCAAGGTACATGCCCCTGACTGGAATCGAACACGGGACCTTCCAGTCCGCAGGCCGACGCTCTATCCACTGAGCCAAACCAGTTCTTGTTCATCAGTCTATGTTGTTTACCGGGTTTTTTTTTTTTTTTTTTTTAATGGACTTTTGCACGGGGTCAGGTGCTATAAACATTTCCCCAGTCTGTTGTCTGTTGTTTGTCTTTTGAATGAGATTCATTTATTTCCTGAAGAAAGAAAGGAGCTTTTATGCGGTAAAATTTACGAGTACTTTTTGTTGTGTTCCTAAGATGGTATCGTCATTGAAAAGTTTTTTCAGCCCAAGATATAAGAAATAGTAAATGTCCTCCTGGCATAAAGCACACTTTTCAGAAGAAAAGGAGAGGGAGAACAGCTCTTGAACTTGGTCACATAGTTCCCTTTTTCCTCCTCAGTGATGTTGACTGTCTTTGCTTCACACTCAAGTATTTGCATCTCCTGAGTTCTGGATCCAGAGGCCCTGGAGGCTGCCCAAAGCTCCCTCCAAGCCCACCCCTGGAGGAGAGTCTGAGAAAGATAACAGCTCACATCTGAGCCCAGGGAAGGGCTGGCTCTTCCTTTGGCCCAGAAATAACCCCTCCCATTGGGGTGAGGGTGGAGGGTGTGGCCTCATACCTGAGCTGGCAGGTGAGCTTCTCTGGGAATCAAATTCATACTCTGTAAGGGGCCACATGCAGCCTGGGGCCTGGGGCAGGCGCCGGCAGAGAGCCTGAACCCACCTGCCCTGCTGTGCCAGCTCCCAGGACCCGCCAGCATGCTGCTGACCCTGCGGGGCAGCATGCAGAGGTAAGGTGGGGAGTGGGGGGCGCGGGCTGACAACTGGGCCCTCCAGGGGAGACAAAGCACTTCTTTAATCCTCGGATAGTCTGAGAACCTGGCAGAAAGGAATCATTCTGTGTTTGACTTAAAAAGGAAGTCGCGCAGTTGGGGGCTCTAACACTCCCCTGAACCCACCCCCAGGCTTGGGCCTCTGGGGGACAAGAGCCCAGGACTGAGGAGGAGATGAGGATATGGGGTTTGGGGTGAAGGCCTGGGTGGGGGACTGCGAGGAGCCCAGACCTCCTGGCCCAAGTCTAGGCGTCACCTTCCTGTGGCTGGGCCCTGTATTTGTGGTGACCTTCCATCCCCCTTCATGGCATTGGCAGTTACCTGCATTTGCATTCGGGGACGCTTGCTGGAGGCCTGCATGTGCGGAGGGAGTCCCTGCCAGCTTTGGGTGACATGTGGCTGTTCCCCTCTATAAGCAGAGGAGGCAGATTCTTGGACGCACTGAAGTTGGAGAGAGGTGGGCGACATGTGGCTGTTCCCCTTTATAAGCAGAGGAAGCAGACTCTCGGACGTCCTGAAGTTGGAGAGAGGCGGGCCTGGTCTGCAGATGCTTTGCATTTTACTTCTCTGCTTCATCCCACAAGCCTTTGGGGGATTCCAGCACCCCTGATGCCCTCCCCTCCACCTGTGCCCAGCCCTCGCTGTGGGCCCTGGGGGCTGGCAGAGATGGGGGAAGGTCCCAGTTGTCACCATTCTGTGAGGAGGAGGGGGATATGAAGGCTGGGGGTAGGGTCACTCTAGCTGGGGCCACGCTGGGTTTCTCTGGCTGCCCAGCGTCCCGTGCACAGGGCGGGCGAGGCAGCGTGGGAGCCCCAGGGCCTGGGCTGTCTGGTTGCTCTGAGCGTCCCAGGCTCACGGGTTCAGCTCAAAGCGCTTGGAGGAAGGGGCTCCAGAGTCCCCGTCCCCACAGGGACTGCTTAGTTCCCTTGAATTGTGCGAACGTTTGCAGGCTTCTCTCGCTTGGCCCAGCAAACGGTGTGCTTGTTTGTTGAAGGACAGAGAGAGGCCACCCGTGGGCAGGGACCCCGGGGCCCGGGGCAGTCCGAGGAGCTGTGAGCAGAGCAGAGACTTTCTGGCCAGATGGGGTGTGGCGTCTCAGAGAGCCAGTCCCCTTGCCTGTGATGGACTTTGGCACAAACCCTCCTCGGTGACTTCAAGGTCAGAATGGCACAGCATCACTTCCGGCACATTCTACTGGTCAAAGCGACATCCTTTCATTCCCAATTCAGTGGCAGTGAAACGGGAGGCATCTTGAGGGGAGGGAGCAGGTGGGTGGGTGTGGCGGGACAGCATCTGTGGCCATATTTCTCCTCTGGCACTTCCTGCAGGTGGTGACAACGTGGCCTCCTTTCCTTCTTCTGGACCAAGTCCCGGGTGCAGGGTGACCCACACTCCTCCCCTCTGTGATTTGGGGGGTGTTCAGTTTGTAATGCCTGGCACCCCATCACTTTCTTTTAAAAATAATTTTTACTTGATTTTAGAGAGGAAGGGAGTGGGGGAGAGAAATAGAAATATCAGTGATGAGAGAGAATCATTGATTGGCTGCCTTCTTCATGCCCCTGCAACCTGGGCGTGTGTCCTGACTGGGCATTCACTGTGGCCTCCTGGTTCATAGGTCGACGCTCAACCACTGAGCCATGCTGGCCGGGGCCTGTTTCTTTTTGATTTGGCCTAGATATGGATGGCTCTGAACTTGCTGGCCCACGGTCTCCACTCTGCATTGACCAGGTCTCGGCCCCTGGCCTCACGGGTCTCTGTGGGGTCCTGGAGGCCAGCTCCTCAGTGCCTTCTCTCAGCCCACTGAGTGGGGAAGGGGTCTAGGCCTCCTGTTCCCTGAGGAGCAGCCTTTGCTGACAAGTGCTTGTGTATGAGTGTGTTGTGTATGTGAGTATGTGTATGTGTGTATGTACGAGCGCGTGCATGTATGTGTGTAAGTGTGTGCATATGTGTGAGTATGCACATGTATGTGTGTGCACATATGTGAGTGTGTGAGCGTGTGTGTGAGTGAGTGTGAATGTATGTGTGTATACATGTGTGTGAGTGTGTGTATATGTGTGAGTGTATGTGTATGTGTGTGCTTGTATGCATATGTGAGTGTGTGTGTATGAGCGTGTGTGCACATGTGTGAGTTGTGTATGTGTGTGTGAGTCTATGTGTGAGTGGGTATGTGCACGCATGTATGTATTCATGTGTGTGCACGTGTGTGAGCGTGTGTGAGTGTATGCATGTATGTGTGTGAATGTATGTGTGTATACATGTGAGTGTGTGTGTGTGTGTGTGTGTGTGTGTGTGTGTGTGAGTGTGTGTGTGTAGGGACACCCTGAGAAACTGTTCAGCCTCATCCTAGCCCTTGCTAATTAAATGCTCTCTCTGCACTCACACCCTTCCAGCTGAAGTGCCGTTGGGTTCCATGAGGACCAGGTGAAGGGACAATAGTTGGGTGGATGAGCAGTGACTGCTGCTAGGGGATAGCTTTATCTGATGGTTTTGGATCCTGCACGTGAGCTCTGTCTAGGTGCGGCCCTGCATTCGCTGAGGAAGAACTTGTTCTAAGAAAGTCCAGAGTCCGAGGCCAGAGGAAGAGCTTCTAGGCCATGTGTGTGGGGGGATGGCAGCGTCCCTTTCCAGTCCATTCTGCTTCCCTCCGGCTCGGGGGCCCCGACAAGAAAGAGAGGGTGGCGCAGGTGAACGGGTGTGTGATTCTTCTACTATAGTGCTGGATTTTGGGGCTGATTTGTAAGATCACCTCCCAAAAAATTAGAGATTAGGCTGGGTATTGTTTTTCTAGATTCCAGCTAAACTTGGCTGACCGCTGAATGATGGTCAAACATTTGGTTCCATTTCCTTTTATAACCCCCCCCCCCCCCCCGCCCCAGAGGGCGAATGTTTGTCCATTTCTCATGAGTTGGTCAATGGGCCATTGTGAATCTTGCTCATATGCTGGCTGTCTTGACTGTTTATTGCTCACAGTTTTATATCTTTTATTGGTTGTTATCAGATGCCAGGAATTCCGCCTGAGTAACCTGGGAATGGCCTCACCTGGGGCACACACTGGTCAGTCCTCGGCTCACAGGGGCCTGGGCTTGGGCCTGGTCGCCTTACGCTCTCCCCACTGGCCCCCAGTGGAACTGGACCAATGCCACATCCCCTTCTCAGTTCCAAATGCAGGGGGTTTGAGGCTCCTGAGCAACGCGGGCCACCCCCAGAGGGAAGGGGTGCCACAGAGAAGTGTTTGTTTGAGAGGTGAAGTTCTTAGGGATTGAGGTGGCTCCTTCCAGCTAAAGGCGCTTGGAAGCATGATTGCATGGTTTATACTTTTCAACTATTTTTCATAACCTTCCTCACAATTATTGGCTTTTTTTTTTTTTTTTTCCCAGCTGGAGTCATTTAAACAGTGTTAAAATTTTACTTTTTCAAACAGCTTTATTGAGCTGAGACCGGTTTGGCTCAATGGTTAGAGCATCGGCTTGGAGACTGAAGGGTCCCAGGTTCGATTCTAGTCAGGGGCATGTACCTTGGTTGCGGGCATATCCCAGTAGGGGGTGTGCAAGAGGCAGCTGATGGATGACTCTCTCATCGATGCTTCTAACTCTCTATCTCTCTCCCTTCCTCTCTGTACAAAATCAATAAAATATATTTAAAACAAACAAACAAACAAAAAACCAGCTTTACTGACATGTAATTCACATACCAAGCCATTCATCCATTTAGCCTCGTGCCATCACTGGGCTCTCGTTAGAGACCAACCATCTGTGCATCTATAAGGAGTCGCTAAACCGCAGTATTTGGGGGAGGGAGTTTTATGGTGGAACAAAAAGTCGACTGGAGAGAACCGTAAGGGAGACCAGCCTGGCAGGCGCCCCAGCAGGGGTTAGACCCGCAGGTGGCAGGGGACAGCACATCGCTTCCCTGGGAGGGCCTCATGAGTTCAGTGGGAATGACTGGAGCACAGGGACCCTGTGGCTCTGGGACCACAGTATGGCCTTCTAGAAGGGCGACCCTTTGGGGTTTGGAAACTTGTCCCTTCTCACTTCCCATAGTGCAGACTATGGTTCCCCCAGATCCGTGTACCTCACTGGGGCCCTGCTTCTCCTAAGCCCCCCAGCTGCTTCTCCTGGTCACTCCCCTTTCTGCGTCTCAAGGGGTTCCTGTGCTGCTGCCCACAGGCCACTGCTGACTTGGGCACCCTTCCCTATTGGGCCCCACTCACTGCTGTTCTATCACTTATTTTAAAAAATTAAAAAAAATATATATATATATTGATTTCAGAGAGGGAAAGATAGAAACATCAATAATGAGAATCATTGATTGGCTGCCTCCTACACGCCCCCTACTGGGGATCGAGCCCTCAACCTGGGCATGGCCCTTGACCGGAATCAAACCCAGGACCCTTCAGTCTGCAGGCCAATGCCCTCTATCCATTGAGCCAAACCAGCTAAGGATATCACTTTCCCCCCTCACATTTATTTATTTAGTTATTTATTTTGCATTTAACCATGCAATATGCAAACTAAATCTATTATCAGGTTGTAGATACAAGATAATTAACCATTTATATACAACAAATATTAATATTTCAAGAAATATGATTTTAAATATAATAATATTATATCACTTATTTAAAAAATATTTTTATTGATTTCAGACAGGAAGGGCAGAGAGATAGAAACATCAGTGATTAGAGAGAATCATTGATTGGCTGCCTCCTGCACACCCACATTGAGGATTGAGCCCACAACCCAAGCATGTGTCCTGACTGGGAATCCAACTGTGACCTCCTGGTTCATAGGTCGATGCTCAACCACTGAGCCATGCCAGCGGGCTGTTCTATCACTTATTAAGGATAAGCTACTCCCACCTGTCATAAGGACTGGGGGAGCATCAGGGAGAGAATGACTTGGAGAACAAGGCAGAAGTGAGGGAGAGAAAAGCTTACCTAGCGTCCGTGTGTGTACATTGTGTGCAATGTGTGTGCAGCATGTGCAGTGTTGATAGTGTCCACACTGTGTGCACTGTATGTGCAGTGTGCTCAGTGTGTGCACTGTATGTGCTTTGTCTGTGCAGTGCCCACACTGTGTGCAGGGTGTGCAGTGTGCTCAGTGTGTGCACTGTATGTGCTTTGTCTGTGCAGTGCCTACACTGTGTGCAGGGTGTGCAGTGTGCTCAGTGCATGCAGAGTGTTAAGTGTCTGCAGCGAGCACAGTTCCCTTCCCGGGCAAACCCTCAGGGTCTCTGGCATCCACCTGAGCTTGTCCCTCCCCACGTGGTGCCGCTGGGTCCTGACCTGGCTCTTTCCACTGGACATGCTCTGCTGGGTGGCCTTGGCTCTTCCGGCGCTCCGGGAGCTCCCCACCGGCCGGTGTGGAAAGGCAAGGTGCTGGCGGGTGGGCGGGACGGTGTGGCTGCTGATGAATGTGTCTCTGGGCACAAGCCTCTTCCCCAGCGAGTGGCCTCAGGCGAGACATGTGATCTTCCTGAGCCCGTGGGTACCAGCGACCCCCTGGGACTCCGTGGGGTAGAGCAGGTCAGGTGTCAAGGGGACTCGGCGACTCCAGGACAAATCCTTGCACGTGTCCTCTCTGGACAAAGGCTCTGTGCGCTTTAACTCAGAGGTCCTGAGAGGTGGTGTTCATCACAATGGGGCGCCCCGTCCTAGCCCGTCTCTCCCCTGATCTGGTCACAGTGTCTCCCTCGGGTGTTCCGGCCCGGGGACTATTGCCTGAACCCCACCTGCTGAGTTCCTGGAACCCAGGCGGGCCCTCTAAGTGTCCTCTTTTGTGGGGCTTCTCCCTTTCTGTGTGTGTGTGTGGGGGGGGGGCGGAATGCCAGGATGTACTACCTCTCGGCCCCCACTCAGGATGTGCCCCTGAGGGGTGAGTTCAGGGGTCTCAGTCAGGCCCGTCTCCAGGGACCCCTGACCTGCTCTCACCTCCACCTGTCAGACTCCTGCCCACTTCCCGGAGAATGGATCTGCCTCTTGGCTTTGGGCAGTGGGGAGTGTGGCAGGGGGCCAAAGGGGAGTGGAGTCTGATGATCCATCCACCCGGGGCCCGGCAGGCCGGCACACAGTACAGGAGCCCAGCCTGTGGTACATAGGGGGCACAGGGTATAGCCACTGAGGGCTCAACAGGAGCTGTTACATGGGTGATGTTGAGCTGAGGTGGGTGGGGTGGGTGGCACCGGTCCCTCCTGTACCCCTGACTGTGGCTCCCCTGTCCACAGGTGCTTCTGGACCCTCCTCCTCCTGACCCTGCTCCTGCTGGTTGGCCGCCTGCATGTGGACATGGAAATGCTCATACCGTGAGTGCTGCTCCCTCCCGGACCAGTTCAGGGCCCCGGCCTGCCTTTCTCCAAACACTGGCCAGTGACCGGGCAGGTTACACCTCCTAGATGGCCTGACCCATTAACTTTTGGGACCCATTAGCTTCTTCTTCTTCTTTTTTTTAAATTTTTATTTTATATATCCTTGGGTAAGGACTTTTTTCTTTTTCTTTTAAAATATATTTTATTGATTTTTTACAGAGAGGAAGGGAGAGAGGGAGAGAGAGCTAGAAACATCGACCAGCTGCCTCCTGCACACCCCCTACCGGGGATGTGCCCACAACCCATGTACATGCCCTGACCGGAATCGAACCCGGGACCTTTTAGTCCGCAGGCCGACGCTCTATCCACTGAGCCAAACCGGTTTTGGCCCCATTAGCTTTTTTTTTCTTTTTTTTTTTTTTTCTCTTTAATAAGTTTTTATTGTTCATATTATTACAAATGTTCCTTTTTCCCCCGCCACCATTGCTCTCCTCCACCAGGTTCCCACCCCACCCTCTGCCCTTTCCCCACTCCCCATTGTCCTCATCCATAGGTGCACAGTTTATGTTCAGTTTCTTCCCACGCCCCCCTCTCCCCTTTTCCCCAAGAATCGTCAGTTCACTCCCCTTCCATACCTCTGATTCTATTATATTCAACAGTTAATATTGTTCATCAGATTTTTTTTTAATTTTCTTGGTTTTAGATTCACTTGTTGATAGTTACATATTTGTTGTTCATAACTTTTATCTTTGTTTACTTTCTCTTCTGAAAGAACCCCCTTCAGCAATTCATATAATTCTGGTTTGGTGGTGGTGAACTCCTTTAGCTTTTTTTTTTTTTTATTAGTGAAGTTCTTTATCTGGCCTTCGATTCTGAGTGATAGCTTTGCTGGATAGATTATCTTTGGCTGTAGGTTCTTACTATTCATCACCTTGAATATTTCTTGCCATTCCCTTCTGGCCTGCATGGTTTCTGTTGAGAAGTCAGCTGACAATCGTATAGGTGCTCCTTTATTGGTAACTACCTTCTTTGCTCTTGCTTTTTTTAATATTCTCTCTTTGTCTTTTGCTCTTGGAATTTTAATTATGATTTGTCTTGGTGTGGTCCTCTTTGGATTCCTTTTGTTTGGAGTTCTGTGCACTTCCTGGACTTGTAAGTCTAATTCTTTCACCAGGTGGGGGAAGTTTTCTGTCACTATTTCTTTCAGTATGTTTTTGATATCTTGCTCTCTCTCATCTTCTGGGACCCCCATAATTCTGATGTTGGTTCGCTTGAAGTTGTCCCAGAGGTTTCTTACATTATCTTCAATTTTCTGGATTCTCTTGCCTTCTAGCTTCTGTGGAGGAGTGTCTTCTGGCTCTTTATGTTCCAACTCTTTGACTTGATTCTTGCGATCTTCCATTCTGTTTTTAGGACTCTTGGGCTTTTCCAGCTCCTCCGCGCTTCCTTCTGGTTTTCTCCTTGCTTCTCGTTGTAGAATTTCCAGTCAGTCAACTTTCCTGTAGTTCTGGGTAATGTCCGTTTTATATTTTAGTTGTATTTTATTGAAATTGTTGTGTGTGGCTGCGTCTAGGTGTTTACCTGGGCGCAGCCATCTTGGATCCTCGGAACTCTGTCACTTTTTATCCCCATTAGCTTCTTGAGGCCCTCCCAATGAGTCCTCTGGGTAGTGAGAACTCTGGGAGGGTGGGGCCTGGGCTGGGGATGTCTTGGGGAGAGCTGCTGTGTGCAAAGGGTGACCAGATGCTGGGAGGCGGGGCTTGGGCCTAGGTTTGGGGAGATCAGGACCCCTGCTCCCTGCCTGTCAGTGGGATGTCCTCTGTGAAGCCCAGGGCCCCCAGGGATGGCCACACAGGCCCAGCACTTTAGACTGACTGCTGGGAGTGTTTTGTGGCCCCAGGTCACTCCCCCTGTCCCTGCCACCAACTTTGGTTGGATCTCCTTGGAAAAAGGGGAAATGCCAGAGTTCCTGGGTCTCTTTGTTACCCCCACCTCCTCACTGTCCCCAGGGCCAGTGCAGGCCTCCTGACCCTGCCTCCTTCCCCCTCTTACTGGCCCTGCTTATGGCCTTGCTGCTCCAGCCTGGAGTCCATCACCGCTGGGGACATCGGCCTCCACTCTTTTTTTTTTTTTTTTTAATATATTTTATTTATTTATTTATTTATTTATTTATTTATTTATTTATTTATTTTTACAGAGAGGAAGGGAGAGAGATAGAGAGCTAGAAACGCCGATGAGAGAGAAACATCGACCAGCTGCCTCCTGACACCCCCTACCGGGGATGTGCCCACAACTAATGTACATGCCCCTGACCGGAATTGAACCTGGGACCCTTCAGTCCGCAGACAGATGCTCTACCACTGAGCCAAACCAGTTTCTGCCAGCTCCACTCTTGCCCTGTGGTCAGATTGGTCCATCCTGATATGAAGAGTCAGCCAAGAATCCAGACACGTGGCCCAGGCCACAGGGCCAGCATCATGTCAGGTGCCCCAGAGGGGAGCCAGCGTCTAGGGGTCCAGCCTGCAGTGCATGAGGGTCAGACGATGCAGCCACCTAGGGAGAATCATGTTTGTGCCAGTGGGACCTTGGGGGCTTCAGGGTTGGGGGGTCTCTCGATTAGAGGGACCACAGTGATGCAGCTGGGAGGTGTGCTGGGTTGGGGCCTCTCCCAGTGGGGACTTCCAGTTGGGGTGCATGGGGGTGGGGGAGCAGCGTCCCTCACTGATGGCAGCACGCTGTCCTCCCAGCCTGTTCGGCGGCCAGACGGAGGAGCTGCCCGTCACCAACATCATGTTTCTCAAGACGCACAAGACGGCCAGCAGCACGGTGCTCAACATCCTCTACCGGTTCGCCGAGGCGCACAACCTGTCGGTGGCGCTGCCGGCCGGCTCCCTCTTCCACCTGGGCTACCCCTGGCTCTTCGTGACGCGCTACGTGGAGGGCGTGAGGCAGGGCAGCCCCAAGCGGCACTTCAACATCATGTGCAACCACCTGAGGTTTAACCTGCCCGAGGTGGGGCTGGGGGTGCCCCCTGCAGGTGGGAGACGGGGCGGGACGGAGGGGCAGGCCTTGAAGGCACTTTGTGGTTTTGAGGCTGACCGAACGGGAGGGCGTCAGGCCTGGCCACGGGAGAGGCTGCGGGGTGTGTGCAGGGCCCTGGCTGGAGGGGGCTCCAACCCCCACTTCTCTTGGCCTGCGATCGCTCTGGGAATCAGACAGGGGTGCCCTCCTTCTCCAGATTCCTCTTGTTCCCAAACCGCAGTCTTCCTACCCCAGGACCTTTGCATGTGCCGCCCCCCTCTTGTGGGCCATTTGGGCCTGATTCTTAGAGATCATCTCCTCCTGGGAGCTTCCCTGACTTCCCTCCCAGGAGACAAAGAGGGGAGTGGAGGGAGTTTGGAGGAAGGGCAGGGCCAAGCTCCAGTGTTTTAGGATCATTCTGGACACTCGTGCAAAGTGGCAGTCAAGGGAGCAAGGTGGCGAGGACAGGATGCAGGGAAGCCGGTGGGAGATGCGGTGGGCAGGATCAGGTGTGCAGTGGGGGTGGGGGTGAGCAGTGGGAGTGGGGGTGGGGAGTGGGGGTGAGGGTGGGCGGTGGGGGTGAGAGTGGGCAGTGGGGTGGGGGTGGGCAGTGGGGGTGAAGGTGGGGAGTTGGGGGTGGGGGTGGGGGTGTGCAGTAGGGGTGAGGGTGGGGAATTGAGGGTGGGGGTGGGCAGTGGGGGTGGGGAGTGGGGGTGTGCAGTGGGGGTGAGGGTGGGGTGAGGGTGGGGGGTGTGGGCAGTGGGGGTGAGAGTGGGGAGTTGGGGGTGGGCAGTGGGGGTGGGGGCGGAGAGTGGAGGGGGGAGGGTGGGGAGTGGGGGTGGGGGCGGAGAGTGGAGGGGGGAGGGGGGGGAGTGGGGGTGGGGGTGGGCAGGGGGGGTGAGGGTGGGGAGTGGGGGTGGGGGTGGGCAGGGGGGGTGAGGGTGGGGAGTGGGGGTGAGGGTGGGCAGTGGGGGTGGGGGCGGAGAGTGGAGGGGGGAGGGGGGGAGTGGGGGTGGGGGTGGGCAGGGGGGGTGAGGATGGGGAGCGGGGGTGGGGGTGGGCAGTGGGGGTGGGGGCGGAGAGTGGAGGGGGGAGGGTGGAGAGTGGGGGTGGGGGTGGGAAGTGGAGGTGAGGGTGGGGAGTGGGAGTAGGGGTGGAGGGGGGAGGACACCTGCCCCCAGAGCTTCTGGGAGAAGCCGGAGCGTCACCACAGCCCTCGTTCTGTCTCCGCACAGGTGCAGAAGGTGATGCCCAACGACACCCTGTACTTTTCCATCCTCAGAAACCCCGTCTTCCAGCTGGAGTCCTCCTTCACCTACTACAGGCAATACGCGCCCGCCTTCCGGGCCGCCCCGAGCCTGGACGCCTTCCTGGCGGCCCCGCACGCCTACTACAACGAGACCCTGGACCTGCGCAACGCCTGCGCCCGCAACCACATGTGGTTCGACCTGGGCTTCGACCCCAACGCGCCGGCCGAGGAGGGCTACGTGCGCGCGCGCCTGGCCGAGGCGGAGCGGCGCTTCCCGCTGGTGCTCATCGCCGAGCACTTCGACGAGTCCATGGTGCTGCTGCGGCGCCGGCTGCGCTGGCGGCTGGACGACGTGGTCTCCTTCAAGGTCAACTCGCGCAGCCCGGGCACCGTCACCCGCCTGACGCCCGAGGGCCAGGAGCGCGCCAAGCGCTGGTGCGCCCTGGACTGGCGCCTCTACCGCCACTTCAACCGCACCTTCTGGGCCGCGCTGCGCGCCGAGCTGGGCCCGCGGCGGCTGCGCGCCGAGGTGGAGGGGCTGCGGGCGCGGCGGCGGGAGCTGGCCGCCCTGTGCCTGCAGGACAGCGCGCCCAAGAACAGGACGCAGATCACCGACCTGCGGCTGCAGCCCTTCCAGTCCGGGCAGGCCGACATCCTGGGCTACAACCTCAGGCCGGGCTTGGACAACGAGACGCTGCGCATGTGCCAGAGGATGGTCATGCCCGAGCTCCAGTACATGGCGCACTTGTACGCCCTGCAGTTCCCCCAAAAGCCGCCCAAGGTCATCCCCTTCCTGAAGCAGAGCACTTCCGGGTGATGCCCGTCCCTGCGCTGTGGTGTGGGGAGCCCTGGGCCGGCCTCAGGCTCGTGGCTGGGCCCCTGGGATGACAGCCCCCGCCCGCCCTCGGGTCCAGGGAGGAGGGTCTGCAGGAGGAGCTCCTGTGGGGACGCAGAAGAGAGCCTGTGTGTGGTTCGTGGGGAGGGACTGAGGGCGCCCTGCCTGGCAGGACAGGATTCCTGGGTGCTCGGGGGTCAGTGTCATATGCCCTGTGCTCATCAAAACACCCCGTGCCTGCGCTGGAGGAATAGCTCCTCTCACAGCTCTGCCTGGGGGCTCAGCCTGGCCTGCCTGCCCGCTGCTGGGGGCCCCTTCCTTCCCCTCAGGGCCTCCAGCTCAGAGGACCTGCAATGATGGGTACTCCTGTGTGTCCACACTTTTCAGGTGAATCAGCCCTCCCCCCCCAAAAAAAAAAAAAAAAGAGAGAGAGAGAGATCAGAATAGGAGGCAGCAGCTCTGGAACACTGGGAACAGAGGACATGGCCAGTGCCCCCCCCCCCCCCAAAAAAAAAAAGAGAGAGAGAGAGAGAGAGAGATATCAGAATAGGAGGCAGCAGCTCTGGAACACTGGGAACAGAGGACATGGCCAGTGCCTTCTTGCCAGGAACCGAAACCTAACGGTGTCACTAGTAATAAAATGTAAAAAGAGCTAGCCAACCTTGATGGCTCTGAATGGTCAGAGCTATGAACTCATTGTCTAGTTGAGATAGTGGTGGTTGAGGCAACTTTAATTTGTTAATCCTATGTAAATGTAAATTCTTGTTGATTTTCTGTTGTTGGAACTTCTCATCTAAGAGATGTCTTTGTCTCAGAATCTCAATAAAAGGAATGGTAAAAGGCCAGAGCGGGGTTAGTCTTCCCACTAGCGGTGGACTTCCCGCCTGGCCCCCATTCTCCCAAATTGACTCTTTTCCAGGCTCTTCATTTTAGTGTGCGGCCTTCTCCAGAAACCGGACCCCGCGTGGGCCCTGAACTGCGCGGGTCGCGTTAAGGTATCCCACACCTTCTCCCGGGAGGGGAAAACCTTTTCACAGTGATTTTAACCCACAGAGCAGGGTAAACAAGAGCTTTCTTGGTACCATGGCTCCTGTTAGGACACTCCACACGGCGCTACCACCATGCGACTTCAGCTCTTTCGGAAAACCCAGGTCCGTAAGCCAGGGAAAGTAGAATAGGAACCTAGCAGTTTACAACCAGCTAGTAAATCCAAAATCCTATATTCTATAACCAACGGCAACTAAGAGTAAATGATTTGCACTTCTTCCTAACCAGAGGTATACAGCTTAAATGACTTCCCAGAGAGATAGCAAAAATCCAGGTAGTACAGTTTGTACCATCCACACCGAGGATGATAACGTTAGAGAAAGGAATTTGCCCAGTCTGGTGTGGCTCATATATATAAGGTTCTCCCTCCTCCCAACTGGTGGGCGGAGTTATGACATTACTGGCACCTGTCACAGAGACATCTCCAAGACATTGAGCCATCAATCAGCGCTTGCCAAAGTGTCCTGGAGCCCACCCTTCCCTGTTCTGCCCTGGGCCCAACCCTCTCCTGTTCCTCCCCTTAAAAAGACCCCCAGACCAGCCATGTGCTGCTGATCCTCCATGTCCAGGGGGCAGCCCGGCTGGGTCCATCTCCCCACTCCTCCCCCCCAACTCCTTCAATTCTGATTTCTCTACCTCCATAATGAGTCCCGCTCATTACTGGGAAATAAACTTTACTTTAAAACTCCTTGGTGAGCAGTTTCCTGCGCCTCAAACCTTACACTATAAACCAGGAGATTATGGTTAGATGCCCAGGTTGCAGGCTCAATTCCCAGTGGGGATTGTGCAGGAGGCAGCAGATCAATGATTCTCTCTCATCATTGCTGTTTCTATCTCTTTCTCCCTCTCCCTTCCTCTCTGAGATAAAAAAAATAAAATGAAATAAAAAGAAATAAATCTCATTTTGGTGCATTGCCATAAATCTGATGATGATTCTGTTGAAATCCTCTCCTATGCCTTGGCCGGGTTGTTCATTTCGTTACAGCATCTTCTCAATAGGCCAAAGTTTTGGGTTCAATTCCCAGCCAGGGCACATACAAGAATTAATCAATGAAGGCATGAATAAGTGAAACAACAAATCTAAGTTTCTCTCTCTCTCTCTCTCTCTCTCTCTCTCTCTCTTTCTCTCTCTCTCAAATTAATACAAATTAAAAAACTTCCCCTAAACTCCCAGCCTTTAAAACCCTTAAAACAAAGGACCCAGTGTGAACTTTCCTTCTTGGGAGCATGCCAAGCCTTATCCTTCCTCCTCTTTTCCCCCCACAGGCATGCACCTCCTAAACTCTGAGGGTCCCATGAGACTTGCAACCAGGGGAGCAATGGGCAGTGGCAGCTCATCCAGGGCTTACCCCCAGAACCGCCTCTGAGGCCCCCTTGTCTCTGACTCCAGTGAGCTGACAGCCACCTGGCCTTGCTCACTTATTTCCCCTAAAGTTCCTGGAGAGCCAAAGCAGCTCCGCCTCGTCTCTCCTGCTGCTTCTTCTGCTCCAAGCCCTTCCTTGCTTCACTGTCCCCAGCGTTAATGAATGTCCTCTCAAAATAAAAAATAAAAAGAAGAATGAGTTTTTAGTGAGATTAGAAGACATATTGCAGCAAATTTGAAAAGAAAAGACAATAGTTGGAAACAGAAAAAGTGACTTCCAAAACACTGACTAGAGATGGTGAAGAACTGGACACTACAGAGCCAGAGCTGGGTCCCTCTCCCTAACCCAGAGTCCCCCGGAATGCAGAGAAAGGGAATCAGATGCCGGATGAACAGCAAGGGAATGACAGGCAGCTCAGAAGGACAGTAAGAGCCATGGATAAGAAACTATAGTCAAATGAGAAAGACTGAGAAAGAATCCAGTGCCCTGAGCATCAGGCAGGCTCCTAAAGGAAGCAAGACCTGGGCAGGCTCCCAAAGGAAGCGAGCCTGGGCCCGTGCGGACCCAGGATGCGGAGGAAAGTGCTGCTTCTGAACCCCGAGCAGGCTGTAGGTTGTGTTGTGATGGGGTGGCGAGAGGAACCTCCACCTCTGCCACGTTCCATCCTCAGTGGCACAGAACCTTGACTTCTGAGCCACTATAGACATTCCATAGCATCTGCATATTCAACCCAAAAGGCCGAATATGCTGGCATCCTGTGCAGCTAGTGAGAGCTCGGAGCAAACGCTGCCTCCACCTCCTTTTGGTGTCAGGGGCTGCCTGCTGCAGGGGCATGTGCTTGTCTTAGGGGGTGTGGGGGGTGGCCCTGGGGCTCATGGAAGCAGGCAGAGGTGACAGGCGCTCATCCCAGAAGCCTCACAGAATGGGGCCGTGCCTGTGCTGGAGGTGAGGGGCCCTCTCCTGGCCCACCGCTCCTCTCCACCTGGTGGCCTTGTAAACCCCCCTCTGAGGACCGGAGGGGACACAGCAGGGCTGTCAGCTCCATGTGGACATCATAGGATGTCTTCATTTTCCCAGAGCCCATATCTCCCTTGAACGATCCTTCACATTGGAGGGAGGGGCAGGAAAAGGAGGAGTGGGGCCCAGGATGTCCCTGAGGAGGCCGGCCCCTCAGGGCCCTGACAGCGCTCTCCCTGCGGTCCTGGCCCAGGCTGTGTCACCTGGGCAGCAGTCACCTGGGCAGTGATCGCCCACGCAGTGGCCATCCACAAAGCCACCGTGGAGACAGCAGTGGGGGAGTGGTGAGGGTGAATGGGCCAGCTGGCAGGAGGGAGCCCTGCGAGGCAGCTGGTGCTGGGGAGGCGGTGGGAGGGGTGGGATGCTGGCCCGCCTGGTGGAAGCCAGGCCTCAAGCAATAGACACGGGGCTGGAGCCCAGTGAGGGCCCAAGCGGTTCCATCCTGGAGGCCAAGGGAAGGGCCATGGAGTGTTATGCAGTTTGAGGCACCTCTGCAGGAGACCGAGGGCAACTGTGACCCCCCAACCCCAAGTCCCCAGCACCCCAGGGTGGAGGGGGTCAGCCAGAAGAGAGGAGCCCTGTGTGGCCCCATCCTGACCCTGGCCCCCACCCCGAGTGCCCTTGTGTATCCCTTGATTGCTCTGCTGAACTACAGCCACACTGCTGGCGAGAGAGTCCTGGGTCTTTTTTTTTTTTTTTTTTTTTTTTTTTTAATATATTTTATTGATTTTTTACGAGAGGAAGGGAGAGGGATAGAGAGTTAGAAACATCGATGAGAGAGAATCATCGACCAGCTGCCTCTTGCATGCCCCCCCCACCCCCACCCCGGGGATGTGCCCGCAACCAAGGTACATGCCCTTGACCGGATTCGAACCTGGGACTTTTCAGTCTGCAGGCTGACGCTCTATCCACTGAGCCAAACCGGTTTCGGCAGTCCTGGGTCTTGACGCAGCCCTGGGACCAGGCCAGCTCCCGCCTCCCGCCCACACAGTGGGTCCTTGTCTCCACTCAGCTCGCCGGATCCGAAGGCAGGCAGGCAGGCAGGCAGGCAGGCAGGCCTGTGCCCACATCACAGCCCGCTGTGCGGCTTCCCTGCGGTGCCCGGTGAGTCCCTCCCCTGCTTCCCAGCCTCCCAGGGCCAGGACCCCGCTCCTTCTGTCCTCCTGGCTGCCCCTCTTTGGGCTGAGGGCCCTGGGCACGTGGATCCCCAGCGGGACAGTCTCCTGGCTCCAGGGGCAGGTGTGACTCCGAAGGGCCTGGAGATAGATTCCGGGGATGGGATGGATGCAGACCGGGGGTCCAGTCCGCAGGACCAGGTGAGCCTGTGGGTGTCGCTCCACTTGGCAGAGGGGTGTGGAATAGAGCCATTGTCCGGACGGAGCACGGGGCAGGCCGGTTGGACTGGAACCCCTGCCGGGGGACAGAGCCAGGGCCCCTCTGCCTGATTTCTATGCCAAGAGTCGCGGCTCTTCCTGGGCGGCGCTTCAGCAGGTGCGCGGCCCAGCAGTGACAGGTGCAAAGGGTAATAGAGGTGCTGACTCAGAAGGCGGTGTGGGTTGATGACCTATGCTGGCCCATGCTCCAGAGCGGAGCCCAGGCAGGACAGGCTGCAGACAGGTCTAGGGTGAGCCTCTTTGAGGCAGAATAAGCCCCAACAACTTGCCCGGGATCCAAGGTCAGGGGACCAGGTTCTCTTGGGGGGGTCCCATGGCCTCCCTGGGCCTCAGCTTTCTTTCTGCGATGTGCTGCCCCCAAGAAAGGCCCCCGGTGCGGGTGGACGGGCACCCAGACTTAGGTTCTGGCTCCAGCTGATGTGCAGATGTAGCCATCTAGTCAAGTCAAAGCCCCAGAACCTGCTGAACTGGCCGCGCTGGGAAGGGACAGCTGCCTGGGAGGAGGCCTGGCACTCCCTCCTACAGTGGGGGCCTCCCCAGGACTTGGGGACTCTGGTCGGGGCAAGGATGCTCCACGTGCTGGGCAGCCCTGTCCTGCTCTGGGCAGCAAGCAGACACTCCAGCCGGTCTGGGGAGCCTCCCGCTCGGCCGCTCCATCCCCAGGCCAGGCGTGGGCCTGGCTGCCTGTTGTGCTGATGCCAGCTCGGTGGTCCCAGGCCCTGGGGACGGAGCCAAGTGGAGAGAATGTCCTGCTGTATCCATTCAGCCCGGAGGGACATGTGACACCCACACCTGCTTCCTGCTTTCACGTTCAATACACTGGGCCTCAGTGTACAGACTAGAGTCCCCCCCTTAATCCTCCCCGCCTCCCCACCCCTACCCCTGCCAACCTCCCATCTCCCGGGGCTCCTCTCTGCTGGGAGGGGCAGGAGCAGGAGCAGGACTGTAGGATGGTGGTCTCTCTGGCCTCCTTGGGGTCCCTCTCACTCTCCTCTGGCCTACACCATTCCTAGGTCTCTGAGACACGTGTGGGAGCTATCGGGAGCCCCTGTGGGTAGCAGTGGCTTTGTTGGACCTTCCAGGACCCCCAGCCTCTCTCAGGAGCCCAAGGGACAGGGTGGGGAATCACCTGACCCCACAGATGTCCCTCTGGGGCCTGGAGTTCAGGCCCCTTCTCTGCAGACCTGCGGGGGCCACCTTGGTCAGCGGGTGATGCCCACCTCTCCTGGCTACTCCCACAACCTCCTGCCCCTGATGACCCTGCAGGTCTGAGAAGAGCGGTGGCAGCAGCTAGGGTGCCTCCCTCCCTCCGGTGTGTGGAATGTGCCTGTGGGTGTCTGTCTCCCACGCGTGTATCTGTGTGGGTGTCCGAGGGGATGTGTGTGCATGTGCATGTGTCTCTGCTTCCTGTGCTAAGTCTCTCCCTGTTTTGTGGTTGTTGTTTGTTTGTTTGTTTTTCTGACTGGTGTGTCAGTTTCTGTGCCTCTCTGTGTTTGTGGGCTGGCTCCCGAGGTTGGGGGCACTCTAGTTGGGGACACTAAACCCCTCCTTGTCCAAAACGTTGGGTTCCGATGGTGCACTTGGCTGGCCTCTGGGCGGGTGGTGCTGACCTGTTCCAGGCACACAGGTGTGCAGGGTGAGGGGGCTCTGTGGGCTGTGTTGACAGCAGGAAAGGGCCAATTTGGGGGTGCAGTGGCCGTGAAGAAGAGGTGGCGGGGAGCCGGGCCAGAGCGGTTGGAGGTGGGTGCAGGGAGGCGTCTGCACCTACAAAGCCCCTCCGCCATCGGACGGAGAGAGAGGGGTGTGCCTGGACCCTGGCCGCTGAGCCGCTGGCCCTGGGCCCGCAGGGCATGGGGAGCCCCCGAGTCCCCACGCGGACCGTGCTCTTCCGGAGCGAGAGGAGCGGCCTGACCTACCGGGTGCCCGCGCTGCTGCCCGTGCCGCTCGGGCCCAGCCTGCTGGCCTTCGCGGAGCAGCGGCGCAGCCCCAGCGACGCGCACGCCCACCGCCTGGTGCAGAGGCGCGGCGCGCTGGCGGGGGGCTCCGTGCAGGTGAGTGGCCTTGCCGGGTGTGTGTGTGTGTGTGTGTGTGGGGTGCCCTTGCGGGGGGCGGGGAGGGGTGCCCGGTGAGGACGGGACACTGAGGCTGCCCCTCCCTCCCTCCACCCCCCTCCCGGCAGTGGGGCGCCGCCCAAGTGCTGGACACGGCGGCCCTGGAGGAGCACCGGTCCATGAACCCCTGCCCCGTGCACGACGCGCGCACCGGCACCGTCTTCCTCTTCTTCGTGGCCGTCCGCGGCCAGACCCCCGAGGGCGCGCAGATCGCCACGGGCAGGAACGCCGCGCGCCTCTGCTGCGTGGCCAGCCGGGACGCCGGCCGCACCTGGGGCCGCGCGCGGGACCTCACGGCGGAGGCGGTGGGCGCCGCCGAGCGGGGTAGGCGCGGCCCGGGCTCACCTGGGGGCCTGCACCGGGCGGGGGGCTCCCCCCGCTGCTGCCCGGCCCCGCCCCCAGCCTAGGGACCATGGAGGCTCTGCCATCCTCCACCCCCGAGTCCGCAAACGGGTGTTGGTCAGCTGTGTCTTTTTTTTTTTTTTTTTTTTTTTTTTTAATATATTTTATTGATTTTTCCCCAGAGAGGAAGGGAGAGGGATAGAGAGCTAGAAACTTTGATGAGAGAGACATTGACCAGCTGCCTCCTGCTCATCCCCTGCCGGGGATGTGCCCGCACCCAAGGTATTATACATGCCCTTGACCGTAATCGAACCTGGGACCTTCCAGTCCACAGGCTGACACTCTATCCACTGAGCCAAAGCCGTTTCAGCAGGAGCTATGTCTTGATCTGAGCCCCCAAACCCGAAGGCCTCCCTCCTTAACCACTTCCTCCTCCTTCTCCTCCTCAGCGGGGGCGGTTGTAGGCAGGTTGACCTTACCACTGCCTCAGGGGCCACCCCAACCCTGTCAGGGGGCGGCTCTGAGAGCTGGAGCTAGTCAAAGGGCTGCCTGCTGGTGTGGGCCCCACCCCGGGGGCCTGGCCCAGGCTGGAGGGGCTCCCCAGTCCTGAAGCTCCACGCCTGCTCCCCCAATCCCTCAGCTGCACCCCCCAATCCCTCAGCTGCCCCCCCACCCCATCCCTCAGCTGCCCCTGCGGGGACAGTGCTCGCACTGGCCGCCCACTCACAGTGGCCTGCCTGGGCTTCCACGCGTGCTCGTGTTCTCGGGAGGCTTGTCCAGCCCAGAGGATCAGGGTGGCTTGAAGGGGTGGAGGGCGGAGGCACGGTCAATGGGTGGCTCCCTCACAAACTGCTCCCTAGCCCGGCACTGCCCCCCATCCTCCCCACCACCTGGCGCTGTGGCTGTCCGCCCCTGAGGTAACCAGCAGCCCCTCCCGTCTGCAGACTGGGCCACGTTTGCCGTGGGCCCAGGCCACGGCATCCAGCTGGGCTCGGGCCGCCTGCTGGTGCCAGCCTACACCTACCATGTGGACCGGCGGGAGTGCTTCGGCAAGATCTGCAGGACCAGCCCCCACGCCTTCACCTTCTACAGCGATGACCACGGCCAGACCTGGCACCACGGCGGCCTCCTGCCCAACCTGCGCTCGGGCGAGTGTCAGCTGGCTGTGGTGGACGGAGGGCAGGCGGGCAGTGTCCTCTACTGCAATGCCCGGAGCCCCCTGGGCAGCCGTGTGCAGGCCCTCAGCACAGACGAGGGCACCTCCTTCCTGCCGGGAGAGCTGGTGCCCACCCTGGCCGAGACTGCCCGGGGTTGCCAGGGCAGCATCCTGGGCTTCCCAGCCCCACCCTCTAATAGGCCTGGCGATGAGGGATCATCAGTGGGCACCGGGAAGACTCCCTTTCCTCCAAATCTCTGTCCTGGCGCCCAGGAACCCCCAGAGGAGGGGGCTGGAGACACCCTAAGGGGTGGGGGGCTGGGTGGGACAGAGAGATGTGGGGGCGGGACAGAGGGATCAGGGGACCCCAGCCCAGGGCCTGGGACCGGTGGGGACAGGAGGGCCTGGTCCCTGCAGCTCCCTAGGCTCCCTGCTGCCCTGCCTCAGAGCCCCACGTGGCTGCTGTATTCCCACCCAGCGGGCCGCAGGGCTCGGCTCCATATGGGTGTCCACCTGAACAGGTCCCCCCTCGACCCCCACAGCTGGTCGGAGCCGTGGGTGATCTACCAGGGCCCCAGCGGCTACTCTGACCTGGCATCCATCGGGCCCACGCCTGAGGGCGCCCTGACCTTCGCCTGTCTTTATGAGAGCGGAGTCAGGGTGTCCTACGAGGAGATCTCCTTCTGCATGTTCTCCCTGCGCGAGGTCCTAGAGAATGTGCTTCCGGGCCCCGGGCCCCCCGGCCTGGTGGGCAAGCCCCGGGAGCAGTGCTGGCCCTCCTGAAGGGCCCTCTGACCCCCCCTGGCCCGGTGCGCCCAGGAGGAGTGGGGAGGGCAAGAGCCTGGATGGAGCTCTGGATGGAGACCTTCGGCTTCTTTATGGAGTGCCGGGAGGGTAGGCCTTCAATGAAGGACCCTGTGCAATGACACAGAAGTTCCGTTTTAATATGTCAAGCAGGCCTGGGCCTTGAGAAGGGAGCTCACAGCTGGAAGCCAGGAGAGGCGGGCTCTCAGCCTTGTAGGGCTGTGGGTAAGGGTGACTGGGGACCCTTGACTAGAACAAGGTGCTGCACTGTCCTGGTGTCTGGCTCTTTAATCTCACTCTGCTTTCTGGTTTCCGGACGGGAAATAAAGGTGTGCATTTATGTCCAGAGACGTTTCTCTTGAGTTCTTTCCCTGCCAAAGCCCTAGGGAGGGCACCCAGCTCTCTAGCTCACGCCTCTGACCACCAGCCCAATTTTGTTGCATCTTCGGCTCCCTATCCCCACCCCACTGGCCAAAATCTCCGAGCCCCGGGGCGTCAGGGGTGGCAGGATGAGGGCAGGAAAAGCAGGTCTCAGTATGGCAGCCCCCAGAGCTGTCTGGTCTGCACATGGGCTGCCCTGCGTGACTGCATTTCCCATTGGAGTGCAGCGAGCAGGGTCACCTCCCAGGACCTGCCCCCTGTTTCTTCATGGAAGCTCCTTTTTATTTCTTCTTCATTTTTGGTTATAAAAATAAAATATGCTTGCCCTAGCCGGTTTGCTCAGTGGATAGGGTGTCAGCCTGCGGACTGAAGGGTCCCCGATTCAGTTCCGGTTAAGGGCATGTACCTCCGTTGCAGGCTCGATCCCCACCTCTGGGGCATATGTTGGAGGCAACCAATCCATATGTCTCTCTCTCACATCGATGTTTCTCTCTATCTCTCCCCCTCCCTTCCACGCTCTCTAAAAATCAATGGAAAAATATCCTCGGGTGAGGATTAATAACAACAACAACAACAAAATATGTTAATTGTACAAAATTTTAGAGATGTAGGAAGCTATAAAGACAAAATAAAAATGTGCCCTGGCCGGGTAGCTCAGTTGGCCAGAGTATTGTCTCCATATGCCATAGGTGTGGGCTTGATCCCTGATTATGGCACATGCAAGAATTAACCAATGAATGCATAAATAAGTGGAACAACAAATAAATCTCTCTCTCTCTTCTCGCTCTCTCTCTCTCTCAAATCAATTTAAAAAACCCTTTTCTTAAAATATTCCATATGACCTCCCACTCCCCACTTGCACCCCCAAGCCATAACCATGATGTTCCTTTTGGTGTTTCTATCTTTTTCTTCTTTTAAAAAGATTTGACTGTGTTTTAGCTTTCCTGTCACACTCCAGTCATCTACCTTTTATGCCCTCCCGCTACCCCCACCAGCCTGGACATATTTCTTTACAAGCAAGGCCTCTGCTGGGTAACCTGCCCAAAAGGTGGGGCATCCAGGAAGCTTTGGAGCCTCCCAGGGCCCACAGTTGCCTAGGGAACTCAGGGCAGCCAGTCCCCATAGGAGCAAACATATCAGAATTACATTAATGTAAACTGACCAACATTCCTATTAACAGACAAAATGTGTGTGGCAGAAAGCAAAACAACGTAAACCCACCCCAAACCCAGAGATATCCCTCTGACAGCAGACAGAAGATGTGAAGAGAAAGGTTGGAGGCTAAAAGAAAAAAAATAGCCCAGGAAACGTGCAGATGAACAGCTGGTGGCGCTGTGTTTCTATCAGGCAAGGACCTTACAGCCAAGCATACAAAGGGACACGTTCCAAAATTACAAACGTTTGACTCAACAGAAAATTATAGCGGTATTAAGTTTGTATGAACCCAATATTATGCCTCGAAAAGTGAAACAAAAATGGACAGATCTGTTGGGGCAAAATAGGCCCACAATTACGATAGCAAGTTTTAGACACGAGTCTCTCAATAATCGACAGAGCTAGCAGACAATAAGAGCAGTAGGTTCAGGGCAGGTGTGGCCAATTTGCCTAACAAGCTAAACCATATTGACACCTGCAGACAGGGCACAAAACACCTGCAGGAGGTGCCATCTTTCCAAACACACCAAGATACAAAATCAAATCCCCACAGACTTCAAAGACTTGGAAAACTACAGTGAAATTGTGCCAGAAATTAAACAAAGGGCAATTAAACATCTTCATATGCTCAAGAATTTAGAAACAGTATTCTAAATAACTCACAGTTCAAGGAAGCCATGGTGGAGGTTAGAAGAGATTTTGAAATTAATTATGCAAACACTGCATAAAACTTGTGGGATGATGCTGAAACCAGTATTAGAGGGAAATGCACATGTTGGAACAGAAGGAAGGGGACAGTCCTGCTCTCTCTCGAAAAAGGTCAGAGTATTTGGTCCAGACAACGCAGAAGGAAGAAATGACAAAGAGCAATGAAAATCCCACAAGAGAGGAAAGGAAGCCAAAGGTTGGGTTTTAAAAAGAGCTAATAAAATCAGCAAACTCCTGAGAGGCTGGTCATGAAGAAAGGATGAGAATAGTACAGCCAGGAAACTTTTGGGGGAACTTGAGGGTCTGCTGAATCAAGTGATGAAGGCTTAGATCTGGATATGTTGAGTTAGTATAGCGCTGGGGTGTTGATCTGTGAGTGCCTTGTGCGGGGCCTGGATGAGGTTGGTTGACCTATTTGGAAATGTCTTTTGTGTGAAGTGTATCTTAGGGCATGTGGAGGTATTATTGATATGAGAAAATGCTAAGTAACTGATTTACTATCTGAAAAGGGATTTACTATGGGGGAAAGGGAGGGAGGAAGAGACCGAACATAAACTGTGCACCTATGGATGAGGACAATGTGGGAGGGGAAGGGGGCGGAGGGTGGGGTGGGAACCTGGTGGAGGGGGGAAGAAATGAGGAACCTTTGTAATAATATGAAAAATAAAGATTGATTAAAAAAAAAAAAAAAGAATAGTCCAGCCAAAGTGGCTTAGTTGGTTGACCATCGTCCCATGCACCGAAAGATTGCTGGTTCAATCCCCAGTTAGGGCACATACCTGGGTTTTAAGTTTGATCCCCATCAGGGATGGTACAGAAGACAACTGATATCTCTCTTCCCCCCCCCCCCCTCTCAGAATGCCCACAAATAACCAATGCCAGGAATGAGAAAGGACATACGGGACCCTACAGACACTCAAAGATTTTGAGGGGACTTGAGGAGCAACTTTATGCTAATAAAGTTGAAAATTTAGATAAAATGGACAAGTTTTGGAAAAACATTATATCAGAACTGATGAAAGGGAAAATCTGGAGGATCTTGGTAAAGAAATGGAATCCGTAATTTAAAGTCTGCACACAAGGCACACTCCAGGTGTCTGGCTTTCCTAGCGAATCCTGTCAAACACTAAGCATGGACCAGCACGTGTCGTGTGTCCCTGGGGAGAGCATGGGGCTGACACTGTGGGCGCTGCTCCTGGGAGGAGAACCATTAAAGAGCCAAGGAATTAGGTACACTTTAAGAAGTAAAGTTCAGCCAAAACCGGTTTGGCTCTGGATAGAGCGTCGGTCTGCGGACTGAAGGGTCCCAGGTTCGATTCCGGTCAAGGGCATATACATTGGTTGCGGGCACATCCCTGGTGGGGGGTGTGCAGGAGGCAGCTGGTCGGTGTTTCTCTCTCATCGATGTTTCTAGCTCTCTATCCCTCTTCCTTCCTCTCTGTAAGAAATCAATAAAATATATTTTAAAAAAAAAAGTAAAATTCACAAAGTATACTGACACAACGCCTAAAGCACGATCCATGGAAGAGCAATTCGATGAGAAAAGCTGACACAACACGTTAAGAGAATGAAAAGACAAGCCACAGATGGGGGGGAAATACTTGCAAGACTCGCATCTGATAGTTTCACTTTGTACGAAATTGCCAGACGGTCTTCCACAGTGGCTTGACCATCCGTGTATCTTGTTTGGTGAGGGATCCAGGTCTTTGCCTATTTTTCAGCTGGGTTGCTTGTTTTCTTAGCGTTTTGTTTTAAATCTTGTTTGCATATTATGGCAAGTAAGTATATAAAAGGATGCCACACAGTACGTCACCAGGGAAATGCAAAATAAAACAGCAGTGAGATGCCATTGCCCATCTATCAGAATGGCCAACATTTTGCCGGAACGCTGACAGCATCAAATGCCGGGAGCAGCAGGGCTCTCACTCATGCTGGTGGGAATGCACAACGGTGCCGCCACTTGGGAGACCGTTTGGTGGTTTCTTACAAAACGAAACAGATTCCTACCATGTCATCCAGCATTGGGCTCCTTGGCATTTACCCAAAGAAGATGAAGACTAGTGTTTACATGGAAACCTGCCCACGGATGTTTATAGCAGCGTGTTCATAATGGCCAAAATTTGGAAGAAACCAAGATGTCACATCCTTCAGTCTGTGGTCCTGCAATTGACCGCCCAGCTGGACCTCTCGGCCCTGCTCTGGCTGTGGGGAGGCCCAGCTGCCCCACGAGCCTGAGGGTTTGGGAATATATGAAAGCCTGGGTTTCATTCTTGGCTTTCCACTCTTATCTTGGCTTGTAGATGGTGTGGTTAATTTTATGAGTCAACTTGGCCAGTCACAGTACCCAGATGTTTGGTCAAATGCCAGTCTAGATGTTTCTGTGAAGGTTTTCTTCCCCCCCTCTCTCCGCCCCCTTTTTTTTAAATGATGAGTTTGGCATGTAAATCAGCAGACATTGTGTAAAGCAAATGCCCTCCAGGATGTGGTGGGCCTCATCCAATCATGTGAGATTTAGGAGAAGAGACTGAGGTCCCCTGAGGAAGAGGGACTTCTGCCTCCTGACAGCCTTCGGATTCAAGCTGCAACATTAGCTCTTTCCTGGGTCTCCAGCTACTGGCTTGCCACAATCGCATGAGCCAGTTCCTTTAACATAAATCTCTATACACACATCCTACAGGTTCTGTTCCTCTGGAGAACCCTGACTGACTCAGGGACGTCTCCCCCTGCCCCCTCTC